GTACACTTTAATTCTGCAAATAAAACATGGTCCAGTGAGGTCTTGTTCATTTGAATTTTATGGCAAATGGACTGCACTCGTACGGGGCCTTTCTACCTCAGTAGACAACGGCTTTAACCACCCATTCACACAACCACTCTTACACGCCAGTGACGGTGGAGCTGCCCAAGGACACTTCAACATATTGACAAAAAAGAGCCACAAATTCAACCATCAACCCTGCGATCAATGGACGACTTGCTCTATCCCTTTATAATGAAATACAGAGAGATATATCCTTTCTCAGCGTGTAGGACAGAAAGATGTTTTTTCTATGCTGAGGCGAGGCTGGATCACCAACAAGGCTCAGGTTCATTGTGTGGCAATTAAACCTTAATATCACCTTACATGATGAGGGCTCTAAGGGCTGGTTATGCTAGAAAATAATTAGTTCATACACTATGTTGTCTGACTACATGTTGTTTAGTTCCAAAACACCCACACACACAGAGTGAAAAGCCAGCCAGCAGTTAGTAATTAGTCCTAAATTCTTACAAGATGATTTAGGACATATTTCCGGAGATTAGCTTTCCATCACCTTAAAAAATTAAATCTGTTCTTTAGGAAATGCTGTAAAGATAAACCAGTGATAGTCTTTGATGAGAATTTCTGTACCACAGCATGTAGCTAACAAAAGCCCTTTGAACACCCCTATGTTGCAGAGCTGCATCAGAATTATCAAAAGATTTATAAAATTATTATTAAGAGTAATTATTTTGAGTAATTTTTGTGTAATCCGTCAAAGATCATCATGTACAACATAAATGACTATAGCCAGATTTTCTTCACAATAAAAGGCTGATATCTGCACCACATTATACTGGCCTCACCCTCTTCCCAGCCTGCCTTGATGTTGATGCTGCTTCTTGCTTCCTCGCTGGTTTCTTAGCAACACGTTTGTATCTAATGGACAGAGTTACATCAGCCTCATCAATAGAGTGTGGAAAACCTGCTGGAGGAGAGGACAGAAGCTGCTGAAAGAAGAGCTAAAGTGAGGAATAACTAGCAGGATGAAAGGCTTTTAATGTGAAGGTAACAGCCGAGGCCTGGGAGAGTCCAGCGGCAGAGCAGACTGAGATGACAAAGCAAACAGTAAACATCCATCAGGCTGGAGAGAAGACTGGCCCTCATCTCTGACCTCCACACATTCACAAATCTACAGGCTTATTTGGAGATTCTGCTGCATCGCTTTCCATCAGCGTTCTTTATTTGCCAGTGCGGCCACATGTAATCTGTACAAATTTTAGTGTGCTTACAGACAAAAAAAATGATATATAAAAATTCCTCAAATTGAATTTCCCCTAGGGCCTACAGCCGTCTGCTTAGGATTCAAACACCTATGCTTTCATGTATGAAATATTACATTTCTGCAAAACATTTCACCAAAAACCATAATATACGCTGAACAAAATTATAAACACTTTTGTTTTTGCCCCCATTCATCATGAGATGAACTCAAAGATCTAAGACTTTCTCTATGTACACAAAAAGCCTATTTCTCTCAAATATTATTCACAAATCTCTCCAAATCTGTGTAAGTGAGCACTTCTCCTTTGCCGAGATAATCCAGCCACCTCACAGGTGTGGCATATCAAGATGCTGATCAGACAGCAGGGGCATTGCACAGGTGTGCCTTAGGCTGGCCACAATAAAAGGCCACTCCAAAATCTGCAGTTCCATCACACAGCACGATGCCACAGATGTCGCAAGTTTTTGAGGGAGGCATACTGAATGTCCACCAGAACGGTTGGCCGTGAATTAATTGTTCATTTCTCTACCATAAGCCATCTCCCAAGGCACTTCAGAGTACAGTACATCTAACCGGTCTCACAACCGTTTGCCACATGTAACCACACCAGCCCAGGACCTCCATATCCAGCATCTTCACCTCCAAGATCGTCTGAGACCAGCCACCCAGACAGCTGGTGCAACGATCGGTTGCATAACCAAAGAATTTCTGCACAAACTGTCAGGAACCGTCTCAGGGAAGCTCACCTGCACATTTGTCGTCATAACCGACTTGAGTGGGAAAATGCTCACATTTGATGGCGTCTGGCACTTTGGAGAAGTGTTCTCTTCACAGATGAATCCCGGTTTTCACTATACAGGGCAGAAGGCAGACAGCATGTATGGCGTCGTGTGGGTGAGCAGTTTGCTGATGTCAACGTTGTGGATCGAGTGGCCGATGGTGGCGGTGGGGTTATGGTATGGGCAGGGGTGTGTTATTGACAACGAACACAGGTGTATTTTATTGATGGCATTGTGAATGCACAGAGATACCGTGATGAGATCCTGAGGCCCATTGTTGTGCCATTTATCCACGAGCGTCACCTCATGTTGCAGCATGATAATGCATGGCCCCATGATGCAAGGATCTGTACACAATTCCTGGAAGCTGAAAAAAAGTCCCACCCACTGAGTATGTTTGGGATGCTCTGGATCGGCGTATACGACAGCGTGTTCCAGGTCCTGCCAATATCCGGCAACGTCGCACAGCCATTGAAGGAGAGTGGTCCAACATTCCACAATCACAATCTCAGAATTCTCTGACCCTCACTGTTATTTAGCTAGCTCGATGTTTCCACTGGTAATTTATGCATGGTACGTTGGACACAACTCTACTGTGAAGAAAGCAGGAGGACGCTGTAGTAATATGAACAGAGAACTTTTCTCTTCTGTAACAGTGAACATACTGAAATACTTTGAGTAACTCTTAGTACTATTATTAGTACTATACTTAAATGGCCATGTTACAGCTGACTAAAGTAATTTAACCACCCTGTATAGCATGCACTTTTCTGTAACTGCAGCAGAGCTAGTACTTCTATACTGGGAGAGACTCGCTTATCACAACAAACCTGCTGGTCTACGTCACATACACAGGTTACTCACAAGTGGAGCAGGGCAGGACCAGGGGAGCATGAGGCAGCTGATCCAGAGGGATTTCCAGGTCAAAACACAAGAGAGCTGCAGACAGGGCATGAAGCAGAGTAGGAGGCTGATCCAGGTAGGGTTGAGGGAACACAGGCCGAAGTCAGGGCTGGCAGGTCGGAATTAATTATGGATGAATACCGGCAAAGAAAACTACATAGTAGTGGCAAAATTCACAAGAAACAGCTGATTAAACTGACTGAAGCACAGACTGGCAGTGTGAAGATGGCTGGGCAGAGTCTTAACAAGAGGTATTGATTGCAATGATGTGATGCAGCTGAGAGGTTCCACTCTGACTTTGGTAGACCTGCAGACAATCACTTGCACAACACACAGACACACAGGAGGATGGGGAGGGAGAGAGAGCGCTACTCCAGGAAAGGTATCTGTTAGTGAACTGAAGAGGAGGTCCCAGGGGCAGATGCAACAGGGGCAAGTTCAATATCGAAATGTTTCCCTTAAAACGGTGTGCAACGGTACGCAGCATGCTTTGAGGTATGTTTTCTCATTTGTTGGGTGTGTCACAGGTGTAACCCAACCAGCAGCGACATGTTCATAAACATAAACATAAAAGGCGGTGAAGTGCAGTGCACTTGTGTACGCAAAAGGGTGTTCAAGATACCACCGTTTGTGTTTAAAGGAACGTTTTACTATGTTTTGTCAGGGCCGAACTCAGCCCAGGTAACACACAGGCGCAGTTAGGCTGTGGGTGTGCTATCCAAAAACATATTACCCATATAATGCAATTATTAAGTGTTTATGTTGACGGAGAGGGGCAGTGGTTGAAAATGTAAATACTTTATGTATAATCAGGGAAATGTACTGGGTTTGTGGGTACTAGGACACAGGTTTCCCCAGGTCATGATAGGGTCAATTTCTGAGCTATAAGCCAAAGGTGACAGCCAGGGACTCTCCAAAGCTATAAGTCAGACACTGTCTCTCCTCTATGCCTGCTCGGTCAATTCACTGACGAGTTGATGATGATGCACTGTTATATATTTGGTAGGTAACCCAAGGCTGAGATTATCTTTTGTTTCATCACAGACAGACTATGTAGACAGTGTTGTATGCGGCTGAAGGACACACAACATGCTCTGATTTGACCCAATAACCAAAAGTCTCTTCACACATGTATGGAGGGATGAACAATAACTTTATTTGGACACTTAGTGAATCTATGCAGGTTTAGGAATCATAAATATCTCCAGACAAGAAGGATTCTTCAGATTTTGTGTTGGCATTCCATGTGTTTACTTGGCCGAGTCTCATTAAACCATGCTGTGTAAGCCCTCATCAGCCTCCATAATGTCTTCATCACACCAAAACCTGGCCCAATATTGCATAAACAATGCAGAAAAACCTTCACATTTGTCAAGCTGGAACCATGAAATATTTTTACATATTTTAGATTATTTCTACATAATGTTTTTACTGTTTTTGTTTGATTAAAGACTAACCACAAGTCTGATCTGTCAGTATAGTAACATCCTAACAGTATATACTAATGTTAAAAAATATTTTTTATTTTAATATTTTACTTATAGTGTTATGTTTTAGTGGTATACTAACATAATACCCTAATCTCAATTTCTCATCTAGGCTGAGGAGTGACTGAGTATTTGCAGCAATAAACAAATAAGTGTACAAATCACAGTTTGTGTATTGGTCATTTTACCTATAGTTTAGTGCAGACAGAAATTATTGTTCATATCTTTTCAAATGTGATTTTTTAATGGAAATTAGCCAGAGCTAGATTGGTGTTTCTAATTTTGTGTAATGTATTTTAATGGCTCGTTTCATGACATTCTGTGTAGGGGAACTCATGTTTTCATATGTGTCTGCTTACTAAAAATGTGATTCTGTTATATAGTACCAGTAAAAGCCCCCCCACCCCTGCCTTTCCTGCCTCTCTCTACTGTCACTATCAAATAGAGCAGAAACGCCTAAAAAAAAATCTAAAAACATTGCAAAACCATGACGTCTCTGCAAAATTATTTTATTTTGTCTTCTCTCAGAATTTGTTTCAGTCAAAAACACACAATATACAAGCAGTTAGACTGGATTTGATTGCAGCTATATTTAATCATAAAGAAACATTTACTCAATGAAGACAGTTTTTGCCCATGTGCTTAAATGTGGTGGGATTTTTCTGAGCATATTTACAGTACACCATAAATAAGAGATGGAGCACATTTCAGGCTTTGACAAAACAAAACAAACAAATCCAAACTTGTATAAATATAGGTTCATCTAAGGACATGAAGAAAATCCAGAATAAAACTTCAATCCTGTTGTACAAACATGCCCACATAACAATAATTAACAGTTGCTTCAGGGATCAGTCATAATGAACACTACTAAGATGCCTTTCCTGGCATTGCAATGGGTCAAATTGCATAATGGTCACAATAGCCAGTCTTTCTACAGTCACTGAGATATGATTACCACAGATATAAGAATGGAAAACATACAATATTTCCCACGTCTTCTGTCATTTCCTTGGATGATACTTTAGTTTCTGGTAAAGAAGAATGCTGTAGAATATATATCAGGTCATTTTATTGTCTTGCCAATCAAATAATTTCCCTCCACCATGATTATTCAACATTTACTGAAGCAGCAGACGTCCTGTGCCCCCCCCCCCCCCTATTAAAATTTGTCCAACAATCCCTTCAGCATCCATGGTTCTCACTGTACAATTATATTTATCACGTACCCATGACATTTATCAATGTATGTCTTTTTCTTTACTGTATTTACGTTCCTGCAACATACCAAAACTGAGAGAAAAGAAACATCAAGAGAATGGCTTTGCATATTAGTTGTGAAGTTTAATTAGTCTGCATCACTGCAAAGTGCATCACACCCAACCCTGTCATTTCTCCTCATTCAAATGCATTGGAAAACAAGGACCCTTTTTCACAAAAACTCAGTCTCTTATAGTGCAAAAGGTTATACACACGGGGACAGATGTTAAAGCAGAACTCAAGCCATTTTCTACACATCCGTTTTCCATTTTCTTTCCATCGTACTGATCGATTTTGACCAAAACACGGGTTGTTTTTTCAAGTGGGACTTATACTATATACTTTCTCCCTTGTCTGACAAGTGACAGCAGTCATGGAGAAATTCTGGTATTTACAGATGTCACGTCATTCATTTGGTAGGCTACATAATAAATTCGAAAGCCAATCACTGTCCAGCAAATGTTACCAGCAAAGAAACCCGAAACCCTCAGTGCATACTGGACAGTACGGAGAGCGAGAGTTTGCACTAGCGTTTTGACAGCTGACATGGTTTGGGTTTAAACCGGACCCGGCGCTTTCTTCCACTATCTACCACGTAATAAAAACTTGACAATGTGAATGCACTGTAACATCGTAGCAGGAGTTTTTGTATGTTCCATAACCACTAATCTCTATAAACAGATAACTGCATATAAATGTAAAATCTGTAGGCAAGGGACAAGATTTTGGTGTTGGATGTGTTCTGGTTCCCGTTTGTAGTCCGAGTAGTATTGACCAATCACGTTCTAGCAGGCTTTGTTTGTTTGCCATTCTGTGTGGAGAGCAAAAGAGGTGGAACACGTTGGCTATCATCTGTCGGGGATTTCGCTTTTTAACAATCTTGTAAACGTAGCGTTTACCTTGTATTAGTGCGCCAGTCAATATTTTTTAAAACCACGACCACGATCATTCCCTAAAGGTGAAGGTCCCCTGATCTTAATGAAATAGTCATTTTAAAAGCACGATGTCTGGCTCAAATGTAAGTCGCTTTGGATAAAAGCGTCTGCCAAATGAGTAAATGTAATGTGAAATATCATGCTGCTGCCAGAATGGACAGAATTGGTGTTCCTCCTCTGTTTAGTTCTGTGTGGCTCAACCACGCTTTAGAACAAGTCTAATTTTCCATGGGCCTATTTAGATAAGGTCCAAAGTTTGAGCAACATTTGGGTGGAGATACAGCTACAATACTGATCTATAACGAAGGAACAAATGAGATTTGGTTCAGAAGTAATCAGTATGATGGAAAAACGAGCTAACAGGATCCAGAATGACAGTGGCCTAATGTTGTAACAGAGCTAACCAGCTGAGGCTGTGTGACTGCAGTCCCACTGTGTGTTAGTGTTAGCTGCCATTGGTGATAATGACAGAGGTGCCTTTGTGCCCAGAGGTCTGTTCTGCCGGTATGCGGAGGTGAGGGGTCATATCGTACTGGGTGGGGCCTGTGCTGGCGGAGGTGCAGTAGCCCCGGAGGCTCTCTGGGTCGTAGAGGTGCTCCAGAGTGTAGCTTGTCAGGGAGTAAGCTGTATGCTTGTCCAAGTAGGGCCGCGGGTGGTTGTGAGAGGGGTAGAGGGCTGGGGCAAGGGTGGGGGAAGCCGAGCACGGGCCTGTCCGACCAAACGGGTGGTGTAATGGCAAAGAAAGGGGGGACAGGTCTGTCTGGAGGTAGTCCTTCGGCTTGTGCAGGCGCTCCGAACCTGGACTGCTGAGCCTGGATAGTGGGGTAGGGCTCTGCGCGGGGCTGATCACCTGACTCAAACCTCGACACACCACAGTCTGTAGGGGCAGGGGCCCTTGAGTATATTCTGGAGTGAAGCATGGAGCAGGGCCCTTGGGTAGTCCATTGGCCAGCCCAAGAGGGGCATCCGGAGGGCCCTTTCGCAACTGAAGTCGACTTTCTTCTTCCTTGATCATCTGTTGCGTGGCTCGGAGCAGCGTCTCAATCTTGCTGGGTTCCTGCGGGCTGCAGTGGTAGTGGTCCGCTTGGTACCGATCCCCTGAGTCACTGGCTGAGCCTCCATCTGGAGAGCTGACAACGCTGTCCTCGTCCCAGTGGCCACGGCCTACAGGAGGACACAATAAGTGCAGAGGAAACATTAGCAAGAAATGATATCATTATTAGCAACTATGGCTCTTGGCTTCCACAGGTTCCTCCTAAAGCCAGATTTATACTTCTGCGTCAAATCGACAGTGTAGCTTAGCCCCGTACCCTACGCAGGCGATGCCGACGATAAGAACTGTGATTGGTCAGCTGCAATGCCTCAGAGCCGACAGGAAGTGCACCGTGCTTTGGAGTTAATTTTACTAGCGGCCCAACCAGCAGCTATAACACGCTAGATCAATATATTTGAGCATCACAACCCACTCAAAATGACTCGTTTCACTATCAGAATGTGATCCATCCGGTCAAACATTTGAAAGTCTATAACAGCCGCGCGTGTATGATTTTACCCCCATTCAAGTTAGCGGAGGGCTAAATCGAAAGTTAGCCTGGCTACGGAGTAGACCCGACGCAGAAGTATAAATCACGCTTAATTCTGTTGGATTTGTTGGCATGAACAATGAAAACAAGCTTGATGCTGTTTACATGGCACAACAGCAGCTCTCCATGCAATAAGAGAGGAAGTGTTTTATGAACTGACTGTCGTGGCTTGAGACAACACTACCACATTTAACAGCTCCAGTCATACATTAAGCACCTTTAGTCTATCTATCATGGTCTCTGGATGTTACATAGGTGGAAGAATATCAGCACAGAGTACTGGCTATTGGCAGGTTCAGTATACAGCTATCAAGGTTTCAACAGTCTACATAGTTCAGACTCTAGAGTGGACATAGCCCAGGTCTTCGTCCTCACCATGGTAGCTGTGGATGGCTGTGATGTGTGGCATGCTGCTGTCACATCCCTCATGGTTCCCCAAGGAGCTCTTGCTTAATGGAAGGATGGACCGGGCGGTGCCCCACCACGTGTCCCTGCCAGGCGGAGGTGCTCCTAGAAAATATCTGCCTGCCTCACATCGACCCCGCTCACAACTCTGACCTTGACCATGTGCGTGGAGGTGCGTGTAGCCGTCACCGGTGGTGTGATGCTGCTCTTCAGACAGGCTGTAGCAGAGCGTGCGAGGATCAGTGAACTGCCTGTACACACAGGAGGCATCCAGGCCTTCACCCTGCTCCAGCAGCTGGGGGGAGGCTGAGTCCGTGAGGGGGCTGCTGCCCCACGGACTGTCCTGGTCAGACTCTGACCGCTCCGTCTGGAAACTAGGATACTGCAGTGAGACATGTGGGTAGGGAGACAGGAAAAGTTATTATAGAAAGCCTTCAAATGAGGCAGCACACCCTCTGGGAGCCACATTTTAGACCTTCAGCTCAACAGCTGACTATATTTCTGGCTGTTTGACATGGACATTTTATTAACAGGTATAAGCAAACCAAGCCACAGTTAAGGACATTGCAGCCACCAGGGTCTTCCTAAACAAGCTAATTACAAATGTGAGCACCTCTTCAACTGTATTATGGTGCTTTCTTTGTTTTAATGTTAGTGCTCTTTCTACCTCCACTGGTTCTTTAGCCAGAGCTGTTGATCCTACAACATCTACCAAAATCAGAGACCAAGATTAAATTAAATTATTTTCATTCTACCCATGGGTGCCGGAGCCAGCTGTCTGCCAGTGAAGGACTCTAATCAGCATATGCTGTGGGCCCAGTGTAGTCACGCAGTATCTAGAGGGCTGGGGCAAGGGTGGGGGAAGCCGAGCACGACCAAACGGGTGGTTTAATGGCAAAGAAAGGGGGGGGCAGGTCTGTCTGGAGGTAGTAGTCTGGTAACTTGTGGAGGCGCTCCGAACCTGGACTGCTGAGCCTGGATAGTGGGGTAGGGCTCGGCGCGGGGCTGATCACCTGACTCAAACCTCGACACACCACAGTCTGTAGGAGCAGGGCCCTTGGGTAGTCCATTGGCCAGCCCAAGAGGGGCACCCGGAGGGCCCTCATCAGGACTCCAATCAGCATGTGCTGTGGGCCCAGTGTACTCACGCAGTATCTAGTTCTATGAAACATAATTTTGGTGTATTACATTTCTAAACTTACTTTTGTAGGTTTTTCCATTGTTTTTTGTTTCAAGGCCCTTCTGTCTTTATTTGATAGTCACAGTGTAGAGAGAGACAGGAAACAAGGTGTGAGCGAGAGAGAAGGTATGACATGCAACAAAGGTCCGTGGCTGGGAACCGATTCCGTGAACTTTGTGGTTATGTGCTTCTTAACCATTAGGTTACTAGCGCGGCCTTGGCCATTGTTTCTGACGGCATTCAACAATGAAACCGTTAAGAACTGAGAATACATCAACATCTTTATAAAGATAAAACATCCGATGGGACAAGAAACATGAGCAGTCAAACGATCGGACAGTTCGTAAACAAATCCCCAGGAAAACAAAGAGAACATAAAATTATTAAGCAAACTTCCTGGGTCTACTTTGATTTACCATACTTGCAGTAGCTGTGTGCACATAGTTTTACTGTGAAATGAAGGATTATTACCACCATCTTGGGTGTTCTCACTTTCAGATTTACTTTCAAATATAGTCCGTGTATCAATTTTCTGTGGCTTTTAAGATTTAAGATTCAGGGTTGTAGCACCTCAACTGATTCCTTTCCATGCAAAAGAGGCAAGAGTTCTACTAGTTCCTTTTGGATGTCGCCGCTGATGATGACCACAGCCTCCCTGCGAAGGACACTCACTTTGTAACTTTGATCTAATTCTTTCAGTCCATTAACAACATTAAGTGGTTTAGATAATCCATCTTAACTGTTGGCTTTTTACAACGTATCTGATTGTATGTATCTGACTGCTCAAGTTTCATGGTTTGCCGGAATTTGTTGTAGCGACGCCACCTGTCATTCGTATTTCCAGATTTCAGCAAGTTGTTTGGAGAGTCATCATAACCGACAGAAATAATAGACAATACTACAAAAACAAACCACTGTTGTTCTTTAAATATTACATGATGGAACATCCCCTAAAGAACTGCTGTATGCACCAAAATCATCTTAAACGAGGTGTCACACCTGAATGAGCAGGTTCTACAACATGATGTTGTTAACTTCCTACCAGGAAGTGCTTCCTAAATATGAAGCTTCCCTGAGTTTGAGACCACTGTACTGTGTGTTCACATCAAATGAAAGTCCAGTTAGACATTAAATCCTCACCTGTGTGTATGGCGAAAGTCTAGCTTTGGTCTTGGGCCGGGATACTCTGCTCTTGGTAGTTCTGCAGTTCTCTGTGAGGCTGCTGGCGGTGTTGCTGCTGTAGGGGAACGAGGCCTTGGAAGTGGCCTGATCCAGAGACAGCTGGAGGCCTTTATATTCTGTCTCCCTAAAGACACAAGCATAAATTCCATGTGGTGCTTTCACAGTAATATTCTTGTATTCTTCTTATTTGCATTTCATAGATTTAATACGGCCCATAATTACAGAAAGAGAGATCCCAGTCCCCTGGAAAGGCTGTTTATTAAAGAACAAACAGCCCATGTGTACATGCGTGTTTGGTTTTTCTCTAGGTGCAAAAACCCATTAACATCTGTTTAGCAATTAGAGCATCATCATGTTGCTGAGAGGGCCAGCATGAGGAGAGATGTGTTTTGTGTTTCTGTGTGTGTGAGAGAGAGAGAGTGTGACGGCTGGGAGGAGTGGGGTGTGCTAAGAGGCCTGGAACGGCTGTTGGGATGCTTGTTTTACCAGAAGGATTGCAGCAAGGCCTTCAACAAACACTCTACAGAGGGAAAGCCGTCCAATCAAATACAGCGGGAGATTAAAGGCTGTGTCTGGCTAAATCAGGCCCACAGGAGAAGCTTGGACGTCTCACTACTGGGAAATGGGAATTGATTTCCCGCTAAAGTGTTCTACAGATCTCGCCATGGATGATGAATCAAGTTTGAGACAACAGAAAACCTGGACAGGGTTTACTTGAGACAAATAGTGATCCATCATCCGCGCACATCTCCCCTCTGTCTCAATAGCTCTCAACACAAACACAAATTCATACATCCATGCGGACGCGTCTCATGGGATTTCTGTTCCAGTTTGGAGACAGTCCTAAAACATCACATTCATTAGGTACTGCTACTCTAATTATGATGCTGGCAGCACAGAAATTATCTTTAGCCTTGGTTAGCATTTTGTTGCTATAAGGCAAATCACTTTTTTGCAGTTTTGAGAGAAATACATGAGTGTAGCAACAACATATGCACTCTTCTATACAGCTCATAAGGGGTTCACTAAATGCTTTGATGATTTCATTCTATGGCCTTCACAGCCACCACATCTCAACCCAACCGATCACCTATGGGAGATTTTGGAGTGACAGGTTAGACAGCCCTCTCCAACACCATCATCAAAGCACCAAATGAAGGAATATCTTTTAGGCCCCATCCACACTACTGTTTTCGAATTAAAACGGAGACCTTTTGCTACGTTGGCACCTCCCGTCCAGACTACAATGACGAAAACGAAGACCTAAAACGGAGGAAACGCTGCCGACCCCGTTTTGCGTTTCAAAACTCCGGAGGGCGTTTTAGTGAAGACGGGCCAAAACGGAGGACTTTAGAAACGATGCCACAGCCGCTCACGCTCGGCTCTCTGCTGTTGACCGGGGTTTTGACATCATATTTTTATTAAAATATTCTGTACTGTGCAAATAACACTCATCTGCCTACACTTGTACTGTGCATGTCGCCGTTTACTTGTTTTCTCCCGCCACACTCCCGTGTTACATTCAGTAACAGTCCCAGCTCGTTATTGAACCATCCATCCATCCATCGTCAACCGCTTATCCTGCGTACAGGGTCGCGGGGGGCTGGAGCCAATCCCAGCTGACATCGGGCGAAAGGAGGGGTACACCCTGGACAGGTCGCCAGTCTCGTTATTGAGCCATGCAACAACAAAAAAAAACTGGTCTGATGCTTAGTCTGTATTTAATTATACTTTCGCCAAATCTTCTGTAACTACGGAATGCACCATCTGCTTCATGTTTACACTGGCACGCGCATGTCCAGTGCACCTGAACGGGTCCTAGCTGTGCGTTTTCAGTCGTTTTAATGTAGACGGAGATCAACTCCAAAACGCATCGGAAACGCTGGTGTGGACGGAGATCGTATTCGTTTTAATTCTCTGTTTGTAAACTAAAACGGAGTAGTGTGGATGGGGCCTCTCCATCCCTCCAGCAGAGTTCAACACACTCAGAGAATCTATGATAAACACTGAAGGCTCATGCAGGAACTGCAAGTTACAAAGACTCTTAATGTTGGTTTATGAACATCTGTGATTGACACTGAACTGACCTTTTTACACTTTAAGAAGAGGACAAGGTAATGGTAATGGTTAACCTATTACAGGGCTGCAACTAAAGACTATTTCCATTGCAGATTTCCTCAATTAATGAATGAAAAAGCCGAAGAGCCAGAGAATGTTTGGACTCTCTGCTTGAAAAATGGCAATTAACTAATTATCCAGAATATTTGCTCATGAATTTTCTGCCAATCAACTAACTGTTTCAGCTCGATCCTATTATGTATACATGGGTCACTTTTGCAACGTAGACCATACATCATTATATTATTTCATTCATTGATTTCAGACACCTGGTAAACACACACACTAAGGAAGACAGAGCCCAACATGTATTTGTGTAATTGGATTGTTGCTATTGATTTAATTAAACGAAGTGGTAGCACTTGCCAACCTTTTCATCTGCTTAATATGAAACAGCATCAACTCGTGACCCCTCATGTTATTGAGTTGTAAGCAATTTTAGCTTCTCAGTTTTGAACACATTTTTAGAGGCCTGAGGAGGTAAAATATGTATTTCACATAACAGAGCAAAGATAAGAGAAAAGTCAAAAAAATGTTACTTTCTTCTTTCTTATACTGTTAAATATTTTGCAACTCTTAGATCGAGATTTAGTCTGAGACCCTTTGAGCCATCCATACTCCCAGGGTGGGAGCCAGTACTCTAAAGGACGTCTAATATATAAAGGCAACAAGTAGTCTTTGTTTTGCTCAAGTATACATGGTTTGTTAAACAAAATGTGACAAAATGTAGATGTAAAAATGAAAGTATTTGTATTGGGCACTGATGTTGTATTCACTTACACAGAGATTGTTGAAGTGTGTGTTTGTGTAAGATAGCAGAGTGACGAGTTTGTTGTAACCCAGGATTGAACGTAACAGCGCTGATGAAACAGACAGCGTAACTGTTGTGAGTCAGACAAGTAAAACATGTGGTTACGTGCTTTTGCTGCAGACATGCCTTTATTCAAAGGATTGCTAAATCACTGTCAGGTTGCGGTAGCAGTGGCAGGTGCAGAGGTTATCAGAGCTGAACACACAGTGGAAGTTCACATGCAGGTGAAGTGGCCTTATCAGCTGTGTTATCTATGGCTGTATTCACTAAAGCTACCAGGTAAACCAACTCTGCTCCTGATAACAACACTCCACAAAAGCCTACCTCCTGCCCCTCCATTTGTCCCACGTCTTACGCAAAAAAAATGAAAGAAAACGAAACATGCTGTCTCATATCCACCATCACTATGTGGCTCAATCCACACAGTATCTCACAAAGATTTACAAACGCAGAACAAGGAGGAAAATAAGGCTTCGGTCCCCTAACTGCAAGCTGGAGCCCATAAACGCTCATCAACTTTACAGCCTATCAATTAAAAGGCCATAAACACAAAGCTGCTGTGGTTTTGATGTAGGAGGTAGAGGAAATGTGTGTCAAGCTGTTCTCTGCCTCTGAATGCAGCCAGCCGTGCTGCTTAATGGAGGGTTTTATAGGCCTGATTCATCCATGCGCTCACTTGTACATCTGTGAAATGTGCACATCAGGGGTAATAAAATAATAGGATAATAGGAAAGTGGTAAAATGGTATCCCTCAATTACTAATAAGAGTGAGGCTCATGCGGGTAGAGTCTCTGGCATGACTACAGTTGGTAGGAAGTGAAGTAGTAGCTTGTAATGAGGATATTTCGTGGACTGTTTGTGCAGGATAAAGCCTCAGCAAATGCAATCCCAGTCCAGTCACATATGCCTCAGAGCCTGCCTCTGTTTATATACTCTGCAGGCAGAGCTGCCAGTCTTAAATAAACTATACCAGGTGAGTGACGCCGCCACAGAGAGGCCGCCACAGGTAACAGCCAACACATGAGCACACTCGACAAACTTAGAAACAAAGGGCTCAGACAGTCTGACACAACTGGCATACAAGACAGCAGATACAGTGAGAGACCAGGAAACGTCTACGGCCATCAAAGGTAGAAAGAGCAGGAAAGTTCTGGTTTTCCTAAAAGAAATCAGTGCCTTTGTTTCCAGCTCAGCCTACAACAATAAAGACTAAAAAATATGAAATATACAGAACGCGACATGACAAACTTTATTCATTGTCAGATTGTGCAAACCAGGTTTCAACAAACACATGTCACAATTCCAATTAACCTCCAGTTAATTGCTTCACAGCAACTGTTTGCGTAAATCTCTAGTACCAACACTCATTATCTTATCAAAGCAGAGAACGATAGCACAACAGAGATCTGGGCCACCCCTGTCTGCCCTGGAGCTGCCGTACACTCCTGTCATTTCACACCAAACCCACATGACTGACAACGGTCAGGTGTCCTCCAGCCCATTTATACCACTACAAATGTGTGAAGTAGTAAACATTTTCATAAATAGCTGTTCTGTTTTGCTATTCTGTATCAATAACTACTTATTCAACATATGGTGAGTTAGTGTGACAGGGTTTTACATTTGTTTCCAGTATGGATTTTAAAAGAGGAACACTCTTTACAAGCTTTGCATTACAGGAAGGTCAGAACGGCTGGATGATCAGTAGTGAGCTTTACATCAGTAATCTGGCATCCATCCTCTGACACACTTAGGATCTTTAATTTATTTTGAAATATAGGGTCACACCCTGTTGTCTACACTGTGTCAGACGTGTTTTTCCATCTGATGAAACAGATTGCCTTCACTGTACAGCCATGAACACTGAGTGTTAAAGTTAAGGCTGGTGTTATTCTATAGTTTTCTTCTTCTCATCAAATCCCATAAAAATACCAAGATAGATGAGCATAAATAATAAAGAGCTGCACCACCTGCAAGCTGTCTGTACATTCAAAAACTCCAGGTTACCTCACACAGCCATGGACTGCAATTGTCAGATGATTCAAATAAATACTTATTTGAATGATTTAAAACTAATTATAAGCGTTAGCAGAGATAGAGAGAGAGCAGAAACGTCCGCAGACCAGTTCATCTCCTCCTGTCTGAGACGACCTCAGCCTGAAATCTGCAGACAACTGCTCCCTAGCATTAGCTACCCAGCAGGACCTGTTGTCACCAGAGACGATGCCTCTTCTACAAACACAAACTGAGAGCTCGGGTCAACAGGTCAGAGTCTGTTTTCAGTCTGTCCCTCCCATGGATGGACCGTTAAATTCACTACAAGATACTCGGGCGGAGACACGTGGAGACATGACATTAAAACTGCAGTGTGTGTGTGCATATAGAGTAACGTCACAGGGACTGCTGACAGCTATCATCTACGTTACCTTCAGACTGAAAATACATTTTCTGTGCAGGTTCAAAAAATGTAGACAGTTTGCACAGTGTGCAAAAAGAAAATATCTACTTTAAGCACTATGTGAACACAACTTAAAGCACCAGAGCTACTTTAAGCAGCTGTGTGTGTCAACAACTCATACTCACTTTACAGCTACTTGTGCTAAAACAACAATGACCACTCAGCACCAAGACCTAAACACAACAACACTGTGTGTCTCAAGTAAGATTTATCAGCATATTGATATCATAAAGGTAAATCTGGGAATAGAGACAAATACTCACGTGAGAACATAGTTGACACTGACGATGCAGTGAGGTCGGGATGAGCGGCTGTTGTGTACGATGGTTGCATAACTCTGAACCCAGACCCAGCCACCATGCTTGGCCAAGAAACGGTAGTACTTAGTCGTCACTTGACCTTTCACCAGCACTATAAGACCAAGAGATGGGAAATAAACAGCAACTGATTACTATGGCGAAGAAAATCCAAACAAATTGCAGAGTATACTAAAGTACATGAACATATTGAAATAGAAAAACGGGGGAAATTTGTTTTTCTGCAGCAGCAGAAGGACAGAAACAAGAAACAGAGAAATACACGAGGTAAAAAATGAAAGGCATATAAAACTACAGAATAGAAATAAAAATAGAAACTATACAAGAGCAAAGATAAAATTACGAGGCATAAGTGACAGTGATGTGATGGAATTAGTAGCAGCAAAGTCAGCACGCCTTGTGTGTGTAAACAGTATACCGCCTCCGAAGCTGTATCCAGTTCTCATTATACATCTGCGGTATGTACTGGAACACTGTGTGTGTGTGTGTGTGTGTGTGTGTGTGTGTGTGTGTGTGTGTGTGTGTGTGTGTGTGTGTGTGTGTGTGTGTGTGTGTGTGTATTTCTGTGTGAGAGTGTGCAGAGGGAATTTGTAGGAAGGTAAAACAAACCTAACTCACACAAGTGATGAGCACATCGCAGGTGGAAGGAGTCACAGCTGTGGACATGGTGATAGAGAGTCTTCTCTATCAGATCCTGAGGCTCGTAGCCTGTCAGCTCTGCAACCCTAAGCAACACACACACACACACACACACACACACATTCTCAGGGTTTATTAAAGCCTTCCCACATTTACACATACACACACTCACGTACACGCCCACACACAAAATATGTAACAAGCAAGTATGCGGAAAAACTCACACCCACACAATTCCATACTGTAGGCTACATGCATACAAAGGCGTGCAGAGAAGACATACGCTACATAACGTACCGTGAGTCGAGGAAGATGAGCTTCATGTCCAGGCTGGCTCTGAACATGAACATGTTGCTGTGCAGTTTGATCTCAGTGACAGCGCTGGGCGGCAACGAGTGGCCGACGGCAACCAGCCCCACGTTCTGATAGCAGCCGTCAAACGGAGATACGTCCAGGCTGTACTGACGGATCTTCAGGTACCCGCTACAGTGTATCACCTGGGTCACAAGGTCACAGATGGAAGTATGAATTTCAATCTATACAATCGCTACATGTTCCAGTAACCCTTTCGTCCGGTTTAGAGGTTCTTTTGCCCTTTCCTGCGAATCTTCCCAGGCATCGAGGTGTAAATTGGCCCTGGAGAGGACCGTTTGGGATTGAAACGTTGGCATGCCCATAGAGTCAAAAAGAGGAATTGGGAACAAACTAAGTGTGTAGGTATTGTTGGTTCTTTAGGAAAATGGGAAATGGAAATATTTGGGAATGGGACATGGCTACAGCTGATAATATCTGCTACAGCTGACAAAACAATCTCAACTCAAGGACCCCTTACTTGCTCTTCACGGAGCGTTCAACCGTATCACACACAGTCTTTATCAGCAGACAAACAGCTCAACTTTTAAACCAACATGGACGTGAATTCCTAAAAGTGCCAAAATAAATGGAAAGTTTACAGTTCCACGACAACTCGGCAAACTCTGTGGATCATGAGATACAGCCAAAGATTCCAGATCATGCAAGTAAGCGGACCTTGATTTGAGATGGTTCACATTCACATTTAGGGCATTTTGCAGACTCTTTTGTCCAAAGTGACTTAAAATAAGTACATCTGTCAGAAGACAGTGAAAAAGCAATACATCGGTATTTTAAAGATGTCAGTAGAACAAGATGATGATAGGTAGGCTAAGATGCTACACAGTGCTAAGGATGAAAGAAGGAGTGCAGGATGAAAGAAGTGTGGCAGAAGTTAGCGATGGACTTCACATGACAGGATTCACAACTTGGATAAAGAAAAGCTGTTTTGATTCTTTTGGTGGTTGGACCCTTACAGACTAAAGGAACATAAATAATCAAGGAACACATTCAGACTTAACGAGCTTTAAAGGTACCATGCAGGTTACACCGGTATATCTATAAGACCAAGACTTTGGTGCTCATTTTTTCTGTTAAATGAACTCAACGAATTATGTTCATACTGACAGTTCGATAAACATTAATATTTGTATCAACGATCCGAGCAGAAGCAGCTAATGCGTGTGAACCCACGGGGTTTAAGAGGGTTTATACATCCAAAGAACTTCTGTAAAAACCAGACCAGGCGTTTAATGGACCAGTAAAGGAGGTAGGCGGCTGTTTGGGACTCGGATATTAATTGAAGGTTTTACGGCAGACCCCCTGACCTTTCATCTAGTGCCACAATTAGGCCATAAATTCCACTTTTATGGTATAAATGACCATATTCAACAAGCTTGTTGCTATGAAATTCACTTTTCACATTTATTATCCATAGAGGATGATCCCTCTCAATTATGGACACTCTGTGGACACAAATTGTTTTTCTAGCCATTAAATTTGCTGCGCAGATTCATTCTCGCTGAGGATGAACCTGTAGGATTGTGATGATCCCACGGCTTTTCCTTTTCCACCACCCTCAACATTATATAGCAAAATTGTCATGTTGTTCGTACCGCTGCAGCAGCCACTAGCAGAGCTTCAGCCTTTTAGTCTTGTTAGCCTTAAATACAATGCAAACATTGATTCAGATTCCCTGTCGACCTACAGTACGTCAAAGCATTAATCACACATGAAGAAAAATGAATTTACAAAGAATGTACTATTTTAGGAGTAATTGTTTGATTTTTTTGATTGATTGATTTACTACTACCTTGTAGCCTCCGCAGGTGAGTCCAGCGTTTCTTTTAGCGAGGACACATTTCATTCTCAGAAAGAAGGAGCGTTCCATCTCATATTCTGCAGAGAATTAAAAAAACATGCAAAAAGCAAGTTATTTATGAGGAACGATGAGTCCAGGCCATATACAGTACAACACACCTGGGTTGTTGATTACCGTGAACAAAGTGTGAATGGTAAGGCTGGTGTGCTGTGAGGACAGCTGTCATTTCATCGTGGTCTGCTGGATGGATGTATTCATAAATGCTGTTTCCCGTCAACTCTACCTGTTGAAATGAACGTACACCTCAGGACTGCGACACATCAGGCCCAACACAACAGAGGAGATCACATTAAACTTGTCAAACCAACCTGCGACAGGCCCAAGTGGACTGATGCTGTTTCTGATATGTACATTATTTTCCCATCTGGAGCAACCACAAAAATGAAGCCATCTAATGTCTGAAAGAAATATTTAAAAAGTGTTATTTAATTAGGTATCAACAAAAATAGTCTTGAGTCCATTTTCATAGGCAACGTGTATACACTATAGTGTCTAATTATTATGATTGTATATTATTGACCTGTAGATAACGCTGCAGAGCTGATATATGCTATATATATATATAGCATATATAATATCATGAAAAATTATATTATAGTTAATAATAAATAATAATAAATTATAGTTTGAAGAAAGGGATGAAATAACAAACAAAAATAACGACTGCTGTTGAAATGTAATTTATTATATTGAGAAGTGTTTCTAATATTTTGTCCACCCCGTTTTTTATCAATTGAAAACTGAACATTATGATTACTGGAAGCTGTATTAGGCTACATTCAGTTTAGCAACATAAAGCCTAACTAATAAACTGAGAGGAAGAAAACAATATTATTACTATAATATTAACTGATAAAATAATAAGGAACATCACCAATAATAATAATAATAATAATCTCAACCTGTAGAAATGAAGAGCTGATTTTCATAGCTGCTAGCTCTGGCTAGCTTGTAGCCACTTGTCCTCACTCTGCTGCTCTCTGGCCAGCATCCAGCTCTATTTGTCAAACCAGCAGACCTACATTGTCTTTATGAAACCATTTAAGGCCGGTCTGTTTGCCTTATTTGATTACTCTGCAGCCCTGTGGACCTCTGTACTATTCTGTAACTCAGACAATCCTGTAGCCCTTATCGGCTTACACGCAGCTCCGTTTGGCACTCTGCTAGGCCTGCCCGACCAGCACCAGCCAATCTGTGGTTCTCTCTGGCCAGCGTGTGGCCTGTAGCCCTGCTCCATTGTGTTGCTGCTGATGTGAGAGGGGCTGCTGGACAGACTGCAGCTCTGTGCGTGACCAGGAATGTGTTCAGCTCATTTCACTCTTAAAGCACATGAATGAAGGCAGCAGGAGGCAGACGGCAGTAGCAACTAAACCACACACACCCTCTACCCATGGTATAATAATAATAATAATAATAATAATAATAATAATAATAATGTCTTGTTAGGGTGAATTTAAGCTGTAGAATTATTTAGATTTTTCATTTAAATTAATATTTTAAGGGCCCTCTTAAGTGACCTTGTGGCTTCCCAGCCACTTGCAAACCCCAAAGCCCACAATGTTTTTCAGTTGCTTTAAAACCGTGAATTCTGTAAAATATATAAACTAGTAAAAAAAATTACCTGTAAGAGATGGGAGCCTAGTTCCTGGCTGACTCCATCCAGAGAACTGCTGCGACTCACATGACCCCAGGACTCCCCCAGGCCTGACAAACAAATCACACACAGTGGAAAATGTAATTATAAGAAATAAAATGTTTATTTTACAATGAAATCCCCTCAGCCTGTTTTTATTTTCCATTTAACTCTTTTAACCCTGATTGTAACCCTGTAACTTTTATTATATTTATTATGTTGCTTTTAAACTTTTTTATATTTCCCTGTTGCTTTTATGTTTTATGTAAAGCACTTTGAATTACCTTGTTGTTGAAATGTGCTTTACAAATAAACTTGCCTTGCCTTGAAAGCAAGACAAAGAATATGATTCAAAATCTTGTACACCAAGAGCATTTCTAGTTCTACAGCATATGCATGACAGAAGACTTATAATTATACCCTACAGACCTAATTGTATTCTGGCTGCATCATAAACAGCAAATGTATATATCAGTACGATAATGTCTGAACAATACATTTATTCCTTTTTCCCTCAGTGCACAATTACTGAATAAGCTTTCAATTTCAAGACTGTAGACTACAAACATTTAACAGCTTCATCTGATCAGAAAAAGTGTTTGTTGCGATGACTTGTCAGCCTACAGCTCTAATAAATACACCCGAATCTGGGAGCGGACCTTTATCCAATCTGGATCACTGCAAATGTCGTAGCGTGAAAACATTTCACTAAACCCTTCCCAACAGTAGTAAATAACATCTCAGATGGCGTGAGGCACAGAGCCACAGCGGACAGCAAACAAGAGTCTGTGCAGGGTCTGCATTGAAATGCAAATCCAGCTCTGCAGAATAAACAGGCGGCATGCAGGGATCACAGCGCCCCGCCGCTCCCGCCCCTCCTGGAGCCCACATGGATCTCACGTTTGCATAAAAAGACACAATCAAATCCCCCCCCCAAAATACCCACAAGTGAAACAACTCACTGGCTTCCACTTCATATCAAATGTAAATCAATATAAAGATAGAGCCTTTAAAGGACTTTACTACAGCGCAGGGTAACACTTCATCACGCGAGCCGCCGGGTCTGAAGCAGAACCAGAAACCGGATTCAACGCACGCAGTACACTGTGGATCCAGCACGGGAAGAGTTAGAAGAGGGATTTTAACATTTAGCTCTGGGGTGCGTCTGTTAAGGCTGTTGGTCTCACACGCACACCGCAATTAGTCCTCACAGAAGTCCTGTAGGCCCCTAATAATATCCACATGAATCAGTTAGAAGTGTAGGAGAGCTGTGCTTTTGCTGGAACGAGAAAAAAAAAAAATTAGGTTATTAGTGAGACGCTGCCCGTTCTGAGGAAAACATACCAATAAGAAATAATCACTTTAATATCCTGTTTTTTGTAGCCTATATTAGATTAGATTGGTTAAACACGCTAAAAGTGAAAGAAAATCTAATGAAGTTTGGTATGCAGTGATAGTATGTCCATAGGAGCTCCTCATCGTTTGGCTGAGGAGAGTCCCGGTGTGGACTCTCCACCTGAAACCATGCACAAGATACTGGACCGGATACTGGACCAATCTGTTTGGGAGCTCACCTGCAGGGAGGTGAGAAAGCTCCTGAAGTGAGCAGCCTCCCTCCTATATTATTTATTCATATATCGCTATATTATTTAAACTATTCATTTCATCATTGGATTATCTTTTAGAGGAGACGTGACAAACGCGCATTTCCCCACTTTATACGATATATTTTACATTATTACAGCAGTGCTTTCCGACCTTTTCTGCTTGTGGCCACAGATTTTACAAAAAGAAGCGATGTTTTTTCCTCGTTTGGGGCCTGAAGAGGTGAAAGCGTCCAGTGTTTCACAAGAAGAAAAAAGCAAAACGAGAAAAGCTCAAAATAAACACAACAATTCATCTCTTTAATCATCTTCGGGTGGGACCCACCTCTTTTAACATAAAAACATCTTCTTCTTTTTTTAAATTTATTTAATATGTAAAATTAACACAATAAAATCTAAAACGCCCGATATCCACTTGGGAGACACATGTTTGAATAAAAAGATAAATAAATCTAGTGAACCGATCGCACTCATCGATGATTTCGTGTTCCACAATTCAACACTATCAGGCCAGCCTGCTGCCTATTATTTTAATCTTTAAACTGGCAGCAATACACAATTAAGAAGTCACTGTTTCGTTAACACGGTCTGACACACTTAAAGACCAGCAATAATAATAATAATAATAATAATAATAATAAACTTTTGGGGGGAGAGTATGAACATGTTGCTGAGGGCACATAAGCAGCAGCGCATTCATATTTATTGAAAAGAACAACTGAGCATAAACATCTCCATGCGGGAATAATAATAAACTACGGTACCTCACTTGAGCCATTTCAAATCTCACTTGGCCATTAAACATAAAGTTTGCATATTTCATAATGCTCGAAATTGAAGCCAACAAGACAAGAAGTCAGTCTGCCGGGGACACCCTAAGATGGACCATGACATCTTTTTTTGTATTACACATTGTAATCTTCCTGACATTTTTTCTTTGTTGTGAAGGTTTGCTACTGTAGCCGTTAAATAAGCTGTGATAAAATGTGAATTAGTCACAGTAAAGTAGATATAAATGGTCGTTTTATTTAGCAGATGTACAGTACATTTAAAACAAGTGATTTTAGCCTCCCTCTCTGTTTAAATCTCTTTCAGGGTTTAGGCAGAGAGGATCAGCAAGATATCTGTGGTGTGGGGTGTCATGTAATTTAATCCCGGATGGACAACATAGCTGAGGTCAAAGGTCATTCAACTGACCACTCTGAGCGCCATAAATAAAAGTACCCCGCCACCACCGCCCCACAAAGTCAGTGAAAAAAAGCCCACTTTGATGCATCCCGTCAAAATTAAGAATACTTTTAGCTTTTCTTCTCCCTACTTATGCAAAACCACTAAAGCCCTCTCAGATGGGCTTCTTCACGACTAACGTGGTGGAGTGTAGGGGAGTCCTCGGAGTAAAAAGGTGTGAAGAGGTCCTGCCTTTAAACCAGCAGATGTGTTTTTAATGGAGAAAACACAACTCAGAGGACAGAGGAGCGAAGCCCTGCAGCCTGCGTGAGCGAGAGCGTCCCTGATTCAGAGAGCTTCATCTGCATACTTATGTCGCCACACATGTGGAGCAGCACAGTACGAGTACAGCAGCCAAACATCTCGCAGTCATGCACGCACAATGTGCAGTGTATCCCTGAAAAAAAGATTTTCTAACTGTTTTTGGTACTTTTCACGCAAAGTACAGCCAAGTGCTGTACTTTACATTTGTGCCATTTTAAGCACTGGTATCTCATCAGAACACAGAAGACTTTGGAGGGAAGAAGATACAAAAGAGTGTTAACATTAAAGGCTAACGTGGATTACGCTTCTTTCCTCTGGTTTATTAGCTCTATTTTCACAGTATATGACACCTTTATTATCAGCTCTACAGCAAAATTGCTCTTTATTAATTATCTGTATATATATATAAAGACCAATGTTCCTGCAGAGAGGATACTGATGGTTTTAATGATACTTTTGATCTTGTACTGGTCTCATTCTGCAGTGTGTGAATCCTGTGATGTAAATGATCAATACAGCCATATTTAGTTGTTGGCTCTCAGAGGGTAAAAACACAGATCCATTCCAGATCCATGTTTCCTTTGTTGTTTCCCCACCAGGTTCTTTGTCACGCCACCATCCCTGTAGCAGGCCTGCTTCAATGTTACAAGGAGCTCCATATGTTGCGGGATCAGACGTGCACATCATACTAATATCCGCGGCTCTGCAGCAGGCACGCAGGACGGAGCCCCATCACAGCTAATCTGCTGGCAGGGGACGCCAGGGGCCCCGGAGAGAAACCACATCACTGCAGGCTGTGGACACGGACCGAGGGACACAGGAGACAGCCGCTGCTGACTCGATATGTGCTCAGTCAGTATGGCGAAATGTCATTTCATATCTGAAGAATATATTCTAATCACCGCGATAAGGATAGATTTCACTGAACAGCCAGGTGAAGATATTTTAATAATAACCTACAGGATTAGGACAAAAATAACAGGCCTACATCAAAGTCCTGAAGCTGGAATAAACACTATAAAAAATGTGCGCACAAGCCTTCATATAGAGATTTTCGTGAGTAAAGCTCAAATAATAAAACATGAAAATGATGTAAAAAAAACTAAAACAAATCACGCTTACGGACGGGGTTTTTTTGTAGGAGAATTTGTAGAACGATGTGGGGGTTTTGTTATATAAATATGGAATGCGGAGATTAGGCTACTGATTTTTCGTTCCTGTAAAATTATGAACAATGAATTTCCAGGATTGCTGGCCACAAATCACCACCCAGAAAATGATATTTATTACATTAAAAAGGACAAAAGAAAATTAAGATAGACAAATATAGCCTATTATTTAGAAAATAATATCAAGAAAGTCTGTAGACCTAATAAAAAACACAAGAAGCCTTGCATATAGCTAGAGCACCAACATAATTTAAATATTAGACTTCGAGCCTGCTGTACTATTAATACTAAAAGGCTAATAATAATAACAACATCCGAAATTATACTATATACTAGAAACTAGAAACTATACTATTAACACTATAGGAGCTTTTTTGCTTTTATATAATTATAATTATAGCCTATAATATAATTTTGTAGGTGTCAGATTTATTATTTTGCTGATAAAATTGGTATTCTGTGTATTTGGATGTGTGTCTTTTTAAAAGCAGCTCTCTTACCTTCGGGGAACACTATTCTCATTTTCAGGTAGCTGGTTGTCAGCCGGATGATGGAGGCTTTGTCCAGCTGGGAGGTGATGGCGGAGGGCAGCGGCAGCAGCTTGGCCAGTTCATAAAACTCACTGTTTTCCTTCTCCCGCCGGGTCCGGGCAGCGTTTTTAGATTTCTCCTTCATGTTGTCCCCTCAGTCCGTGTCAGGCTGTCTCATAGCATCGCAATGGAGCCGCGACGTCTCTGAACTTGAGGATTTCTGGCCTTCGTCGGCCTAAAACCCGCAGCTGCCGGCGCGTGGACGCGTCCCCATATTCCAGGTGTTGCGGTGCTTGGCGACGAACAGGACGCGGGTAATTCCTGGATTTCTGAGGCTTCTAGTGGCGTTTTGGTCAGCCCGTTGGGGGGCTCACCGCACACATGGATCCATCACACCTGGTGTTAAAGGGACCTGTGGAACCGCTGGAGGCATGAGGCCCTGCAGGACGAAGACCGGGTCAGATACACTTTGATTTGTAGGCTACCGTTATTTGGGCGAGACATCCCCCGTGTCTGTCAGCAAAACTAAACTAAACACTTGTTTGAATCCTTCTGCAGAAATGTAAGGTTAGTGGCTGTGTTCTTATAAATCACATTTAACCAGGTGCTTGTTCACTTACCTCCGCGCAGACGCGGCCGACAGGTCGCTAAACTGACGCCTGTTTGGCTTCAACGTGTCCAGAGAGAGTCTCCAAAAAAGCCCAGCATTCGCATATCTTCGATTGCATGTGATTTTGTGGATAGCGGCGCATCCTGAGCCTCCTCAGTGCTGCAGGCGCGAGGGCCCGCCCACCACTGCACGCAGCCCTGCTCCTATTGGACGGTTGGACACCCTGCTCGCATATACATTGGCCAGTACTCGTAATGACGTGCTCACGAGGAACGGGGATTGGCCGGTTGTAGATGTTCACCTCTGGCCCGAAGTGGAGAGAAAATCCCCCAGAGCCCGTTCCCTCTGCTCTGAGAGAACCGGGTATGCAGAACTCCTGAAAACATATGTCAGTTTAAAGGATCTATTTTCTATTTTTTTTTTTTTTTTTTTTTTTTAAATAGCTGACACATTTAGTAAACTGATTTATATAATAATCCATGGGAGCTTGTCTTTCATGTGACAAGCATGCGGGCCTATCTATCCTTACTTAACTTAATGCAGGCCAGGCTATTTCAATTTTCATCATTTATAAAATCAGGCTAACAACCTGCATCCAGCAACATCCGGGTGTCGCCCTCACTGGCAGCAGTGTGTTTTAATACAAATACAAACATTCAAACAACTTTCCTTCAGAAAGGTCAGGCCATGATCCAGGCCACTATTTGCTGTTGAGAACAGTCAGATTTCTGAAGGAAGTTTGGCTTCCATGGTTCTTAAATTGTAGGCCTCTCCTGATCCCGAGCATTCCAACATGCGCTGATCCGGTTCTGCCGATGTTGTTTTATTTAAAGCACGCGATGTATTTATGGCTTATTATTGTATTTGGTTTATATGACACAGAGACTGGTTTATGTGAACTATAGGCTGCGTCTCTAAAATCAAAGTTGAAATGGTTTCATAAGTTGCTTTGTATTTTCTAAGACGTTCATCTTGGCCTACTGGTTGAGTCTCGGGAAATGGAAATGTGCCATCACGTTCTGCACACAGGAGTGGATAAAGGTTCATTTCAGTTTCTTGGTAACATTTTCTAAAATAGATATAACAGGCTATATAGCCTATATTTCCCATAGCCTACCTTTGTGTGCCTATTATGAAAACGCTGATTCTTACTGATGAATTACTGTATCTGCACATCGCAGTAGAATAAACAGGTAGTCCTACTCAGATTAATGGAGGTGTCACGAGGCCACGTGGCATCTGATGTTAGACCCTTTCAGAGAAGCCCGACTTACTCACCTTTACCTGCAGACACCACTAACACCTGTTTAAAAGTGGTTATTGGTTTAACGCGTCTTCAGATTTTACAGCAGCTGGTTTATACAGTAAAGTTATTATGAATGCGGTCATTAGCGTTTAGGCTTTCGCATAGCCTGTTACTGGACGCAGGCTTCATGCTGTTAAAGACCAAGCTTAATTCGAGGCTACCGTTGTTTCCCGACCCTTACAGGCCTGGATGCTGGTGTGGGAGCGCGCGCACACACACCCACGCACACACCGTGCGGGCTCGCTCCCTCTCCGGCTGTGCTGGAGCCAGCGCGCCCGCGCGGTAATGGGATCCAGCCTGCGGTGAGGAAATCACCCGAGATGCTGGAGGCGCACGAAATGGTTGACGCTGGTTTAACCTTCGCTTCAACTCCAAATTTACTGGTAATTAAAGTGCGTCTGTGGAAAATATGACGATCGAAAGTCCTCCATATGGCGAAGTCTCCGCGCAGTCAGCGCCGACTTAGCCCGGATATGCAGTGATCACAACACGCTGATTATATTGTTCAAAGATCAGAGCTGTTACAGAAGCATCCGAACAAACGTTTCAGTGAACTAGATATCCGACTATTTGCTTTTGAGATGCAAAGCTGACTTTTTATTACAACAACATTCAGAAAGAGCCTCCGGACAGCAACAGGTGTTCTTAAACAAATAATGCAACAGAAATGATTATTTGGCTACTTTTCCTACTGGTGGATACATACCCAAGGCTGGATTAACAGCCATGCAAAGAGGGCAACTGCGAAAATGAGCTGTGGGCCCCTCTTCAGACTCCCACACTTACCCATCACAGTTTTGACCCCAAAATTCCTACCAGTACTCTTGAATACTGTCCTGCCCTAGATGTGCTGTGTGTCACGTAGTTTGTGAACATTTGATTAAACTAGAGCTGCTGCTTCATTGATTTTTCTATTAGTTCCAACATTTATTCTGCAAATATTGTGAAAAACAATTCATTTTTTAACAAAAGTAAAACTCCAGAAATGTTATTCCAAGATCTACAATGTGCAGATCTGATGCTTTTTTTGGTTTTACATTAAAGTCAACTTAGCCTTTTAATTGTACAAAAGACATTTAATGAGGTCAGTGTTCTCTCTAGGATACAGTGAGGGGCATTTTATTTTAAGTTTTCTGATGTTTTATAGCTCAATATTGATTCATTGCTAAAATAATTGGCAGCTGAGTCCAACATGACAATAATAATTACTTGTAGCCCTGATGAACACACCTGTTAAACATACTATAAAATTAAACATTAAAAGTCTTAAAAACTAGCGTTTGACACAGGGCCCCTCTGCAAAACGGGGCCTCAAGGTGCAGACCAAAGGGAGATTACGATACAAGTTTTTATTTCTATTGTTGGTCTTATTTTTAACTAACTTTTGATTCATTGCAAATTTATTTCATAGTTATTTACCATGTTGGTAAACTGGCGTTGGGCCCTGAAATCAAGAGGCCCCTAAAGCTCCAGTCTTAATGTGCGTTCACAAGTTTGTGCTGATTTAAGTGAAAGCTTATATTCCACTAAAACACAACATCAGTTGTCAAATTCCATTTTCAAGACCTTCAGTATTTCAGTTGTAAGTTGCATCTTTCGGAATTCATGTGTGTTTATTCAGATGACCACACAGCAAACCTGGGCTCATGTAGTAATCCGGCATGGAACAACTGAGCGAGCTGCACAGAGAGTGGGGGGGGGTTAACTGTGACAAGTGTATTTTGTACTAAATGGCAGAGGTCAGACAGATACAGTGTGTTTAACAACACTTAACGCAGGTTGAAAAAGCACATGGGATTTGGAAAACATTTTTGTTGGTTAAGGGCGCAGCCAGGATTTTAGAAATACTGAGGTCATAAATTCAAATTGTCCCCCACTCAACCCACAGAAACATTTTTGGACTAACCACAGAAAAAAAAATCAAACATTTGGGAACATCTGGGAATAAAAAAAAAAAAAAAACAACAAAAAGACAATACATAACAGAGATTGTTTACATGTGTAATGTTTTTTACTTTTTAATTATGTTTTATGTAAATGTCCTAACATTATGGTTAAATGCTGGGAACCCTTCTTCACACTGCCACATATGTGGAATACTAAATCCCTTTATTATAATGTCAAATTTAAGCTTACAACTGTCAAATCTGAACATAGGTGGTCTAAATGTGTAATATGTGTGTGTGTGTGTGTGTGTGTGTGTGTGTGTGTGTGTGTGTGTGATCTTATGATGTCAACTTCTCCTCACATCAGTGAACCAGAAATATTACAGGGGATGTGACCTCTGTCATAATTGCTGTTATCTGCTGGTAATCTGTCTTGGATGGATCTTTGGAAGCTTTATTCAGCACACTGGCTATTATGAGCGCCAACACAATAACTGGATTATAGCCCACTATTTAAAGTAGATGTAAACAAGTGTGATTCAGTGAAAAATGTTGTGCACGATAAACAGCTTAAACAGGGTTTAAGAAGTGTGCAATAAAATGTAAAGATCGTCAATGCATGCACAAACTGTGACTGTCAGGACATTCTAATCCCAAGGGTCTAAGTACAAATTGAATGATGAACTTTGAATACACTTTTGATGTCAGTGTGGTTGTTTCTAAGAAATACGGATCCTGCGTTTGAGTTTCTGGGGTTGATGCTGTAGAGTTATTAACATTTCATCCTCAGCCGTCAAGCCATTTCTGGGTGTGTCTTACATTATAACAGGGACAATTCATTTATAAGAAACTACCCATCATCCCATTAGTGCACAGCCCAGTATAATTCAGTGCCAACAGGCCTGTTTGACAGAAGACATGTTGGCATGTCCCTGTAGGAAAAGCACAGGTGTACATGAATGATGACTCAATTCCATCTAGCTGCTTTGGTTTCAGCCTCCTGGTGTTGTGCTGGCTGGCTCACTGGGCTTACTTGGACACTTGCTGCCATCATTAATGCTATTAGCAACACCTGTGCTTTTCCTGGTCTGACAAGACAAAGTGTCTGCTATGAAAAAGGCCTATACAGGAAGCAATGCGGCCTTTATGTAGCGAGGCAGATGTAAGGGTGTGAAGTAGCACATCTGACTTTCATGCCAGAGACCGGAGTTTGCATCGTGTCGGCCTTTTCTTTCCAACCATAAACACGATCTTTCCCCAAGTTTGTTGGGGGGGGGGGTTGCCCAAAGTTGCCCAAAGTTGCCCAACCTTAACAGCAGTTTATGAGCAATAATCAGTATAACCAGGATCTTTAAAACTACTCCACTGATGTAGCGTAGCCCTCCTACAGCTTAAGTTGGTAGTTTACATACACCTAGGTTGAAGTCATTAACCTCTTACTTATTCCTACTTATTCCTGTGAAATTCGCCTAAAAAGAAAACTGAATGCAGTTCTTGAACCATTTATATTAAATGCATGGTTTTGGGCTTTTCTGTATGACAACAGTCTGAAGTGTCTAACCCAACAGTCAGAATCACTGTAAGTGCTACTGGAATGGATTAATAATAGTTTGAACACACTAAAATACATTTTTCTTTTCCACTTGAAAATGTTTGTTAACACATGCATGCAGACAACTATAGCTGGGACTTTTTGTTGTAATATAGTCGATCAGTGCGACCACTGTGAGGTTTCGTAGTACGTAGGTAGATTTATTTTGTCACAATATAACAGGTTATAGAGTGAAACTCCCTTCTGCTACACAGCAGACAGTATACATTAATAAAGAAGCATTTACAAAAACGGTAAACAGAAATAATCTATCATCAGTGGAGCAGTGCTGAGGATGAATTAGAGTTTAAGAGTCTGATAGCTTGGGGGGGGGGAAAGCTGCTCTGCAGTCTGGTGGTGCAACAGCAGATACTTCTATATCTTTTCCCAGAAGGCAGCAGGGTGAACAGGCTGTGGCTGGGTGGGTTCTGTCCTTTAGTATCTTTGGGCTCTGCGTAGTCACCTCACCTCACTGATATCACTGATGCTCAGGAGATGGGTACCAATGATCTTCTGAGCAGTTTAATCACCCTGCAGAGCCCTCCGGTCCTGGGCCGTGCACGTCCCACGCCAGTTTGTGATGTTTCCAGTCAGGATGTTTTCTGTTGCTCCTCTGTAAAAGCTCACAAGAATGCGGCACGGGAATTTGACCGTCTTAAGCTTCCTCAAGAAATAAAAGTCGTTTCTTCAGCAGCGTGGAGATGTGAGACGACCATGTCAGGTTCTCTGTGAAGCTCATTTTCAGGAAGCTGAAACTGCATTGGTTGAATCAAACAAAGCTTTCCAATGGTGTATCATGAGTTTGAACTTAAATTTATCAGTTGTGGGCACATACAGAAACCTGTTGGAACAGATACTTTGTTCTGAATCAATTTGAATAAGTCACTTGTGTTCACACAGTTCAAATTGCTTACCCTTCTAGGGCTTTCCTTACGCCATTAAATCACTACCTCATGCGAAAAATGAATCACGGGTTGACTTGGTCCTGCGAGAAGCTGCCTCATAGATATTTGGTCAGAACACATCTCCCAGATGTTGGTCACCACAAGAGCACTGAACTCTACAAAATGGTTAGTGAATGAAAGAGAGGGGTTGTGAACGCTGCGATGAGAAAAAAAAACTCCGACAGCAGTACATTATACATTAACCACAAGAAAATCTATTAAGATATTTTATTTGTTGAGGAAAAGGGACTGAAAAAAGATTTTATCATAATTGTTCTGACCATAAAGAAAAACCACAATAAACCTTCTGGTTTCCTCAACTTTCACACAGGAGCAAAAATCAGCCTTTGAACTTAAAAGAAATAATGATTAGACATTTATCCTGATAATTATTGATATAGAACGATATGAAATTTTTTATCGTGATAACATTTTTGGACGTATCGCCCAGCCCTACATCAATCCAATTGAAAATTTGTGGGCAAACCTAAGTGTGTGCGAGGCCTACAGACAGAACTCTGTTCTACTGTTATTCTGACAATTCACATTATTAAATTAAAGTAGTGATCCTCACTGACCTAAGACAGGGAATGTTTACTAGGATTAAATGTCAAGAAATACAAAAAGCTAAGTTTGAATATATTGTGTGTAAACGTCAGACTTCAACTGTTTAGGGATGTCACGATACCAAAAATGTAGAAGTTGATCCCGATAACAGTAAAATTCCACGATTCTCAACATTTAATAAAAACATTCAACCATTACAAAAAACAACTTACAGCTGTGAAAGTTGTGAAAGAACGTCCAGGACAGATGAGAGGTGATCTGATGTCAATATTCATAAATGAGCAGGCTCTTGAAATTACAACCTTGGAACTGTGCATATTTAATTAATAATACTTGTTTTTCGGAACTTTTCTTTACAAACTCACAGGTGTGAATTGTTTAAAGGTGGTCACTATCTATATTGGCAGTGGTTTGAAATTGTGTGTTTAAAAACAAAAAAAGTTATTGATGATTGAAATGGATTGTATTGCACTTTTAAGACGGCCCCTAACGCTGTTACCGTGACAGGCGTGGCGGACGGACATTCATTTCGTAGTGCTGCAAAGTGCATCGCCATCTTTGGTGATTTTCAGGTGATCAAACTGCCTTAATTAGCTCTTCAACATATCTCTAAACTGGAAGACATCGAGGCTTTAAGACGAAGCCATTGAAGGTAACAGCTGTGAAACTAACTTAACCCCTGCGGTCATTGAGAAAGCGCTGACATTCAATATTGTTCAGCACAGTTTGAGCCCAGTTAGCACACAGCTACCCAGGTGGAAACACAAACAGTCGTAATTAATAACACACCAATCAGAAGCTTCAATAGATTGATAAAAAGGGCCGGAGTCAGTTCATTCAGTGTAGGAACAATGAATCCAGATAAATCTGAAGGAAGAGGACACCAGAGAGGAGGAGGTTATTTCTTCTGTGTTCATAATGTGAAAAAGTTTTTGAGGGGGAGAACCACACGCAACATTACTAACAACCAGTTTTTGTAGTATTGTTTTGATTTTTTCCTCACCAGTGTGTAAAACTGTGTTGTAGTGTGTGTTTTTCAGGAGCTGTGTGTTTTGTCAGAGGGCAAAGATTGAATGGTTTTGAGTGCAGAGCTTCATTTTGACCTGAAAATAGGATGTTTGGGGAATTGGGTGAGAAGTTGTGGATTTGTGTTTAGAGCTTTAATAAAAAGCGACATCATTTTAAGAAATGTGTTTAAGCAATTGAGAAAAACTTTAAACAACAGGGTTGAAGTGCACGACGGCTGTGAGTCGACGAACACAATCTGCGCCGATGTTAAAGCTATGATTTCTTTATTAAAAATGTACCAAATGACGCTGTGAAAATAATGTGATTTCCCTCAGGAGCCAGAGGAGACCAAAAACAGAGCTAAAAGGAGGGGGAATATCAGACTTACTTTCATCAATTAAATACCATCGATTAGGTGTAGTTGGAATTAATCTCCCCGTGTCTGCGTGGGTTCTCTCCGGTTCCTCCTAACCCTCCAAAATCATGCGGCCTAGATGCGACCCTGTACGCAGGATAAGCGGTTGACGATGGATGGAATTAGAGTCCATCAGTATGTTGCTAAGGCACTGTATGTGGTCATCTGTTGGCGTAACCCTTTACAGGCAAGACACTGCACTCAAAAAAATAATTTGTTGGGACTTTTTTAATCCAGTTCTGTCAACAATTTCCACCAAACTGAGTTGAGTTAGATATAATTAAATAGTATTATTATGATGCCGAGAACTGACTTATGTGCAACCAACATGATGTTTTAGGCAATTCCAACATTATCTGGTCAACTTGGATTTAATTAATAGGTCAGCGTCCAGTTAACTAAACTGAAGCAACATCATTTCAACAAAATCCTGTTTGTTTAGCTTTACTTAACTGTGATGATTAATGCCAACATAAAGATATTTCATTATACTGACTTAACTCACTTGTGTAAATTTAACTTAATTGTTGGACATCCATTACTCAACTGCATTTAGCAATACCAACTAAACTGTACTTTCTATAGTACTTTGATTCAGTGATTTATTACTAATGAAACACATTATACTGTACTCCATGACTGTGTTGTAATGGTACCTGCTCTACTGAAGACTGGCGATACCTTGCTATGGCCCAGGCCACCCAACATCCTAGGTTCACGCTCAGAGAGGAAACAATCAGTTTTTTCCCGTATGACACAAAACTGCAAAACCAAAATGATGTGTGTTTTATCTTTGGATCAATGTCTCAATTAAGATTTTCTAAACTAACAACTAATTCTAAATCAATTCAATACACCAAAGCTATTTTTTAAATATTGTGTCACAAGAACCGCAGACTCCATGCAGCAGTTAACCCTGAACCCAACAAGCCACAGTGGTTGTTATAAGTTGGATAGAGTGTCTGTGGGGGTCTATTTTATTTCCTCCTGTCTTTAAAAAAACAAACAAACCCTAGAACATAAGTTCACCTGTTATCTACATCTTTGGTCAGGTAAAGCACAAATCAGCACCAGGCTGAATCTGTAAAGCATGTCGCGTTCTGACCACATCTCACTGGTTGATATATATTCTCCTGACACAATATCCAGCAATATTACAGCCTAGGTTATGCTAGTGAAAGTGACTGCAATAGAAGTTTATGAATTGAACGCGCCAGGGTGGAAACGCTGTGTGAATATAGTGAACGTTGGTTGATTCTATTGCCCAAGAGAGACACCATTCTCCTCGGCCTATGAAAGGGTAACGGGGGACACGGTTCCATAACTCTGTAGCAGCCTCTGTCACATCGTGGATGTTGACTGGAATTGATTTTTTTGAGTAAATGTTGTGGAGCCCAGTTTGCCCAGACAAACTACAGTGGCATTCAAAATGGCAGTGAATGCTCCACTGGCAGAGGCTCTGTCCCATTTCAGGGCTGCCTCCTTCAACATGGCTTCTGAAAGTGGGGTCTTTGGAGGACTGGACTAATTCAACAAAGCATCATTTCCGACAGTACCCAAATGTAAGGCCTCGGCATGCTTCATGCTTGTTGGATGATCGAATCGACCTAGTTCATCTGAATATCAGGATTTTCAGATCACGAGGGGGGAAAACTTTATTTCAGAGGCACAAAGGGAACAGGACAGCCTCACTGCTCTGTTTTTACATATTTGTTCTAGACTTTAAAGGAGACACCTTCTGAAAATGGGACATAACTACTGTCCATCAGTGACGTTACAGAAGGATCGATGACTGATGGCTTTGAGGTAAATCCATTAATTGAAAACATGAAATCTGTTTAACTAAAGCAAGTAACTAAATGAAGATCATATTTATTTCAGTTTGAAAGAATCACAGGAGATACTTCTAGACCTAATGTACCTTTTTCTCTAACAGCAGGTTCAACAGACCAGAATGCACTGCAGTCACATTACATATGTTATCTTCTATGTAACTGAAGCAGATCAGCTGATGCAAAGTGGGTGCAGCAAAATAGTAAACTCGTCATTGCAAAATGATGACGGGAATGCACTGATCATCAGAGATCAGCGACACCTAACAGCGTGAGGAAGACCTCCTCGGACACAGTCCCTGTGTTTCAGATTCGTCCCACTCAGCTGCTGATCACTGCAGGCATCCTTGGAACTGTGTTACTGCCGCTGACGGTGGCTTCCTCTGTTCCCGAGCTGAGGGACAGGTCAGTCACTAAGTGACACTTCTGTGTTGACCTGAGCAGCGATGCTGGCAGGCTTTACATTCAGGTGGATCTCGTACTGCTGGTCCAGACCCAGGTAGCTGTCGCTCATCAGGTACAGCGTGTAGATACACCTGAAACCGGAAGGTACATGAGTCAGCAGACAGAAATTTATCCCAGTGGTGCTGTAAAATTCTAAAGCCATTTGTTTTTAAACTTGCAACAGCTAAAACTCAGGAAGTCAAGGGCAAACCTGAGTTGTAGCTGCTCAGGTCATTTCTGGCAGTTTCTGGCAATGCAGTAATCTGAAGTTTCTGATTTGACTCATGACTAATTCTTCACAGTATAAAATGGTCTTTTTTTCTGTTTGGTTACAGTCTGGTGATATTATGTAGTTTTCTTATAGTCAGCAAAGCCTGACGTATCGTCTTCCTCTGTGCCATAGAGCTACATTGTTGTCCAAAAACTATTAAAAACCACAAACACACACACTGTAGTTTATTCTGACTCAATCCCACACACACAGTCCTGCTGCTGAGTAGTCCCCAACAAACGTACCATTTCTTTCTGTTTGGGTAATGTTTGTTAGAAACTACAGTTTCTAAGATTTATATGTTCAGTAGGAAACAATGGGCTTAAGACTCGGAGCCACAGACAGAAAGTATTGAGAGAAGGACAAACACATTGTTTTCATGGGGTTTGGTCACTTCCCACAGTCTAGTTTCCATTATAATGAGGTAGGGAATCTAAAAGTAAGGAACAATCATCTATGTTCTGGTGAAATGGCTGGTCTATAATGGCCTGTTGTCAGGCGAATGATGCAGTTCGCCTAGTCTGACCTGAAACTAACCTACTGAGGAGTTTCCTTTCAAACACTGCGTATGGAGTGTACAGGGAAAGCTTGTAAGACTGCTTACTTTCCAGTCTTCTCCGGTGTGTAGAAGGCCACAGACACAGCTGTGTGGTTGCGCACGTATCCGGTCCGTTTGACAGCCAGCAGCTCCCTGTGATCCACCTCTCCCAGGACTAGGAACCAGCCTTCATCCTTCACCTTGGGAAACCTGGGAGCCTGGGCCTTACTGTCCTGCTTCCTCTGAAACAGCAGACACACTGTAAAGTATCACGGTGATACACAGGCTTACATACTCACTATATAAAGTTTATTTGATTATTAGATCTCAGTTGAAGTGCCTTTACGTTTACAGCTGTAAGACAAGATAAACTTTATTAATACCTGACAGGGAAGACTGTATTATGCTAGACAACATACCACAGCTGATAAAGCAATCGTACTGATCATAAAGTGAGTTTGTGCTGGTTTGTCATTCCCATGATGCACTGAGCTCCTCTCTCCTCTACTTTCTCTCCCTCTGTATGCAACCTTATCCCATTATTGCATGTTACTAACACAACTTCTCCCCTTTCTGGTAGTCTTGTGCTTTCTCGTCCCTCTCCTCTCTCCTCCTATCACTTCCTGCAGGTTTTCTGGCTCTGGAGCTGTGGAGTCTGGATCTGTGGTTGCGGGTCACCTGCTGCCCCCGTGTTCCTGCTCGACACCCTCTGCTGCAACGACTGTTGTCGCTGGTCTTATTGTTATTATAATCATTAACATTACGATGGTTACCATTAACACTATTATAAATATCTGTACCATTTTTCATTTAGTTTATAGCAACATTACCTTCGCTGTCTGTACCTCTGTGTGTATATTGTGTAGGCTGCCTCCCTCCCCTCTCTCTCCTTACATCCCTCTCTCTCTCTCTCTCTCTCTCTCTCTTTCTCTCTCTCTCTCTCTTTCACTCTCTTCTCTCTCTCTTTCTCTCTCTCTCTCTCTCTCACCCCAACCGGTCGAGGCAGATGGCCGCCCACCCTGAGCCATGGTTCTGCTCGAGGTTTCTGCCTCTTAAAAGGAAGTTTTTCCTTGCCTCTGTCGCCTAGTGCTGCTCTTGGTGGGAACTGTTGGGCTTCTGTAAATAACATCACAGAGTACGGTCTAGACCTGCTCTTTTATGAAAAGCGCTGTGAGATAACTGTTGTTGTGATTTGGCGCTATATAAATAAAATTGAATTGAATTGAATACACATGTGTGGTGTGTCCATTTAAAGTAACAGACCAAAGAGCCACAACACATTTCTTATTTTCAATAACTTTTTGACCCTTTCACTACAGAAAAGGTGTGTATTCAGAAAAGGTAACTGAGCCCTTTAAACATCCACACCATCTGAGGATCTTCCTCAGACAGAACTGCATCTGCACCCAACATGCAAAGCAGCCGTACGCAGCAGTGTATGGAGCAGCATTACTTAAGGTCCCTGGTAAATGACTGGTCAGCCATGCAAGTGTGTGTGTTCACCAAAGTTGAGTCCACAGGCTCGAGGTTAAACAACTCTTGTTCCCAGTCTGTCAAACAGAGTTTGGGTTCTAAGTAGTCCTTAGTGTTCCTGTATAGACTAAGCACTGAACGTAATGTAACAGACTGCAGCCACTTATTCGTAATGTCTGATCTAATATATGCTTGTAGTATTTGTTTTGGTTAAATGTTGTGTTTTTGTTATGTGTGTGTACATTATGGGGTGCATGACAAATTTCTGATGATAAAGTGAAATCAAATCAATTGTACTTTTACTTTGCTGCTGTGAGTGAAACAACTGATCACAGTGGCTCCATTCAAATATATATAATCAAAATTTGGTCCAAAGTTATTTTGCTGTTATACATGCGTATCAGTTCTAGCATTAAGCTCAAAGCACAACTGTGACTAACAAATTCCTGCTAAAGCTAACAGATGACAGCGGAGTCTGATGAATGTTGAACTAAGCCTGATAACGTAGAGCTGATCTAAGATCTAGGAACAGCAAAGCTGCCTCTGGTTTGCAGCCATGTTCAGGTTTGTAATGAGAATTACAGCCTCACCCGTCTGTCTGGGAGGCAGAGCATTAAACATATCGCTAAGCCCATCCTACACGGCACCTAACCGGGAAGCTACAGAGTGAGTCAGAGTCGCAGAGTCATGTTTGTGTCGTAGGGCTGTTGTGATATATTGAAATACTGCACTATTCGCAAACCAACTGCAACAAGCTATGTTCATACCTTCTTGCTTTACACTGTGTTAAATAAATCTATCAATGTTTAAGAAATTCGACAAGCAACATGAGGGCCGTAACAGTAACGGTTCAAGAGCAAGGACGGACCACCGTGTGCTGCCATGTTTTTTATGCTGTTTTACTGTTTCTTTTGTAGGTTAGCTAACTTTAGTAGGCTGGGCGACACTGGACTAATGTTGTAATATTGAAGGACAGTCAAAAGAAACTGTGTGAACATTAAGCCTCATTTGAAGCGCGCTAAATACCGAGCGCAGTAGGTTGTTTGCCTGTAAAACTTGTTTTTCATGTTGCTTTTTGCAAATCTTTGGCTAAACAGAAGCACATTCTGCTCCGCACCGGTGCGTGGGTGTGTTGTTGCTGTTTGTACAGAAATGGCAATAATACGGCTGATGAGCCACAGTAGATCATTACTTCACTGCGACAGCCCTAGATGAATGTCTAATATTCACTCTCCTGTTAGCTCTGTTCAAAAAACACCTGGCTCTCTAGCTGCAGAACGCTCCACTATGTTCACCAGCTAGTCTCTAACTGTGTGTCTGCTGTTTGGAGCGGAGGAGGTCGTGCGCAGGGGGTTTATCAGAGCCTGGTCTCTGGAAACAGCAGCCTGCTGTTGCTGGAAACATGGACGACGACAGTGCACAGACGGAACTAATACCCTAAAGACAAGAAACATGTGAGCTCAAAACAATGAGCTGAAACTCACTAAAAAGCTCCGCAGAGCTAAGGGGAACTGCAGTCGGGTGATAGCGACACATTACATGTAGTTAATATTTACAAAGATCTTCCTATTTGGTGTGTAACTATGCAGATACACATGTTTTCCACTAATACACATTTCACACAGTTGTATCTTGTCAACAGAGTTTCTAATGACACATTCCAATGACTTGATAGAAAGTAGTTTTGGCATCGGGCGTACTGACCCTCTGCTGGCCCAGGTTGATGCGTCTCAGTGACACCTGTAGGACGTACTCCTGGTCAGCGTGGACATCCAGCCAGCTGCTCTCCTCCCTCAGGTTAGGTCCTGCTACAGGCAGGGGACGCTCCGTCTGCTCCTGGCTGTCCTCCCACCAGCCCTTCACACTCATCTCAACCTCCAGCACGGGGAGATGACTCAGGAAGGACCATGCCTGACGAGGGACAAAGAAGACGGTGACAAGAGGGAGACGGATTAGGAGGAGGGAGACTGTATCTATTATATGCTGTTCCACATCTAACCAATCACTTGATCATAGAGGGCTATTCAACTTTTCTTTTAGTCTAGGACAAGGCTTACTCACGTCTCAAATCAAGGAAGCTTTTCATAATTTTAGTGACCAAGATCTGCTAAAAAGCTCTGTCTGGAGGAAAAGACAGCTACAGCTCAATATCCTTTTGGAGGACAACATTATTTGTACCCGTTTCACAACTGAAATTCCTTTTGCTGAAAAGTATTCCAGCGTTATTTAAATAAATGAATGTGAAAATCACTTTCACCTGTCTGTGTGCCGGTGGAGGCTCTTAATATAGGAGCTGGAGCACAGGCTTATTCAATCTTATCCACTGTCACCATTATTATGTGTGCATACTCCTACTGCTTTCATTGGACCCTGCATTACTATGAAGTTTGTAGACGGCTTATGAATCATCCGGTGTAGTAAGTGGACTTTAAAATGATGCTACTAACTGTCTTCTTTCTCTTCCCTCTCTGCTATGAAATGAGTTCACCTGCTGAGGACAGCCTGGTGTGCCGGACTTATGTCCTATCTGTCGTGGCGCTGATTCCACGGGTCCTATAATTCAGATGAATCCCTGGTTCTACCACGAACAACAAAGGGTCCTCCTATGGGGACAAGCCGAAGAACACTTTATGGTTCTAGTTAGCACCTGTTCTTCTAAGAGTGTACCAGACACTAGACCTGTGGCAACAGAATGGGACCCTACCCGTGTCAATTAGGCCGTACAAAATTTGCACCCTTAACTTGGTCGATCGTGGTTCTTAGGAACTTCTGAAGACGTTCACTCCAAATGTTCACTCCAGACACAAGACTCAAGTATTGGAGCTATGATTTTTGTATTTCTCATAAAAATCTGCTTCTTTTTAGTTGTTCAGTTCTGGTCCATTTTGTGTTCACACTACCTCATTATCACAAACCAACCAGGAGGTGTAAACGTGAAGTCACACTGACTCACAGGTAACTTACTGTATGTATTAGACAGTTTTAGTGACTTCATCATGTGTCGTCATGAACCCACATGGGAAAAATCTAATTCTGGTGACTGACAGTAAGTCATACTGCACTTTACTGAACCACGTGTGTTTATTTAGCTTCTCAGTCACAGAGAACCAACAGATCCACAGACAGCAGCCGAGACGCCAACCGGACAGCTAACTCCGTGTCATTGTCAAACATATCAGAGAAAATTCCCCCAATCACGTGCTCACAGGCATATGAGTTACCAAGGTTACCAAATAATGGTGGAATCACGATGCTGGCTCTACACTGTGATGTCTGTCAGCCACGACTTCACAATGGCCTCATCTATCAGCCTAAAGCTACTTTGACCCAAACCAAACTCAGTTCACTTCACCCCGGATCTGCAATTATGCAACTAATTCTTAATCATATGGCTCAAATTAACTATACATTGTTATTCTTTATAAAGTATGTTTTCCATCCTTTTCTGTTCATCTCGTTTTTTTCTTATTCATTTAAAAGTGGTGCTCAGAAAGGAAGTGCAGAATTCTGAGAAAAAAAAGCACAGAGAGTGAAAGAAAACTGGTGGAAGGTGTGTGTGTGTGATTGTGTGTGTGTGTGTGTGTGTGTGTGTGTGTGTGTGCGCATGGCAGCGTATTGAGAGCTAGGAGGAGAAAAGCCTCTCTGATTCACCCGGCAAAAGCTATTTATGTGAGGATTACTCTCCCTGAGCCAGTCAGACAGAAACGCTGCTGCACATCTAATTATTTAATTAGAGAGGCCGCCACACTGTGGGAGGGGGTAAGGGCGGTGGGGGGTGTAAAGGTGGGGAAGGAGGAAATCGGGGACACTGATTGGGTGAAGACACAGGGCCTGCCGTCGTGCCCGGACACTCTCATTACTGCTGCAATTAGCACTTAAATTGGAGCTGTAAACCCTATCAATGGAGCTGTAATTGGGGATCCTGGAGGTACCTGGGACCACAGTGGCAAGACTGCCAATGGCACGTCACTGATAATGGTGTGTGTGTGTGTGAGATAGTATGTAAACTGCATGCATTAAATGTGGGAATAGGCCCATTCTGAAGATACTTTTGGAAAGCAAGTACAGTATTCAAGTACTTGAAATCTATTTTTTCCGTTGTCTCTGTAGTAAAAACAACATTCTCCAGCGTTTGAATACTTTACTGACTTTGTGCTGTTGGTGTGAAAATATAATAATGTTTTCTTACCTGGGCAATGTGACTTGATTGAAACTCCTGGCTGACGATAGCAGCGAAAACGCTTTCCTTTCCATTGCAAACAGCAATCAGCTCAGGAAGTCCTTCGATTGGCCCGTTGAAACCTCCCACACTGCTTCTTCCCTTCCTGTTTGTCCATTTCCTGTGGAATGATTGGAAGAGAGTGAAGTGAGAGATGCTCGGCCATGAGGCAGCATCACAACAAGTCCCACCCCACACTTCCTGCTGTCTTTCACCACAGGGAAATCATTTTTATTGATTTTGTACAAAATTATTCGACACTGTTGGATGCAGCCCTGGAAATTCATATGGTGCCTGCGTGGAAACACTACTCCAGTAATATTTATATGTGTCTGACTGCATGTGTGTGCATATGTGCCGCATGTACAAGGCTGAGTCCTTACTGCAGCAGAGTGGTTCGAATCCAGCCTAAAGCCCTTTGCTGCATGTTGTCCCATTTCTCTCCCTCATTTCCTCTCGCTATCCACTGTCCTCTCAAATAAAGGCAAAACATTGCCCAAAGAAATTCTTAGATAACACACCTAGGATTAATTAAGCGACCAAGAGACTTAAGAGACTTCTTTGATGTTAGATTATACGCCGTTTAACTTGTGAAAGTGGAGCTGGACACGCCCTGAATGCACTTTTGCCATGCACTTTAAATCATGTGCTATAGATCCTTTAATAGGGGCCCTAGAATACTGTAGATGACATGGGATGAAGAAGAAGACATCAATACAAGGTGAGATGTAATTTGATTCTAAGCACAGCTGGTGGAACAACACGGTAGACTATCCAGCTCCTAGAGCTAGCCGCAAATGACTGTTCGGACAGTATAGCTGTGGTGAAGTGGTGTCGTTTACCTGAACAGATGGAGGTCTTGATGTTCTACATGTGGCAGCGTCAGTAATGAGGAGTCGTGCAGCCAGCGGCCCTGGACGATCATCTGCACCAGGTTGCATATACTGATGGCTGTAACTAGCCAACCTTCATTGGCAGCGAAGTCTAGCATTGCCTGAGGAGAAGAAACAGAAGAAAGAATAAAATGAAAGATCATGATTTTTAGCCTCAGTCATCCAGCAGGGTTTAAACTGTGTTCTGCCACTTTTTGAGTTGCTCCATGTTTACCATAGAGTTCTGCCCAGGTCATTATGTTGTGTAAAGCTTCAGGCTTGGGTTGGGTTTGTTTTTTTCAGTTATTTATCAGTAAATATTGCTCTGACTCTTTCTGACTGTGACAATCATCGAGTCCATGAACATCGTGTGCTGCAATTAGATATAAAATGCCAAAGAGATACAGCTGTAGGTACAGCTCACAGATGAGACCAGACCTGAGACCTCTGAGACTAGGCGACACAGCGAATCTGACAGCTTCCTCCATTTAGAGCACAGATCCCTCAAAGGTTAGCACTGCTGAGATTGCAATAACAGTTGGGCAGAACCCGTTGTGGTCAATTGTCAGGTCTTTAAAGACACAGGCACGGCCTGGGTTTGGGTCTCCGGTTTGATCCCACACACAACAAATTCTAAAATCCCTGGGAACAACCCTGTTCCATAAAGTGATAAATCCAAACCTGAGTGTAACACCACGGCAAGTGGCACCTTTTCAAACACCTTCACAACTGCCTTATTCACGCACTGTGCACAAGATGCATTTAGCTATACAGATATTAATATGTCAGGAGTTGTATTCACAAAACACTTCTAACTGCCTGAATTACACAAAATGGAAGTGTCAGTGCTAACTTCAGGAAGGAAGTTTTAATACTGTGCTAGGTTGCACATCACAAAGCAGCATTGCAAAACTCACAAATAGCGTATGTAGATGCAGAGGCTGGAAGCTCCTTCAAACTTTGCTACACTTTTTGTTTTAATCTTTTTTCCTATTTTTTATTGCTGAAACATCTTTGAATGATGTCTGTTGGTTAAAGGGCTAAGCCAAAATTGTTCAATTCGACTGAATCGGGAGATTCTGACGATGGCAACAGCTGCGCTTGCAGATGATGCGGCCGGTAGGTTCTTCAAAATCCACTTCATTTTTGGTGCTGCGATCGCCCCAGAAAAGAGGAAAGAGAGCCGGTATAGGAGCCCAGCTTGGACTTAAGGCTGGTCCTGACTGAGGTCTGGACGAAATGGGAGTCAAGCAACAGGAATCAGACTGTTCCATCGATGATGCTTGAACGCAGTAAAAAAGGACATTTTTTTTAATGGGAAGATGAAACCATATTATCATCACTATCTTGTTGCTGATGTTTACAAAAAGGCACAACAGAATTATTTCTTGGGTGTACTTTATGTGTATGCATAAAATAAATAACTGTATATATTGTTTTATAAGTACTATGTGTGTAGCCTGAAGGGACAACAAACTTTAATTTTGTTGTACAGCTTTGTGTTTTATAATGACAAATAAAATACCTTGCTAAGGTGCTGGAAGCTTGATAATGTATAAACTGCTTGTAGGTCGTGCAACACAGCTAATATGATGTTCTCTGCAGCGGGTGATTAAAACTGCTCAGAAGATCATTGGTACCCATCCCCCAAGCATCAGTGACAGCGGTGAGGTGCCTACGCAGAGCCCAATGGATCCTAAAGGATAGTACCCACCCTTCTGGGAAGAGATAAAAGAGGTATCTGCTGCCGCACCACCAGATCGCAGAGTGACTTATTATTCAACACCCACCCAGTGTACATAATTTTTATAATAATATATTTGCGAGTTGCATAAAATAAACTACTTCATTCCGCTAAGCCCCACCCAGCAAACCCACAACCAGCAACTGCTTGCCCTGTGAAGCCACAGCCTGCATAGTGCTCTCCTCGCCAGGACCCCGGTCCCTCTTGCCGCGACCCCGTCTTCTCAAAGACGCCCATTCGACACTTCGCGGCCGGGGGAAGAGGCAGCTGCAACAACGTCTAACAGCAGACTGAGAGGCTAGTACACCGCTGCCCCCTGTCAAAAGGGTATTCCCCACTGTAAATAAAGCAAGGTGACAATGAGCACTTGCTGAGAGGGAGAGCAGGAAACAAAGTGTGTTAGATCATAAACTCAAAGTTTCTGGCAAAGTGGTTTAGTTTTTCTTGCCTGAGCAATAGGTGAGATTTAGAAACCTCGACCTTTTGGCTGAAGGGGGTCTGACATTTACCATTTATGAGGAACTTGAAGAAGAAGAAGAGGGACAAGAAGAAGCAGAGGAAATACAAAAACACTGAGCATGCCAATTTCTAGCCAGCCTACTACAGCCTGCGAATCTCCCTTCACCATCCGCGAGGTTTGAGGTTGCTGAACTCAGCTGCTCTCCAACAAACTTCATTAATCTAAAAGTAATTTCCTGAGAGTAACTATGGCTAAAAACTACTGTGGGTGCACAGATGAGGCCTGGCAAAGGTATTCAATATGCTAATGCAGTCCAAATTAAGAGTGATTTCCATTTCACAGTAGCTGCTTGAGCAAACTGATGACAGAATATGGCTGAAGTCACAGCAGCGCTTCGGTCCAACAGCAACAGGCTTAACTGATGAGAATCACAGCATGTTAACCCACATGAAGGGGAATCAGCGTCCAGAGGGGGGACATTTGAAAGGAAAAGTGGGATACTGTTTGAGTACAGAAGGAAAACGTTAATTACTCAGACAGGGCAGAAACAACTATGGTGTTCACCGGTAATTTCATTGCCAGGGATGTTGAAGATCTTTTTGAGATGTGACATGTTTTGCTTCTCTTTTTAACTATGACTGCTTGTTAGCCGGTGGAGCACATGTGTTTGTGTTCTATTTCTTTTTAGCTCCACCACCGGATTGGGTCTAATTAACTTCAGGTCCAACTTGGACTGTCTTTGGGTTTCTTTCAAACTGGTTCTCTTCTTTTTTAACATTAATTTATGCATGTCAGGTTTAGGCGGGTTTTCCAAGGGTTTGTTTTGGATCAGGTGTGGGAAAACCTCCACCTCTGTGGTCTCTGTGAGAGACCTGCTGTGTTGCCCTTCACTTATTAACTTCCTCTAGCTCTAACATCTTTTGTGCTGTTTTTGTATGTACATGCTAGTTTCTGGAAAACTACAACTTTAAAGATTACAGACCGTGACAAAACAAAAGTCTGCTTTTCCACTTTTCTAATGTGGGCTTTAAAGCAAGGTCCATCCTGGTCTATGGGGGACAGATTATGCAGCACTTCTTTGTTTCTCTTCCACAGCCTGATATTGAAGAGCTTACTGTCCAGGGACCAGACGTTTTACTAGAGCATGCTGGGCAGCGGAGGCCAGTTTTCCAGCCATCTAGGATGCCAGCCTTCCTGCTTTATCTCCAGTGATGCTTCCATGGATGAGCAAGATGCATTAATGAAGCATCAAAACTGAGAAAGATCTGTTAAACAGTTTATCAGCCATATGTGGCTGGTGACATCCAGTACAAAGAAACCTCAATAAGCAAAACACAAGAATTGTGAGATCCCAACAGCCACGCTGTGAGCCATCTAAAATCCAATGTAAACACGTTGAAATAGTAAGTAAAGCAAAACCACATCACAGTTAGCTCACCGGCTAATATTCAAAGATTTTGCGACGTTGTTTATAAGAATGTATATCAAAATATAGTTATGTACAGACAGTTTCTCAGTTGTTTCAGGAAAATGTAATTTCTAGTATATTGTTGCATTATCTGTAACATCCTGAGGGGCGAGTTCTGGAGCTAAAGTCATTGTAAGATTCTGGGCGTTGTGACATGGCTCATTGCCTTGTTGGAAGTATTCATTTGAAAAAGGGGCAGCTTGTTAGGAGAATCGATACCTATCTATTAACATGTTGTCCAGGGACAGCAACAGTCTGTCAGAGCGTCGCATTCCCTTTATGTGCACTGTAAGAATCAATAAAAATATACATTCATTCAATAAAAACAACCATAAAGAAACTGAAGGCCAGAACCATTTCAGTAAACGGTAGCAGCAGGACAGCAGAGAAGTAACCACATCCATGAGCCATGCAATATCACTGCCAGATACACAGCATGGAAAATCACAAGCACATGTACATATGGACACACACAAACAACCATCCGAGCTGTGGACAATGGCTTACAGACGTCAAGACATGGTCCTAACTTCAAACAGTGCATCCAAAGAAACTGAATAAACACCAGCTAGCACATCACACCTTAGATGCAAAACAACCTGCATGGGCAATCTTTGATAAAAAATAAAAAAGTTAGACTGACTCTGATAACTTGACCAGGTGCTACATTTTCTTGTTGTCAGAAAATCTTACCATATGAACACTGAGTAGCAGACCCATTGTGGCTGCCAGACAATGAGCAACCTGGGTGTTAGATCTAACCTCTGAGTATCATGTTATTTATGAGATGGATCAGCAAGTTCAACTACAAATCACCTGCAACATCCCTCTTATTCTCTGCTTCATCTATAGCACCGCACCGCTCCCAAGATGTGCTTACTCTTCACATGAAGTCCATTATTCAAGTCTATTCGTTATGTATTCCTCTCTGACCTTTCTACATAATGCTGCTATCATCAGAGGACTCAGCTGTTATTTCAACTGAACGTTAAGTGTTTATGCTTAGAAACATGTTTTACTATTCTCTTAAAACCCTTTAGGTTTGAACATATAGTGGAACTTTTATGATGACAAAATCTAAAGTGTATTACTGAACTCCAGGAGTGTTGAATTAACACATTTATAAAATAACTAGTGCAACTGTGTGAACAACGCATTAATCAGCTTAGTCTGTTCCTGCTTTTATCAGCACCTGGGAAGAGATTCTTCTTAATGATCAAACTTAGGAAAAGTTTTAAGTTCATATTTAGACAAATACAATTATCTCAGTCTAACTCAAAATAATTAAATATGTTTCTAAACCACTGAAATAACAGATAATGGAATTAAAGTTAATTAATTCCAGCTGATATAATCTGCTGCAAACAGCGTGTGTCATTTTAACTGGTGACAGTGATGGTCAGAAACCTGCTACCTGAATATTTTATACATTTCAGCAAATTTAGGTATTTTGCCAAATATAGGATATAAAAACATGCTAAATAATAGTATAAATAAAAAATATGTTTGCTTACCTTGGATACTGATTTAACTTGCAGTGATCCCATAATGCCTTGACACAGCAGTTAAGCTTTCTAACATATTGATATTGCCAAGCAGTTTAGTGCAAGGCCACAGCTCAGTTTTGCCCCTGCTGGCAGGCAGAATCTAAATATTATCTATCACAGGAGAAATGCACATGGCACTACATGGTTTGGCCAGAGTGTGCCATACTGGAGCAGTGGAGAAAGGTCACTTGGGGCAAACCTACTACCTGGAAAAGTAACTTTGATCTACAGCTATTGAACAACTGTTCCTAAAGCCTGAATCACAAGTGCTTGTCTGTGTGTTAAGGTGATATATGATATAGGTATGGTACCTCATAGGTTTGTGAATCAGTGTTGCAGCTGTGTATCCTACCTGACAGATTCGGATAGCGTTGTCCAGCACCGTCTTGGTATCGGTGGTGTAGTCGCTGCACGGCAGCTGGGCGTGGCTGAAGTGGGCCTGCAGCAGCAGGTGGGCCTTGGTGTGGGCGCTGTCATAGGAGTGGGGATTGACCTGCAGCGGGAGCTGCTGAGCGAGCTGGCTGTTCAGCTGGTCCTCGTTGTGTCTGACTGGCAGCTCCGCGTACTCCTCTGCATCCTGAGAGACGGAGATCAAAAGTGAAACAGGGCGTCTAAGGGTGCTTTCACACCTGCCTCATTTAGTTCGGATGAATCGCACTAGAGTTCGTTTTCCGCCTTGGTGCGGTTTGTTTGGGCAGATGTGAATGCTGCAATCGAACTCGGGTGCGCACTAAAAGCAGACCGGTGCGCTTTCAAACGAACTCTGGTGTGGTTCGCTTGTGCAACCGCACCAACCGCAGGATTTTATGATAGCAGAGATGTGATCTGAGCATTATTTCCAAAGTTAAACCACTAATAAATCCATCTGCTGAATGTGTTTAACAAACTTGATCTGTATAAGCCATAGGCTATGTTTATGAAAATCGTAGGTATTTTCCCTGATTAATAGGTCACAAGCTGTTAAAAAAGGCGTGCCAGTAGTAGGCTACCCCCTTTACCTTGTCATTTCATTAAGTCCATAATACATTTGTGACAGCGACCCCACAGCTTACTATGGGCTGATGGCCAATTATTAAGATGCTCTGTGGTCGATCTGCGGTCTAAAATTACTAATCAAGGTTCTAATAATATAATAAGTTATTTCGTAAACTCTTTGCGATACAGATCAGAAGCATTAAAGAGCTGCATAAACTTCTGCATAAACAATCAACATTACCTGTAAGCAATGTTCAGCAAGTTACTCAGAAATTGTAATATATGACTAGTTAACTGTTACTCCATAAAAAATTTATATTATTACTTATTATTACTGTAATGGTTCAAGGATGGATCACCATGGGCTGTGCGTGACCCGACTTCAAACTCTGAAGCTGTAAGTTGCCGTGTTTTGTGTTGTTGCCTCATGGTCTTGCGGCTCTTAGCGGCTCGCTGTGCAGTGAGGTGACAGATACTCTTACTCTGCTGTATGGCACCAAATTACTTCATTGATAAAAAATGCGATAATACCACATACATGCCCCAACATATTGCCTCGGTGGAAATTACTTCACCGCCGCAGGCCTTTAGTTAAGTTACTCGTTACGTTACAGTATTACTTTCCGGTGTTTCCCACAGAATGAGCGAGGAGGTGCTGCACTAATATATGCTCCTTAATCAAATATGATTTTAAATATGCCTAGTAAAAAATTTAGGAAATCAATATGTGGCGGTGAGCGTTGATAATAATCCAAATTATAGGCTAATTATGGGAAACCACCAAAATCTACCAAAATCCTGCACACCTGCTTATAAAAATCTACCTTGGTGTAGATGGGATGATATTTTGAAGTACATTTCAGAGAATGTCTAACACTGAATGAGAAAGATAAAGTGAAACACACCGGGTCACTGGGAAAATAAACTGACATCAATGCTCCATCAACGTCCTCTTTGTGCTGAGGCTGTGTGTTGGGCCTTGTTTGCGGTTGTTATACAGAGATGCATGGACACGCATGGCTCCTCTCCTCTAATTCACTCCAGTTCAACTTCGGCTAATGTAGTCCCATCAACAGGCTGTGCTGGAGGCATCTGTCACAGCCTCCCCCCAGCCTGAACTGTTAGGGCTCCATCCATCACTGAGTAAAGCCAGTGTTTCAGAAGCTAGGACCTGAGCGCGGTGGGGGCTACGATGAGGGATAGGAATAACCTCTGAATGATTTATCTTTCAGTGCTGTTGTGTCCGCATATGGATGTGCTGGAGAGAAAGACTATAGATCTTTAAGCAGACATCCTAACCAACAGCTCCACACCGCCTCACACCCTCTGATAGTAACATTTACAGAGACAAAGGAAGGCGAAAGTAAAGGGAGAGACTGCAGCTTTCAATCAGTAGAGAGAAAACAGACAGGGAGGGAGGAAAACACACCTGAGACTTACTGTGGGGGTCAGGTCCAGAGTACAATTACCACAAAAACACATTTGTAGTTTTACAAAATTATGTTTTTGAAAAGAAGAAGGACACACATGCTTTATGAACTGGCCTAGTTCATTTCTTGAAATGCCTGCTGCTTAATATCAATTATTATTACCACTACTACTATTTCACACCTCTTGAAGAACTTCCATTGTGCTACTGTGTTCTCTCCCCCCTCCCCAAACTGCTCGAGACAGTCCGTCCACCCTGAGTCTAGGTTCTGCTCGAGGTTTCTACCTGGAAAAAGGGAGTTTTTCATTGCAATTGTTGGGCCTCTATAAATAATATTACAAAGAGTAGGGTCTAGGTCGGGTCTCTATTAAATAAACGCAATGAAATAACTTCTGTTATGATTTTGCACTTTATAAATAGAACTGAATTGAATTGCTTCAGGTTTCCGAAAAACTGCAACAGGAAAATGGCCACAACAATGGTAAGCGTTGATGAGAAAGGAGCAGCTGTACAGATCGCTGTAAGTCAACTTTCAGAAAGACCAACTCTTTGAGTTGGTATACATTAAGTTAAAGAAAATGGCAATTCAGTCTGATTATCAGGCTACAGGCGTGTGTGTGTGTATGTGTGTAAATAACTACAGCAAGTAGGGGAGGTCAAAATTGAAGCAGGAAGGGGTTTTTAATGGACATTTAAAGAGGGCAGTATTTTACTAGATGCCTCTGTTTTGTCCTCTAAATACATAAAGTTTGGCTAACTAGTGGTTTTGTTTCCATCCTGTTTATTGCCCTGTCAGACATCTATTCATGGATGCTACTGGGTTCCCAGAACTCAGAAATTAACTTTGTCAGTACAACTAACCCTCTTTCACCAATGCAGTTGTTTTTCGATGTCACCACCAGGTCAGGTTTCCCTCATTGATCTGGCATGCGTATTTGTACATGACAACGCAAGGGACTGTCTTGTCTGTCGCAGTTTGACTTTACTGTACACTGCCATCTTAGGAAGCAGAGGACAAATGCAACAGGAAAGGAAAGGAAGACAAGCTGAGTGGTCGCGTAGTGCTCAGAGTGAAAAACAAGCGTGTAAGGAGGGGGGTGGGAGGTGGTGGTGCAGCGAGCTGTGGGTGTTGCTCATTAGTGGCCACGCTGCAGCAATTAGGGGGAACTGGAGGAGCATGCCAGTGCTTTGTAGCTAACGGAGGGGGAGTGGACAGGGCGGCAGGGTGACTGGCCTATTGTATCACAGCTTGTTGGGGAGGGAGGCAGCCGGGCATGGCATGCTCTTAACTACATGTGTGCAAAGGAGAGGGGTGCTAACTGTCTCATTGTAGCCTCCTCTCCATATGTTAGCATCATTACTGAAGCCGGAGAGTCTGAGCCGTATGGTGAAAATATAGTGAAAGAATTAAAGCTAATTAAGAACTAATGACACACAAGTAATCAAAAATAACTAGTGTGAAATTAGACTTCTTAACAGCCATGTTGTATTTTTTTTCACAACTAATTTAAAAAATGCTGTCTTGATAAATCTGTCGGCCTTCTGTGGTTTATTTTGGGGGTAAGATACTGGAAACACATACACACACGCAGGAAGTGCTCCGTGCTTTGAAGTAACTTTTACTAGTGACCGAAACACCTGCTGTAACACAAATGATCAGTGCACCATCACCACCACAGTACTTTGTGTAATAAGTCTTCAAACAAGACAAAAATGGCAGATCACTATTTTTTTTTTTTTTATTGTTGCTTTTAGAAAATCTGATTTTGGAAGTCAATGGCAGCCTAAAAAGAAGATTTTGTTACAGTGATGAATGGATCATTACAAACAGATACACAGGCCCATTAGCGGCAGTGGCAGAAAGGAGTGTGTCACCATCCCCCTTCAGCGATAGGTGTGAAAACACCACGTCTTGTGTTAAGCCCACCAATCAGAAGCCAGAGTGTGAATGACCTTGCGCTGGGGTGCACATGGACAATCAGTAAAAGGGAGAGGGCGACAGATCCCACCAAAGCCCAAGAACGAGGAGAGTTAATGAAACCTTTGAAGACAAAGGTGCTACTTTGACAGGGGGGAGTAAAGCCTGAACATGAACTAGCACAACTGATGTAACTTGTATTGGCAAATACCAAAAAGAAAAGAATATTACAACGTATGTATTCACTGATAAAAGACTCTCCCATGTCTTTCAAACAGCAACCTTTTATGTTAGAGGTTATACAGATATACGACTATACAGATCATAATTACTATAGCACAAGTGGATTAAAAGCCTTAAACCTCATTAGCAGCACTACATTTTTTTTTTTTTACATTTATTTAGAAGACCACATAACACAGGCAAACCAGTTTTAGTGTTCTTATAGTCTTATGCGTACTACAGATATGCTGCTATGAGTAATAAGGACTTTTCATAGATATCTGCATGTCTTGGCATAAGTGGTAATTTTGCCCATACAGAGGAAAGGTCAGAAAGTCTGCACAATCATGAGGAATAAATCCTCCGTGGATCATCTATGCCCGCAGCAAACTGTACAGCAGTTGTTTTATATATTTGGCTCTAGATGGAACCCTGCGACCCTGTTCGCAGGATAAGTGGTTGACAATGGATGGATGGATGGCTCTAGATGGAAGTATTAGTGAAATGGAGTACCCTCCGCATAACTGTCCTCTCTTAAGGCCCAGTCCAGAATGTAAAGAATTGAATTTCAAATTCAGATCACACATACCCACCTTGTTTTGCAGATCCGCACTGAATATGCAGGTTTCAGTATAAAAGGAAAGAAACAAAAGAATTGTGGCATTGATGAGATAGACATGAGTGGTGAAACTCACTGTCAGAACGGAGAGCAGCTCTTGGACGGGCAGCTCAGCCCTCAGCCGTTCTTTAAACATGCGAACAGTCGGATGCTTCAGGTAGTAATAGGACGCGATGCGACCATAAGTCAGTGGCTCAATAGTCCGGTCATCCTGGAGCATTAAAGGAAACAAAAATGTGACAAACTTGTGTTAAACAAATGTGTGTGATTTCACAGAGTACAAACTTACTTAAAAGATAATACACATACACACCTCTTTTATTTCTATGCAGTAAGAGCACTCCAAGTCTCGCAGGCTTCTCTCCACCAGGTTGGACAGGTATTTGTTAATGGACTCGTGGCTGATGTCTTCTAGGCTGTAATAACTAAAAATACAGGATAAAACCTTAGGTAAAAATACAGACGAAGGCTTGCCATTCTGTGGATCCTTTGGATAGGAAGACTATACTGTTGGCAGATGCTGAATACAGATCCGATACCAGCGTACAATTAAAATGCTGTATTCCTCAGTGTGTAAGGCCATATCAGGCTTGATCAAGTGCCAAATGCCACCAGACAGTTGGCCCCCTTGTTTTTAGCTTCCTCCACGCTGTGTTAACTTTCCAACCAAAATGTTTGGGTCTGCTGGCGCACTGGTATGTTAATAAATTGAATACATCGGCCCCCTTGTTACAACAACAGATTAGCAGTATTGGGCCGATATCCAGTATCACTATTGGATTGGTGCATCCCTAGCTCTTTTATCTTAGATACTCAAAGCACTTCAGAGTGAAGTGAAAAAACTCTTTCAAGTACCACCAATGTGAAGCACCCACCTGGGTGATGCATAGTGGCCATTTTGCAGTGAATATGGTGAACTTTGACATGTGAATTTGCTGCGTTAGCCAATTGCAAACTGTCTTGACATGTGCTGTCCTTTGAGGGAATGGAGAGCCGTAGGGTCCAAACCAAAGGGAGCCATCATAGCCTGTTTTAGCTATCATGGCTATTGTACAAACACATAGCCACTGTGACTAACTAGCGCTAACATATTCCTAGCTGACATGCATTTTAATGGTTAGCTCACCAGTGACATTAGTTAACCAACTAGCCCTGAAGGTTTTCACTACATCATCAAGCTGAAATCACCATCTATTTCACAAGGATATTGAATAAACATCATTGGCCACTTCCACAGTGTGACAAGGAGCTTTTCCCTGTTTTTGAAACAACTATACTAGCTTGAGTACTAGACAGAACATTGAAACACTGAATTTCCCCTTGCAGGATTAATAAAGTACAGAATGTGTTCTTCTAGAAAACGGCATATAAACACCTTAACTATGTTTATGATCTTTTACCATGTGACCAGGCGTGTCTCAATTTAAGTTAAATTCTAGATGTATTAGTAAAACCAAAAATATGACGATAAACAGAGTCCGTGATACTTCACTCACCGACATGAAAGCAAAAGTCGGAACTACTCTAACTACTAACGGAAGGATAAACCAGAAGTGGGTTTGTTGTCACTCAGTGTATACAAATATGAAACATTGATTATGTTAAAAACCCTGAACACTGCCCAAGGGCAGAGTGAAATGACTTGTCTCTACTGTATCTACACATTGTTGCTGGTTAGAATGTTGTATACTCTGTTGTTTGTGAAGAAAAGCCCCAGCTGAAAGAAAAATGGCCAGCCCTTGCCAGCAAATGACTCCCAGGTTAGACTGTTAGTACAGGAAATAAGTCAACCAGTGGCCAAAATGGGTTCCATGCTCGGCCCAGCTAAGTAAGAGTTACCACATGAGGCTCAGCAGAAGTGCAATCAAAGACAATCTTCATTAACACATAATGCCAATATTTGTGCATGGTGTGTGCGCGTCAAATTAAAGCGAAGGAAACCAGGCATAGTTTCATTAAAGCTGGTAGAAACAGATGCTAAAAACCCTAAAGGTATGTTTGCAAGAGCAAAAATACCAGTGTATGTTTCTAATGCAAGTAATATAAAATACAGTCGCAGGAAAAAGTATGAAGTAGAACCCTGTGGAATTACCTGGATTTCTGCATAAATTGGTCATAAAATGTGACCTGATTTTCATCTAAGTCCCAACAATAGACAAACACAGTAACGCTTAAACTAATACCACACAAACAATTACATGTTTTTTTGTTTTTAGTGAACACACCATGTAAACATTCACAGTGCAGGATGGAAAAAGTGAACCTTTGGATTTAATAACAGGTTAACTCTTTTGGCAGCAATAACCTCAACCAAATATTTCCTGTAGTTGCAGATTAGAGCTGAACAACAGTCAGGAGAAATTTTGGATCAATCCTCTTTACAAAACTGTTTCAGTTCAGCAATATTCTTGTGATGTCTGGTGGGAATTGCTCTCTTGAGGTCATGCCACAGCATCTCAATCAGGTTGGACTCTGACTGGGCCATTCCAAAAGCCGTATTTTCTTCTTTTGAAGCTATTCTGTTGTTGATTTACTTCTGCACTTTGGGTTGTTGTCCTTCTGCATCACCCTTCTTCTGTTCAGCTTCAATTGGTGGACAGATGGCCTTACATTCTCCTGCAAAATTTCTTGCAACCCTTCCAGGCCCTAAGGAAGCGTAGCAGCCCCAAACCATGATTCCCCCTCCACCATACTTCCCAGTTGGGATGAGGTTTTGATGTTGGTGTGCTTTGTTGTGTGTTTGTGTGTCTTTTTTCCTCCACACATAGGGTTGTCTGATCCTTCCAAACAACTAGATTAGGATCAGATGACATTTTATGCCAAATGTATGCAGAAATCCAGATAATTCAAAAGGGTTCACCTACTTTTGTGACTGTATGTCTCTGTAAAGAGAACTGCTCATTATAGGTGGTTATTTGAGTTTGCCACAGAAGGGGTTAAAGATAATCACAAATTGCTAAAGTGTAAGTAATAAAGTACAGTACTGAAAGTTCTGTGGACTGTTTCAGACAGTTGCAACCTAAGGTGAAATACGAATCCGCTATTAGAAACATGCAAATCTTTAAATATTCGGTAATAGTCGGTAATATTTACCTTACCGTACTTATTGCCAATAATTCTGTCTTTGAAAAAACTTGGTTTCTGCTGGCTTACTAAAATGTTTTAAATGACTGAAATATTAAAATACACTTTCGATTGTTATCGGAATTTAATTCCATATTATCAAATATAGCACTGCATTTCAGCCCGAGTCCGACGGGACTCGACTTATTTCCGCCCCTGGGGCCGGGCTTCAGGCCAATTTTCACGTCATAGCTCTCATGCAAGCATAAGCAGAATTCGTGGGGGGTCGCGGGGGTCAGGATCCCCCTTTCTGAGGGTTGTCTCCCCCCTTAAAAACTATTAAGTAAGATATTGATATATACTTGGAACAATTGTGTAAATAGTAAAACAAACGCAGACACGGCAATGAAAGTGTGTTTTAAGTTTAGAAAAATCTTGAGTCCCCCCCCTCCCTTGCCTCACAGTGGTTTTGTCCACTGCCTGCTTTACCTCACAGGAGTCCAGTGGGAGAGAACAAGTTTGAACCCTTTAGTAGTTGTGGAACAGTAATGTTAAGTAGGCTGGCAAGGCTGTTTTATTCACTTGAAACATTGGATGAACTGATTCTTTGGTCTGTAATACAGAGGACGCTGAGTCATTAATAAACTATTCATGACAAAAAGTTATGATAACCGATTTTTTTCCTATGAGCACGCTATGTTATAATATTACCTAGCTTGTTGGATAGTAAGTCACCTTCTACAGCTCGAGATGCGCAGATTGGTCATCTGGGGATTGAATTAGGCCTTTTTCTTTCGCTTACTCGGCCGAGACCAGCGATCGGGGCAGAGAAGTGTAAAATATCTAATTTTCTGCTGGTCATATTAAACGTTACAAACACGCTGCACTGCGCCGTGTTTCAGGTGTGTGCACAACAGCACAGACAGTAACCTCATGTCACAGCCACACACACACATACACGCTAAAACATGTCTTAGGTGTGTGAAGTTATTCACTAGAGTGAAGAAGATGCAACGCCCACTCTTTGCAACTGCAGAGAAACACACAGAAAATGAATGCATTCTTGAAGACAATGATGGATATTTTAAAGCACGGAGCAGGTAAAGCAAAAGTGAACACAGCTGTTGGTGCTGATGTCATTCATACCACGGTGGTCTCTATCGGTAATTAATGACAAGCCTCCTCCACAAGCGGCTCACCTGCTGCTGTGAAAACGGAATCGCGGGTGAAAAAATACCATGAGTTGCCTTTTATAAAACTGCTGACAAATAAAGTCATAGCAGAGAGAGAGGGAGAGAGAGAGAGGTGTAGGTGTGGGAATCCGTGTCTGACGGGAAAAGCAAGGTGAGCAGATTACTGTAGTTTGTGATTAAACACAAAAATAAGGTGTAGAAATAAGTAGAATTAAAATGGTGAGATTAGAAATAGGATAATGAATTCTTTCAAATATTTTAAAGTTTTAAAATATATTTAAAAATGGCCTAGTTTATAGGCTATTGCAATTTATTTTCCCTAAATCGTTCAGCCCTAATTTATAACCTCTTACTTACTGACACAAACAACAGTCTGCTTCTGGCTGTAACGTTAGAACCATGTTGGCCATGTTCTGTGGTGAAGCCTTGGTTTTTCATCCACACCCTAGTGTCGGTGTAAGGTAAGACCTGCATATTTTCATTATTACTCACGAGCCGCAGCAGCACAAGTCTGTCAAAAGTGCCTATACACTACGGTAGTGATAATAATCAATGCAATAATCTTTATAGGAAAACACTGAGCTTGGTTGGCTTACTACACATATTATGTATTTAAACTGTGGTTGTGTTCTAGTATTTCTACTTCTTTCTACTTACAACTTTTTTCTCAGTTTTTTACAGGCTCTGTTTTGTTTTATGGTTAGGTGGAAGAATGGGTGTAAAATATGTTATTTTCTGTTGGCATAAGCAATTTATGGTAAAGAACTGGTATACTTGATTTGATTTAATGCAAGAGTTGTTTCCATGATATGTTTTGTTGGTTCAAAAAAAGAAAGAAAAAGTTAATTTAAGTGAAACAAGTTTATTACCCTGATAGCCAGGGGGATCAACCAACTATGGCCACGAACGCAGACTGAAAAAATGTTGGAAACAAAAACTGTACCCAAGTGGAGCTTAAAAGTTATATAGAAAAATAAAGAAGGGAATCATTGCAAGGATGAATACCAATAAGTAATTTAACAGGTCGAGGAGGAATATTCGATTACGGTCATTTTACATTGTCTGCATAATGCATGCAAACCAGGGCAGACTCTGAAAAATCGCCCACTTCTCATATTACATTAAAACAAATGATATCTTCATGATCATTATGCACAATCATTTATTGTGCAGTTGGGAGCAGGGAGGAGAAATCACAGGCTTACTAAGCGGGCTGGAAGCAGCAGTTGAGACGGGTGATGGCCGTATTTAATGTGTGTTTAATGTTAAGTATTTCTTTCCATTCCCATCGCTCCACATGTTAACAGCAAGCAGTTCAGAGCGCTGAATGTGTTTATTACCGAACACATTTCACAGGTCTTTACGGGTGGCTGGGCCTGTCTGATTAAGTCATGGCCATTAGAATCATCACCATTAGGCTCCTGATGGCACAGGGAGTCGGCCTGCAGACATTTACAATACCCGTGGGACCACGCGTCTGTGTTTGTGTGTGTCTGTGTGTGGGTTGAAGGAACCAAGCCTGAAAGCAGTAGTGACAGATTAGCTGTTCAGCTATAACACAAAGCTGCATGGAGATAATGGTGTCAGGGGATCTGCACATTCAGAGACAACATTTAAGACATCGAATATGATTTCATGTTACATGAGGCTGAATTTATGGGTTACAACTGTTGATTAAAGAGGATGCAGTAATGGCAAAATATGTTTGTCATACCGAAATCAAATTATGTTTGTTTTTATGGAAGGTCTGTGGGTCTAACTTAGTGTCAACTGTGAGTGCACAAAGACCACTGTCAGACTAGCCTACATCTTCTGGTGTGTCTGCCACTACACATTTAGTAGAATTTTTGTTCTTTCTTTGCTGTATGTTTGAGTTTATGTCATCTATTGAAGAATCCATAGCATCCGTCAACCCCTATCCATTGATACAGTTACTATGGGTAGGAGATCAATAGCAATTTATGGAATCCGGATCCAGTATCAAATCCGGCAACCAAATCTGAATCATTATGCAATCCTTTGGTTGAACAAGTAACTGAAGCTAAGAATAACCAAAACATTTCAACTTTTGTTGGTTGCGAAGGCAAAAACAACAGTTTTGAGTAGTGGTCACGACTTGTGAGTCCAACCACACTGAAACAAATTACAGCTGTAGTCTATTTACTGTTATTTTATTTTACAAGCTGCTTGCTCCAAATACTGGAGGGTCTGATCCAAAGCTAATGATAAGCTTAAAATACTGATATGATGAATGAAAGTACAGAGCCAACAACAGGTCAGTTAGTAGAGGAGAAATGTTGATGTGAGAATCTGTGTAAACCGATTAATAAACCAAGGGAACGGATCGGCAAACCACGCCCGTGGATTCAACGTGAGTCCTGCCGGATGTAAACAACACACAAGTTTAACTGCTGTTGAACCACAACTGTCCTTTGTGATGTTCATGGACACAGTCTCTTGGTGCAGCTGAATGGAGAGCATGTGACCTCAGGATTATATTCTGCTTTTTTCTGATGATGTTGATGGTGGATTCCCCTATTTGGGTTGGGAATGAGTAGCTGCCTCAAGTGAAGGAGTTTATGTATCTTGCAATGTTGTTACAGAGTGAGGTAAGATATAGTGTAAGATCACTGGCAGATTTGTGCAGCATAGACAGTAATGTAGACATTGCACCTGCTTGTGGTGAAAAGGGAGCCTAAGGCTCAGATTTACCATTTGATCTATGTCCCAACCCTCACCTATAGTCTTGAGCACTGTCTAGTGACAGAAATAAAATCACACATACAGGCTACTGAAATGGGTTTTCTTCAGAGGGTATTTGGGCTTATCTCTTCCACAAATGTTGAGGAGCTGCGATATATGGAAGGAGCTGGGAGTACAACTGCTGCTCCTTTTGTTAAGAGACGCCAGGCGAAATAGGGTGGGCATCTGATCAGGATGCCTCTTGGAAGACTCCAACATTAGGTGACCTCTGGCAGACCCCAAAAAAGCTGGAGGGAAAATATATCCCATCTTTCCTAGCAAAGGCTTGGGATTGCCATGGTAGAACTGGAGGAAGTAGCAAGGGAGATGGGAGGCTGGTCTAGTTTTTACTTTGGCTGCTTATACCTGGATACCAGGTATACAATAAGCAGAAGAAAATGAAAGGACAGATGAAAATAGATAATCCGATTACACAAAATATATACAATGAAATTGTGGAAATTCATAAAATCACAACTCGGATGTACTTAAAAAGGCAATTCATAAGTTGTCAGCACCGAGTAATCGACTGAGTACTATTATTAATACCAAATGATTATACAGTATTATCAAATATATAACTGGAACTGGTAATAATACAACCACTAATCTTTATAATAGTGGTTGTTGTAGTATTTTTATCCTGTGTCTCAGGAGTTTTATTGAGTTTAAATCTATTTTTGAGGCTTTTTTATTATTTCATGGCGAGAGACAGTCAGGAGAGATAGAGTGGGGGAATGATATCAGCGGTCCTGGTCGAAATTGAAAACCATGATGTTGCATTTACATGGTCCATACCAGCCAAAAGATGCCCGAGGTTTTCCACCAATACATTCCTAGAGGGACACGAAATCCTTGCCAAACATTTAATATTGACCCAAAATCCCAGTTTGAATGAGTGTCAGGCTTCACGGATCTGTGCTGGTATCATCCCACTGCTAGGCCTCAGTAAGGACCTGAATGGCAAATGTGGGCTGACAGCCGTGCAAATACCAACAGGCTGGGATGTTCTGGAATGGTCTATGTCTACACCGCAGATGTCTGACTGAAGAACAGGGCACTCCTCTAACCAGGTTGGGAGAGTCGGCCGTGAATGTGTTGCATGTGTGTGTTTTCTTTAGTTTTGATCTGCATGATCTGCTGCCGCTGGTATGATATGTGGTGTGGGCAGGTTTTCCTAACCTGGGGTTCATCACCAGCCGTCTGAAGAAGTACGTCCAGGTGATGTAGTCCATCGCATCCTGTTTGGATGAGATGGTTCCTGCAGCAATCTCAGCGTTCAGATGGTCTGACAACACACTGAGGAGGCTGGAGATGCAAGACACAATCACAGAATTACAGACACGTTTCAAAATGCAATATTTGTTTGAAAGGCATTTCAGATTAGGGGTGTAAGTATCATCAACCAGTAGGACAAATCTTTTTTGTACAAACAGAAATAAGTCTGTACCACCAAGCAGAAAAGCTGTTAAACGTAATTAAAGTTTAATTAGTTGATCAATTGAACATTCTTTAACAATTTCAATTATGAATTAAACGTTCAATTCATTTTTTAAAGCAAAAATTACCCCAAAATAACCATGTAAAAATGTAGTGCTTTTTCCTGTCTTATATTATTGTTAAGCAGAATAGTTTTGGGTTTTGGACAAAAGAAAACATTTCAAGAAGTCACCAAGACTCTGGGAAACTGTTACATACATTGTTCTGACATTCCAAAGACAAAATTATTCATCCATTAAATGAGAAAATAATTCTGCTGCAGTCCCAGTACCAAAAACTGTTTAGTGCCGACTTCAGCACTGTGTGGTCAGAATCATAAACCTGTTTACCTTTTTAGAGAGATTGTTCCTGATTTAAATCACAGTTCAAGTTCTTGCAGCTTAAATTCAGAGAACATTTAACTTTTGGTAAATTAATTCTAAAGGGTTTGCAAGAAAAAAGGTCTCAAAGTAAGGTATCAAAAACATATCGACCCATTTCTAGCATAAAATCAGGTTTTTATTCTTGTGTATCTCGTGAGACTGTGTGTACATTTAGAGGCCCTCTTGACAAACCCCTACTGATAGAGTAATCAGAGGTAAACTCATTTACATGAGTAGAGACACACAAATTATTACAACATTATTATTATTATAAACCATGAGAGTAAAAAAGACCTTGCAGCAAAACAAATGAGTCAGGTTTTATTTAGAACTAGCAGCATTCTTGAATTAAGATAAAAATTCTGTCACAAGGTTGTATTTATTCTTTTATGGTTTAGTTTTTTTTAATTTCCACTGATGTCCCATAGTTCTTTCAAATGTATTATATTCTTCAATGTCCATCATAATCTCTGTGCATTTTGTTTCTCTAGTTAATGCATCATGAAACATCTGTTGCTCCAAATTAGAGCCCGACCGATTTGGGATTTTTAAGTTCGATATTTGAGATTTTTAAAATGCGATAGCCGATATATCGGCCGATATTGTTTTTTTCCCCCCATATTTTAAGACACGCATGACATAAACAAAGATTATCCGTAAAAATGTTATATTGAGACCATACCAAGATACCATGACGTAATGCAGTATAAAAAGAAACTTTTTTATTGTGATAAATAGTACTTTGAACAAAAGTAAAACAAAATATATTAAGGTTTTGATAAATAAGAGTCAAATAAAACTTCAGATATTTGAAAAAAATTCAAAATATCTGATTTGTTAATATAAGTTATATTATATTAATAAATTATAGAGTACTACTACTAATGGCCAGCAAAACAGAAACTATAAAAATTACCCATTTACTACTACTGCTGCTACTAAAAATTATAATACCGTTTATCATATCTCATTGTCATAATAATAATGATAAACAGGGCTCTCCTACATTGGCAAATAATTATTTATATATATATGTCATGCAATGGTTATTAGGCCTACCTTACATATAATCTGCCACAATGAAAACTTTCTAAAACATGTCGTCTATGATACAGTGACACAGAGGAAACTAGAAGTCACAAACTAACTAGAGACAGCAGCTCGCAGATATATTTAGAATACGTCAAATACTTAAATTTAAATGCGCATTAGCGTTAGCTGCTGTAACTTATGTTAAATAATATTTAGAAGTAATGAACTGGTGAGAAATGAGAGGACTATTCAGTAGAAGGTGAGCAGAAAAAAAGCCTCCACCGCTCAACTACTGTAAGTTAACAACATCCTTGCTGTGAAACGGGAGGGTTAGCAAGTCTGGTATAAATGTTTTCAGGAGAGGAAAAGCGATAAGGGCTGAGTTTATTGTTATTTACGTCATGCAACTGACGTTACAAATGAACAACTCATTGTGTGTGTGAGAGCTACCAGGCCTGACCTGAATCCTGTTAGTGACACTCAGTTTTAATGATTCTGCATCTTAATGATTCTGAACTATACTGTTTTATACCATTTTTTTCTAATCAACTTGGCAATGTTAGAAGTTGTTCTGCTGCAAAAGTTGGCACTAAATGCAACCATTAAAAAAAACTGTGTCCCAGTTCGTTGTGGTCCAATCTACTCTCAGTATCACCATCAGGGTTAATGCCCACCAATAACTGCTGCTATTGGTCATCTATGAATGAAACTGAACTGGAACCTCGTCCCCCTCCTGTGGTACAACGTCTCCCACTTGTTCTATTTTCCCACCAGTATGTGTACATGACTAAATATATAGTGTCGATTTAGGTTAGTAGACCTTGTTGAGGAAAGCTGTTTACTATATGCAGCGATTTGATGGTAAATCTTTCTGCGCACTAGGTGGGATTCATCATTATTCACAGCCACAGGTGTGCGTCCACGTTGCATGAATACTATCTTGCTTGTACAGGTAGAATATACACGCAGATTTAGAACTTGTTCATGTACAGTTTGATAAAAGGATCCTGGTCTTTGCCATAACAGACGATGATCTGAATAACCAAGACACGTGACTGTTACCTGGACTCAACGGGGAAAGGCTCGTAGAGGAACTTCTTGTAGAAGTCCTTCTTGATGTCGTGGACAAGGATGACCGCTTTGCCCTGGTCATCAAACTGAGGCCGACCTGCTCGCCCCATCATCTGCAGAACATCTACTCTCAACACATAGCACATAGATAACAATTACAAACATTTCCTTCCCATGTACCACTATTCTTTAAATTAGTTGCAATGAAAAGAGAGTCTTTGTTGTCAAGTGGTCCCCGGCAGCACTTCATTCAGAACTGCAACTGTTTTTGTCCCTCAGCCTATTTCCAAAGTTTAGAACAAGTGTAATGTAAAGTAATGTGAAGCCTTAGATTTAGAAATAGGTACCTCATATAGTTTCATTCGGGGTTTGTTCATTTCATACACATTGCTTACAATATTTCTACTCTGTCGGGGAGGATTAAAACAAAATGTACTGTAAGTGTAAATGAGAGAATACCTAATGGACAGACTGTGTACCTGTAATGGGGTAGTCCACATAGCGCCTGGATTTGCCATCGTAGTATTCAGTTCCCTTGACGACCACCAGGTGAGCGGGGAAGTTCACCCCCCAGGCCAGAGTACTGGTGGCAATCAAAACCTGAGAAAAGAAACTTACTGGGATGAGAAGGAGGAACCTTAAACTATACACACTGTGAAATGTATACAGAATTTAAATAAGTTAAAGAAATAGTATGATATGATTAACGTGAGTATTGAGGAAAACAACAGATTTCACATATGTTTTAAACATTCACACGATGACATGATTAAAAACCAAGGTGGCAGATCAGGGTGGATGATAGGGCGGTTAAAGAAATACATGGGGTAATAAAATACTTTTATTATGTTGACGGTGTTGCCCACCTGCCCCCCAAAAAACAAGTAATGCATGTAGGAACACCTCTGGCATTTAGAACCAGGATGGGATATTAAGATACACTTCTGCAGTAAAATTAATCATATTGAATCAAACAACCCTAACCCACTGCCATTTACAGAACTGCAAAAACTGAGCTCTCAAAAACAAGAAGAAAAAAAAAAGCATTAAAATTGAGGAAATATTTATTAAAATAAGCTAAAGTATCTGCCAACAGAACAAGAATATTTCACTTGCTACTTAAGGCCAAAAAAACGTGAAACAAGTGCAATTCTCTAACATAAAAGCCGCCTGGAAAGAAGAAATATCTTGTCAGAAAAAAAACAAGTATATTTAGCCTTCAATTAAGATAATTAATCTTACTAAGATTAAGATTTGCAGTGAGGTAGGTCAAGCAGCACATATCTGGTCGTACCTGGATCTTACAGTTGACAAACAGCTCCTCCACAGTCTTTCTGTCTCTCTCATGCAAGCCTGCGTGATGCATGCCAATCCCAAAGGCCAGTGTTAGCTTCAGGTTGGAATCCCGTACTGTGCCGATGATATCCTCTATCTGCAGACAAAGCAGAGCACAGAGAGTGGCAGATCAGTGATCCATCCAATTACAGACTGACTGAGATGTGTCATATGCAGTGACACTGACTGACCTGCAAAACCATGTCACTGTAAACTTTACCAGGTACGCCAAGACTTGCCCCAAGTTTAACGGCGAAAAGATGCAGAGCTGGAGGTAAGGTTAATGTTCGCCATCTCAGGAAAAATAGCTTTCTCGCTAAAAATTAGATAAGACCACTGGTTCCGTTTTCACATCTGTCTGGTAGTTACAGCCAGTGGCCAGTTAGCTTAGCTTAGCACAATCCACCTTCCATCTACTTGATCTTTACCAACATATAAAACCAACATGTTGTGGTTTTGTGAGGTGTTACAGTTACTGGACTATATCTTGGCCAAGAGTAGTAACTTCCAGAAGTCTTTGCCGGTTGTATGGCAACCTAACAGACTCCGCACAGACATGAGTGGAACTGATCTTCTCATCTATCTCTGGGCAAGAAGGTGAATAAACATATTTCCCCAAAAGTCAAACCTTTCCTTTAACGCCATTGTTATTTGAAGAGCTTTGTTCACATTAACCTCAGCATAAAACAGCAATTGTTGTTTCTGTTCATGTTCAATGTTATTTTCATCTTCCACTTGTGGACAGATGTGTAATATAAAGAGTCATAAATAGCCAGGAACAATAGTCCCAGTTGTTCAGCTGCAGACATGTGGCCCTTCTGCACGGCTTTCCTCTGGTTGCAGTAGCATTGGGACAGCTTGTCTTGTGTTACATGGATCTAATGTTTTCCTGGAAACACAAACAGTGTCTGGCTTGAAGAAAAAAAAATAAAAAATGTAACCAGTGCTTTGCTGGAGTAAACAGAGAGAGTCATGGAGCAGAGCTGTCAAAGTAAACACAGGCAGACACAACAACAGGCTTCTGTTCTCATTATGTGTCTTCTTTGTATTTAATTTGAAGAAAAATTTTAAAAAACAGTAAAATCAGAAAATGCACCTAATGGCGGATTACTATCACACACAGAAGATACAAAACCATCAATGAAATGTGTGTTTCCAATAAATGTTTCAGAGTATCCATATGTAAAAACAATAGCACCCCTGCCAAAATTGGATGCGTCTCATTAGAATCAGTGATTCAAACGGCAGTGGGCCTTTCACATATACCAAATAATCAATTCTAAAATGGGATATGAGGTAATAATAAGTCAGAGAACAGTGATTGAAAATCCAGGCCTGAGAGCGGCAGCCGGGGGTTTGTGGCAGCGGCAGAGGGAAGAAAGAGCTGTCAGCCTGGAGAGGGGATTTGGGCCAGTGAGCGACCCCCGGTGAGAGCTAAGCAGCTATCGCCAGAAGCCTGTCAGTCAAACAGCAGGGAGCTGAGCTGCTACACTGGCCAGCGCAGAGCAGCAGCAGGCAGCAGCATATATCAGTGGAACACACAGAGAGGCTGGAGACGCTGTGCGCACACATATAGAACCTGGGTCTGCGCTATAAGGCAGCACGTATTTGCATTGAGACAGGTTCCTGCAGGGTTCAGGAAAGCCGATTCAGGTCTTTGGAACGGTTCCATGTGTATCATTTTAAACTCCAACATATAATAGTTGAAGCACAACGCTACTCCAGGTATACTTACGACCAGAGAGAGAGAGAGATGATTGAAATTACAGGAAGTCATTTTTCCACTAGCCATTTTTGTCAAAATATAGCAAAGATTAGGCATCATTTGATCTAGAGGATCGGCCCTCAGCCTGTATGGAGCTATCAAGCAATGGCCCTTTATGCCACGAAGCAATACAGAAGATTTATGAGCCAGTGGCACACAGATGAAAGCTCAGCAATGCTCTGCCAATTTGTTTATTTATGGAAATTACACAACAGTATTCTTATGTCTCAAACATACTGATTATACATTCAAAGTCTCAACGTAGCTCATTCAAATCCTCTTGAGGCTTTATTTAAACAAACTTACACTGACTTTAGAGAGACTGAACCATAGTTAATCAAAACTGTAAAATCTATGTGTTTATTCTGGGTAAAAAGCCACCATCAATAACAATGCTGTAAGCTTATTCTGACTTTTTATTTATATTCACTTTCAATATTTACCTTGCAATAAGTGTTGTTTAAACTACCCTGTAACAACGACATATGGTCTGGCAAATCCTGCTGTATTTAATCGCTTTATTAATTCCACAACTTTATAAAACCATGCGATAGTAAAAGCAGTTACTATCACAAACCTCTCTGTGTGTAAGCCTGTTTGACTTGCACGTTAAGGTACAAACCAGGCCTGGGTATCCGAGTGTTGTAATAATATTAGCATCCTTTTCAAATGTGAACCCAGAGGAGTCATTTGCTCCCATCTTGAAGTGATCCTAAGGTATGCACCGACAATATAATGGAGGATGACACAGGCTTTTCCGGCACAAGTTGGGTTGAATTCCATCTGTAATTACACTTAAAGCAGCACTTACGCAGACAATTGAAGCATCAGAGGAGGGAGGGATGGGGGAGAGCAAAAGGGCATAGAAGAGAGGGAAATACATGAGAATGAAAGAAACATCTGCTAATATTTGCACCAACTGTGTCGTCTCTCTACACTCATGGATGTAACAAAGTGCCTGAATCTGACGGTGCTTACCAGAGAGCTTAAAACCTGCCTACATGAGCTAAATGTGTAAGGGCAAAGTTGAGCAGTCAGAAGTGACCCACGTGATGCTCAGGGTTTATCAGTTCGACTGATTGATTGCACAGTAGCAGAGTGCAGGTTGTACACGAGTAACTAAAGTGACTGTGTCGGGCTCTGAGCGCTGCCAAAACACGGGAAACCTACTCTCAATACTGCGCCCGAACACATCATGTGTCAAGCTTCTGCTGCGCTGCTAACATGCGCTGCGCCTCGTGTGCACACATGGCGTTGGCGTACCTCTCTCTCGTCCTGGTGCAGCCACTGTTTGGGGTTGTCCTCTGTGGCCAGGTAGGCGATGAGGTCCAGGGCGGTCAGCCGGGTTTGCCGTCGTGATGACACAAAAATCAGAACTGGCTTGGCCGGGGAGTGGCTGCGTATCGCTGTAGAGATTGTTTCAAAATATATGCAAGTTTCACACACTGTGTATTGATTATATTTTGGAGATATCAGTCAACTGCTCTGGACAGTGTTTAAGAAATATTTTGCAGACATTTAAAGGATAAGGCTGGTGGTTTCCATATTTTTTGTAAAAATTCAAAAGTCTCGTTCTGACATCCCTCTCTGTCTGTGGGTCTCAGCCCTAGGACCGCTGGAGGATGTGCATCTTTGAAAACACCTCTTAAATACACAGTTAAGAGCAGCCAAAGCCAAACACTGCACATGGGATGGGCTGACCATGATAATAATTGAAAAATAAAATACTGCCATCAGCCATCTTATCCTTTACATCTGTAGATTAGCAAGTCCTGGACAAAAATATGGACACCCCTGCATGTCTGTCACATAATCCACCACTTCTCCTAGAAAATAGTTTCAATTATAAACGCTTTGGTATTCTCGTGTTTATTTCTTCTGTTTGCATTGAAACACAAAAAAACAAAACAGAGAAAAAAAGCCAACTGAGACATTCCACACAGAACTCCAAAAATGGACTGGACACATTTATTGGCACCTTTAACTTAATATTTGGTAGCACACCCTTTGGAAACAATAACCGAAATCAATCGCCTCCAGTAACCATCAATGAGTTTCTTACACCTCTAAACGGGAATTTTGGCCTACTTTTGTTTTGTCAACTGCTCCAGGCCTTTGAGATTTGATGGGTTCCTTCTCTGTTGTTTGAGATCTCTCCTCAGGAGCTCTCTGGGATTTAGATCTGGACTCATTGCTGACCACTTCAGAACTCTCCAGTGCTTTGTCTTCAACCGTTCTGCGTGATTTTCGAAGTCAGCTTTGGGTCACTGTCCTGCTGTAAGACCCATGACCTCTGACGGAGACCCAGCTTTCTGACACCGGGCCCTACATTGTGCCCCAGAATTCTTTGGTAGTCTTCAGATTTCATAATGCCATGCACACGGTCAAGACATCCAGCGCCCGAAGCAGCAAAGCAAACCCAAAACATCAGTGAACCTCCAGCACGTTTGACTGTGGGGGCCGTGTTCTTTTCTTTCTTTGAAGGCCTCATTTCATTTTCTGAGTCTAAGTCTGTGTGATTTGTATATTGACAGCACCTGTGAATTGCTACAGGTGAGTTTAATTACAAATTAAAGGAGCATCACATGCTTAAAATACAATTATTTCTGAAGATTTTAAAAAGGTGCCAATAATTGTGTCCAGTCCATTTTTGGAGTTCTGTGTGGAAAGTCTCAGATTGGGCCTTTATCTGCTTTATTATGTTGTTCCAATGCAAACAAAAGATATAAACATGAGAATACCAAAGCATTTGCAATTAGGACAATTTAGTCCTGTTGAGACACATCACATGGTTTGGGGTCAAACAGTCCACTGACTTGATGCATGTGCCTGTTGAGTTTTTGCATAATTTGTTGTGGAAGAAAAATATTTTAAATTACATTTTTTTTGCTTTTGTCTGAAATGTACTCAGTGCTCTGTAGTGAACTAATTAAACATTATTTTATTATTTTTATATTTTCTTTTGTGAAAATTAATTGTTTATCTTATGTTTAATTTGAAGCTGCAGGTATAACCATTCATTAGTATTCAAAATCGTAGCCATTTGTTTTTATTTTTGGTCAATAAAAGATGAAGCTGGCTCATGATCTAAAACCTGGACATGTGAAACCATCCTGCCCTTTATTTCTCTTAAATAAAGGTGAGGATGGTATTATGTTACCAAAACAGAAAACATTAAAGAGCTCTCTAAAAAGCCCTGTGAAGTTGGAGCAGTAACTATTCCCGCCGACGTGTTTAAATGTGCATCAAGCATGTGTAAATTGTGTGTACATGTGGATGTGGTGCTAGACCTTGGAAGGTCGGCTTGTTCATGCTGGCCATGCGGGGGCAGTAGTGTTGTCCTGGGAAACCATGGATGTGAACTTCCAGCGGTACAGGGCGAACAGACGGACGGAAGTTAAACAAACCCACCTGTTACACAGAGAAGAGTGGAGGGGGAGGGAAGAGAAAGAAAAGGGAGAAGAGATTTAATGTGAGCAGCTGGCAACGTGAAGCCCCATCTGGCTGTAATGTTAACTGTCTGTCACCGTCACTGTCGGCCAGAGCAGCAGGCCACTGCTGGACTCTGCTGTGATCAACCTGTGATGCGTCTGCTGCGTTTATTGTGCGCTAAGGTGATATGGTGCGGTGTGTGTGAACGGAGCTGAATTAGCAGTGTGGTACAGGATGTTGTAAAGAGTGGGCTGCATTATGTGGTGTGTATTGTGTTGAGGGCTGCTGCATGTCTACAGACATCTTAAAAGCCTGGATAATGGATTGGGCAGCTACAAATCTAGCAGCTCAGGACCAACAGCAGCCAGCCAGTCAGATTTATGGGTGGCAGACAGCCAATCCGGTTTGTTAACACTGTCTCTCCACAGCGCTGGCAGCAGAGCAAAAGTCAACCTACAATTTTCCAAAATGTGTCTGTGATGATGCAAACAAACATCACTAGAATTGCAAGATATACTGACAAGTAACAACGGCCCAAAACATTGTAATTAAAGGAGGAATTACTAATATGTTGAATATGTCTGTGTGTTGATGGTAAGTATTTACCAAAACCTGAGCTTTGTCAAACGCTTTGGATGTAACTACATCCTGTAATCTACATTCATCGTCAAGTAAACGGACCAGGATGTCCAGCAGACATTTTCAGGAAAGGTCACGAGGTCAGCGTCATGATACAAAGGCCAGTAAAATATAACATCTAAACCACACAGGGTTACCAAGATACCTTCAAATAAACCCAAGTGTTGCTTAATGGGGAATTCTGCCCTATAAGTGAAAACATTAGCATTTATCAGTGCTAAGCCATCTGTTAGATGAACAGAACGCAAAGGACCTATATAGCTTGAGTTAAAAACATTAATTCATAATGAAAAAAGTAGTCTTCTCAAATTTTTAGAGACTATTGATTGATTAAAACAGTTTCATCAGAGAAAACTTGATGAAAACGATCCAATCTTTGAGCAAATCTTTTAAACACTTTGGCCTTGAAATTGTCAGATTTACAGATATTAAACAGCGAATAAACAGCTTCAACCTTGAGATACTGGTCAAAGCAAAGAGAAAGAGCGCCCTTGGAACCAGAAAGCAATTACTAGCATTTGACGTTAAGAACGGACAATAAAAAAAGATTCTGCTTTGATGCATTTCAAGCTGACAGGCCAGCCGATCCTTCCACATCGCCGCAGTCACTCCTGATCATTTCAGCTTAAGCATGGCGTCCAGACAGACTGCAGACAATTACAGAGATAAACTACAACATTACCTCCAGGCCAAAAGTATCTGCTATCTTAATTGCTATTATTACATTCATTCAATCACATATGAAGAGGCAGGCAACAAATGAACCGTAAAGAACGCAGAGCTAGACAAAGCCTGTGGTTTCTGGCTGGCTTCTCTGCAGCGGTGTTCTCGCTACACAACGCCATCTGACTTATGAAGATGATCCCTCCATCTGACCAAAGAACAAGGGGTCAGAAGGTAACAGGAATACACTGACGAAGCATCTTCAAGCCATGTTCTGATATTTCCAGTAAAATGTTTTGGTGCCATGATGGACGTCTGACCTGTCCGATCCCCAGCCAGTCAGCAAGGTCTCGAGCGTTGGCCAGGGCCGTGGACAGACCGACTACACGGACACTCTTAGAAGTGTGGGAGGAGATGAAGTTGGTCCTGGACACAATGACTTCCAACACTGGACCCCTGTCCTCACCTAGAACCACACACAATAGTACAGTCCAATCAGAATGTTTATGTAACAAACAGTCCACACTATTTTTGGATTTTTGTATAAGCCTCTGATGGACAGTAACATGCAGAACATTTTGTATGCTACGCATTTTGTATACCGTAAAACTGTGATTAATAGCCCGGGCTTTCATTTGCTAAAATCACTGAATTGACGCTGCCTATATTTGGGACAGGCCTTCAATTCCTTTCACACAAAAATGAAATAGGCAATACTACAAAACAGTTTATTTATTTCAAACAGTCTGAATATTACTGGTATAAAAATGATCAAATAACATCAAATACACGTCATTCATTGGATCTAGCTCCGACGGACGGCTTTTGCACTTTTATTTTGTAAGCAGCAACGTAACGAATACAAACATACCCACCAACATGGTGCAGGATGAGAGAAGCGTGGCAGAAGTTAGCAGACAGCGAGCGAGCGGACAGGATTCACAACTTGGATAAATTTTTATGAAAAGCTGTTTTGATTCTTTTGATCGGTGGACCCTTACAGACTAAAGGAATTTCATAATAAAACTTTCCTTTTCATCTCCTGTACCATGCAGGTTACAGCGGTAAATCTATGAGAATTAGACTTTGGGGTTTGTTGTTTCCGTTAAATGACCTGAACAACTGAATTGTGGACGCGATGTGCAGCATGTCCATACTCACATATTGATCATAAGTTTAAACATTAATATTTGTATCAACGATCTGAGCAGCTCAGAAGCAGCTAAAGAGGGTGACCCCTCTGGGTTTAAGGGGTTTTGTACATCCAAAGAACTTCTATAAAAACCAGACCAGGTGTTTAATGGAGACCTGCGTTTATTTGTCAAAATGTTTTCCCACACCAGGCCAGTGAAGGAGGTAGGCGGCTGTTTGGGAAGTTTTCCGGTTTATTTCATATTAAAACCACTATGGACAAAGTCTTCACTCTAAAGGAAATCAAATAGAAATACTCACATTTTAGTTAAACAATATATAACTTCAACTTTTAGATCAATGGTGAGCTGCTAATCAGGTGGTTACTTTTTCTTCTGACCAAGCCTATGCAGGGCTGTTTTGGACGCTATTTACACCCGTTATTCCCACTGAGACTGCCCTGCTCGCTCTCCTGAGGACAGTTGCCCTTTTCTTGCTCCATCATGTCCATTTGTGTGCGTTTTAGGTTGTGCACCAAGCCGCACAGCTGCTGTCTTGTTCAGACTAAAAAGCTATTTTTGGAACCAAAATTTAAGAATATTAGCACAAACTACTGCCCATCAGCATTAATAGAGTTAAAAAACAGAAGACACTAAAGAGTGTCACCTATGAATACGGACTCCTGCAGGTTTGTTGTGGACTCTTACCCAGCAGGTGGATCTCATCTATGATGAGAATGGCTACTTTCTGAACGTAGCTTCGGTTCTGCCAGCTTCTGCTCACTCCATCCCACTTCTCTGGTGTGGTGACGATGAGGTCAGCCTGCGCTATAGCTCTCATGTCTGGAGTCACGTCGCCCGTCAGTTCCACCACTCTACACACAGAAAGAACAAGGAGACACTTTAACCTGCTTACTTCTGTCATTATTCCTAAACTTCCAATAATCATATTGTACAATATAACTGGCCAAAGCTTTTTTGGGCACATTCTCAGGACTTTGTTAGCAGCATAAAGACTCATCCATAAATGCATTCTGCCACTTGGTCAGGGTGGTTTCTCTGTTTTCACTTACTTCTTTCCCAGCTTCTCCTCAATTCTGACCTTCCAGTCCTCAACCCTCTCTCTGACCAGGGCTTTCAGGGGAGCGATATACACCACCTGATCACACAGCAACAAATAAAGAAGTAATTTAATGAAAAGAAACACTGCCACGTTTCCCGAGGATAGATGTATATTTTAACTATCAGTTCTGGGGCATCAGAGAATTAAATAACTGGTTAAATAAACAAATATAAATACTCTAAACAAACGACTTGGGATCCCATTACATACAGTCACAGGAAAAAGATTGTGAACCCTGTGGAATTACCTGGATTTCTGCATAAATTGATCATAAAATGTGAACTGATCTTCATCTAAGTCACAATGGCCAAACACAGTCTGCTTAAACTAATACCACACAAACAATTAATACGTATTCATGTTTTTACTGAACACAGCGTGTGAAACATCATCACAGCCTCACCACAAGCTTTTGGTTTGCTTGTTTTTTTTCTCTCTCTCCTGACTACTACATAGTTAGATCCTTATTAAAGCACAATATGAATGCAGTGATCACACTGTCTGCGGTTCTGATCGCTGATTTGGTGTTAATTATTTTAATTGCCCACAGCGCTGTTTGACAGACTGTCCTCACTGCAGCGTAACATTGCTGATGATCTAGGTGTTCTGTGTTCTTTAATCTATTTGGAATAAATCTGAAAAAGCAATAAGCAAAAACAACAACAACAACATAACAAAGAAATGATTGGCATTTCCAAACTGTAGATTTTATGAATTTCTAAACATTTGAACAGATTGCAGTCTTGTTTGCTGCAGTTCATAGTTTCTTATGTAAACAGCACTCAGTAACAACAAGTCAGAACACAGCTAGCCAGCTAGTCGAACCTTATTGGTCGGATACTTGTTAAAGACCCGGAACATGGCCATCTCCGCTGCAATGGTTTTTCCAGAGCCTGTTGGCGCCCCCAGCAGGACGTTAGTGTCGGTGTGATACAGCGTGTGAAAGATCTGAGTCTGGATGGGGTTGAAGTGGGTGAACTTGTACAGGCTCTCGTACTCCCTGTTACCCAGAGCTGTCACCGGCAGCGGCTGCAGGTCCAGCAGCTCTGAGAGGGGAAAGAGAATTGGGAGAAGATGAAACTGAATTCTTTTCCCCATGATTGTGTAGCCTACAGAACTAGACTGAGAGACCATTTAAAGGCCTTTGCAGGTGTTTTGACTTAATCAGCTGATTAGAGTGTGGCACCAGGTGTCTTCAATATTGAACCTTTTCAAAATATTCTAATTTTCTGAGATACTGATTTTGGGGTTTTCATTAGTTGTCAGTTATAATCATCAAAATTAAAAGTAATGAACACTTGAAATATATCAGTCTGTGTGGAATGAATGTATACATTATACAAGTTTCACTTTTTGAATGGAAATATCTGATTATATCTTTTCATGTGACATCACTGAAGAAGTTGTGTATGTACAGCTTGTATAACAGTGTAAATTGCTGTCCGCTCAAAATAACACATCACACAGCCATTAATGTCTAAACCGCTGGCAACAAAAGTGAGGACACCCCTAAGTGAAAATGTCCAAATTGGGCCCAAAGTGTCAATATTTTGTGTGGCCACCATTATTTTCCAGCACTGCTTTAACCCTCTTGGGCATGGAGTTCAGCAGAGCTTCACAGGTCGCCACTGGAGTCCTCTTCCACTCCTCCATGACGACATCACAGAGCTAGTAGATGTTAGAGACCCTGCGCTCCTCCACCTTCCGTTTGAGGACGTCCCACAGATGCTCAATAGGGTTCAGGTCTGGAGACACGCTTGGCCAGTCCGTCACCTTTGACCTAAGCTTCAATAGCGAGGCAGCGGTCGTCTTGGAGGTGTGTTTGGGGTCGTTATCATGTTGGAATCCTGCCCTGTGGTCCAGTTTCTGAAGGGAGGGGATCCTGCTCTGCTTCAGTACGTCACAGTACATGTTGGCATTCATGGTTCTCCAGTGAACTGTAGCTCCCCAGTGCCGGCAGCACTCATGCAGTCCCAGACCAGGACACTCCCATCACCACCACCACCTGAGACCTTGAAACACTAACGACTCACATGATACCAGGGAGAGAAAATAGCTAATTGGGCTCAACTGGGATCTTATCATTTAGGGGTGTCCTCCCTTTTGTTGCCAGCGATTTAGACATTAATGGCTGTGTGATGCGTTATTTTGAGGGGACAGAAAATTTACACTGTTATACAAGCTGTACACTCACTACTTTACATTGTAGCAAAGCGTCATTTCTTCAGCGTTGTCACATGAAAAGATATAATCAGATATTTACAGAAATGTGAGGAGTGTACTCACTTTTGTGAGATACTGTATTTAAACAACCACAAAATACCACTATTGGCAGTAACAAAGGCAGAGGACTATGCTGTACACTATGTATAGAAAAAATACTGACCACAGCAATGCAGCTGAGATTAAAGTAATTAGTTACTAAAAAACACTATACTCTGCATGATTATTCATTTATCACTTTAACGACCTGCAATTAAACTGTAATGCTGAATGTGTAGGCATGAGAATGACACACGGTTGTTCACGTGTCAGTGAAGATCTAAGCAAAAAACATCAAACGACTAAACCGCCTTCAGCTTCTTCATGTTCAAAACAAACAACACTCTTTCATCAGATTGAAAACTGAAGCAGCATCAAGCATCAGCAGCAAGCAAGACATCATTTTTTGGCCGCTTGCGGGAAGCAGAACAAGATTTAAAACAATACTGCCATAATATCATCCTATAAAGAGGCTGCGGTGAACATCTGACAGACACGGAGCAATGTCAGTATCTATTTGGAGTTGTGTCCAGCTGGTGACTGTAAGCCCGATATTCAATCACACCTTTTAGTTCTGGTCCTCCAGCTCCTGAGGAGAATACCTGGCTCTTTAGCTGCTATATGTTCGCCAGCTAGTCTTTGGCTTTGTCTGTCTGCTGTTTGGAGCTAGAAAAGAGGTAGCGTACGTCAGGTTTAGTCGAGCGTTTGCACTGAAAACAGCTGCCTGCTGAGATAAAAGACAAGGTTGGGTGATAAAGCTACGAAGAGATAGGTGGTGGTGATTGGAAAGATTTTCAAGAGGTCATTGTGAAAAGACAACATCGAACAATGGCTGCAGAGCTGGTTGTGTGAGGGTTAAAAACACTGCATTCAACATATTATACTAAGAATTTAATGTGGGTGTATTTAATGACAGACTTTGGCTGACATGATGTATCCCTGTTTGTTTGGTTTTCAGACGCATTAAAAAGAGCCAAGTCGGATTTCTCAGAGCTTTCAGAAACATCAGTGTTTTCCAGTTGAAATGAATGCCATCTACAATGCAGACAATGGTAATTACTCTTACTCCAACATGAAATGAATGAGGCCTAATTCTCTATGGAATTGTTACTAGAAGCTGCCCACATTACACATAGTCATATGAACCAGTGATCATATGAAAACACTGATTAGTGCATTGACTTTATCTTCTATTTTCTCAACATCCGCAGAAATGGAACACAGAGTTTTTCTATTTACTGTGCAGTCAGTGTCTCAAAATCTCTGGACTGTAATCAATATTCAACCACATATCTGATGCTTGAGTACTTTGAAGATAGTTTACTCTTAGACTTGCCAAGGCATTATATGTTCTGATGCGATCCCATGTTGCTCTCTTCATGTGCCTCTATTTAAATTCAAGCGGTCCGGGGAGAGGCTGTTTTATTAATGAAAGACTGGAGATGCCCTGTGATATGATCTCCTCTGTGCTGTGGGGGTTTTCCCCGATAGCTGCCGTAATTGTGTCTGCTCTTACTGAGGGGAAATGCGGTCAGAAATGATATGCTGGTTCCTTTCTTACAGTCTGGAGGAGTGAATGAGCGGGTATGGGAGGATTAGATGCTTTTGTTCTCTAGTCTACATGGGGTTTTGATGTCTCAGAGCAGCTTCCAAACAGCTTGGCCATTTTGTGGTAGTGAGCTGACTGTAAGTTCTAGTTAGAGTTTAGGCAAAGAATCCTTTCACTTCTGCCAGTATTAGATTTCAGCTAAGGTTTCTTTCACTATATATAAAAAGATGCATGGAAAGCCTGTGCTAGTTTAGTCCAATAATGTACAGCTAATTTATACTACAGTAAAAAATGTTCACGTGTTTGTATTGACAGTTCAGCACATGTTACTATAGTAACCAGTCTTTGTCCACAATTAGCAGGCCAAAGAGGAAAACTTACATGTGAGTCCACACAAAGGTTTTCAGGTTAGTTTTAGAAAAACGATCTCTGACACTGAACATCTATAATAATGTGGAAACTTACAAAAATTACAGACATCACCTGGTTATTCTGCTGATGCTGGGGTAAACTTCCAGTCTGTCTCGCCAATAGCTGTCCTTATCTTGTTGCGTAGAGCGGTTTTCATTAAAGAAAAGCTCCACTAACTTAGTGACAAATTGCATTCCTATAGCTGATTCACAATAAAAGCGTCCTGCTCTCTAGAGAAGAAAGCTTTTAATGTGAAATCTTTGGTTTGTATCAGCAGTATCTCTTGAAAGTGGAGTGAAACAAAACTACAAATAACAGAGATGCAGTTAGAAGTAAATATAGAAGTTTTAGACAAAAAAGAACTACATGTTTAGATAGAAAATAAATAATAAAATAAAAAGTACGACTAAGATGAATTGTGAGCGGGACAAATTAAGTGATTGTGACATTTGTCTGGCATTTCAGTTGTGATATTTCTTGTTCCTTACAGGCAGACATATACGTCGATACTGAATAATCTGTCATAACCTTCAGTAATGTCAGCAGAAATATCTGGCCCCTGCTGCGCGAATGTAGCTGCGTGGTTGTCAGAGTTCGGCCAGCGTAGCTCTGAATTATCACGTGTTTTGGATGCCGAGCTGCGTCCACCGTGTGGCGCTAGAGAACACCCACTAATAATACGTTATGTTCCAGTAAATAAAAGAAAACTCACAAGCTTCACTGCATCTGCATGGTCTTATGACTTTGCTGAACAAATCTGAGGTGGATGTGGTTAACCTGCTAGGAGTAGTTTGTAATTGTATAATAAAGTATAATTTCCTGTTGGCATGTAGACGTCTTCCAAGATGACAGGTGTTCAGAACGCAGAGCGAACATTTGAAGTTAATCTAATAAATTCTCTAGGAGGAGTTTGTGAAAGTACGGAGCCTGTAAATGCCCCTAAAACTGCATATTCAATTACAAATGTCTGACTTCCTGTTGGCCCTGATCATACAAGTCAAGGATACTTTACTACAGAATGAATACTTTTAATTTGGATACTTTAAGTGCATTTAGCTGATACGGTAGGATTTTAAATGCAGGGCTTTTACTTGTAATGGAGCATTTTTCCATTGTGACACGGCTCCTTTTTATTTAAGTGAAAGGTCTGAGTACTTGACTGGACTAGAGTAGCAGTACTCAGTCTGGCTCTTAACAATGGGCTGCAGCAACTGGAATCTAACAGCTGGAAACATTTAGTATATATTAGTACTGTGACACACTAACAGACTTCGTCCACTGAGGCAGATCCCTGCTGTCACGTCATAAACGTGTGTTCTAGTGTGAGCCGGTCTACCTGTGTGTGGGGGGTGTCTCTCGGGTAAGATGAGGTTCTGGAAGTTAATGATGCAGACGGCCTCGGCCCCAAGCCAGCGGTCCGACACTGCCTTGATGTAGTACTGGGAAGGCAACGGCTCAAAGATGGGGATGGTGAACACTATGTTCTGAGGCTCTCCTGTTACCACCTTGAGGGAGGAACACGCACATCAATCATGATGTAATCTTTGAGTGACACTGTCCTCGTGTCAACTGGGGTCCCTGATAAAAAACAAAACAAACCTGTTTCTTCTGCAGGAGCAAGTACTCCGAGTGGTAGATGTGATCATTGATTGGATCCTCCACCCATAACCACCATGGCTCCCCCACTGACCCGTGGACCTGAATCATTGAGGGAAGGCACATTTCACTCAGACATTCATTTCAACAAGCAAAAGAACAAGCTGGTTTGATCCCCCGCTCCGGTGTATCAAAGTGTCCTTGAGCAAGACACTGACCCCTAAACGCTCCCGGTGAGCAGGATGCACCTTGTGAAACGGTGAATGTTGGCATGTGTTGTGAAGTGCTGTATAAAAGCACTCCATTAATCTTTTTTAACTTTCAATTCAATAAACAAACTATCAGCCTTCAGAAACGCTGCCAGCTAATCTGGGAATAAAGAACTAAACTAAATAATGCTTGCACGTCGTGGCAGTTTGTCCAGTATGTATGTGTCAGTGTGGTCTGTTTCCCGGGTGCCATCAGGGAGGCGGCTCATGTGTCGGTACATGTGTCCTGGCTCTGCAGCCAGATCAGGGCTAAGCCAGCCAGTCTTCCATTACCGCTCTCCCATGATCGGAGCATGCGTCGCTAATCGGACATAAACATTCATCTTCATATTCAGCCCTGCTACAAAGAGCTTCCTTTTCCGCTCAGATTCCACGACCAGCTCGGGACTAAGCTTCCCATGATCCCCTGTGTCTGCGCACTGAGGTGGGACATGCTGATAAGGCCTGGAGGCATTCTGGTTCTCTATGGCTGCAAGAAAAACAACATGGGAGGAGCAGCTCTTCCTGTGTCCGTCGTGAAAATGGGGCTACACTGGTTGTGTCAGTAAGTAGTGGCGTGTATGTGGGGGTGCTGTGAAGTAGTCTACTGTCATCTGCTGCAGTATTTCCCGTTAATTAACGAGACCATGGCGGCCCGCCACAGTCTAATTTGCTCCGCCACAGTCTCAAAATGAACCGAAAATATTTTTACTCATCTCATAATAACGTTTCAGACCTCTAACGTGTTTTGTATGCGCTGCTGTGAGCTCGCACGCTCAGACGCTTTCGGCATCCCGCTTTTCTTTTGAGGTAACTATGGTGACATTAACGGTCTGTTTCTGTCATAAATTCACACGTATTCAAGCCTTTACGGTAACTGAAACGGCCCAGAGCGAACTGACAGGCAGGTTAGAGACTTTATCCTGTCAGTTTGTCTCTTTACAAAGACAAGTGTTGCAGTGTGAGAGTCCTACCTGAAGAGAGGCTGTGAAGTCTTCATGTTACGCCGTACGAGAACAACATACAACATTATTTATCAAACTGGTTTTCAAAATAAAGTAGTCACAGAAAGTATAAAACATATTTCATGTGTTAAACTAAAAGTTAAAAAAACTACTTTCTATTCTTTGATTTAGGGTTGCTGGAAAAACATTACATAGGCTACATATGTTGACTTGTTGCTGTTTCATCACCATTTATAGCTCTACAATGGGCTTATGATCAAATAGTTTATTAGAGCACAGCATTGTTTACAAGAGTGCAAAGTTCTTCATAGATAACTTCTTAATTTTGACCCAAATTAATGCAATTAACTTTAAAATAAAACATTTTTTCCACCCACCACAGTCTCTTAAAATCCTGTGGGAAACACTGTACTGTAGCCATGTTGTGTTTGAGGCACTGGGTTATACTGCAGGAGTGGATGGAGATGTTTTCAATGGACCTTTTGATTCATTTAGACTTTCTTGCAGAGACTCCAAGTGGTCTTTGGAACAAGCAGAGTGATCTGTTTGAATTGGACACCAGGTTACTGTAGATTTGACCCCTACCTCTGGACCTTATTTTGGAAGCACTGCTTACTTTCTTTAAGTGCATTACTGTTACAAGACACTACTTCTTGATTTTTATGTTACTGTATGTCCGAGCCTTCTGACGGACAGCGCAGTGAGACGCCCTAGTTTCACCAATACCGCGCAGCTTCAACTTACTTTTACAGTACTACTGAGGCAAGAATTATACTTTCCGCGTCCCCGAGGGTCCGCATGACAAAAAGATCGTCATCAGAGGAGGGAACGCGCAGGGTCCGTGTGGACGTCCGCGTGCCTCCTGTTTATTGTGACCATGCCAGGTCCGCGACTAGCGCTACCAGGGCAACAACCGATCTACTGCGTGTGGAACGTGTCCGCCAAGCTGACTCCAGAAAGTAGTATAAACAGAAGTAGTCCGCGGGGTCCGCAGCTGCTCCAGAGTATTTTTTTCGAGGCTTTACAGTTTTCGCCTGGCTTTGACTGGGTGCATTGTTAGATGTAATAATCTCACCTTTCAACCCTCTCCCACAGCAATACTTACCCTGTCTGAGGTGTTTGTCCTGCACATGCTCACTAAAAAAGTCAACAAGAAACCTGGTTTTCTGTATACCAGGCGCTCTCCATTACAGAAACCAGGTTTCTTTTGTACATAAAAATACTTCAAGTGTCAACTACCAGCTAAAGGACCAATAATTGTTTTTTATTTTTTGTATGTTGTTTTTATTATCTTAATTCATTCACCTTCATTAACTTTTATAGAATAATTTTTTTTTGAACTTTTGAAAAAACCTAAGCAAGGACAGGGAATGAATTTTGTTGTAGTGCCAAACTTCTACTTTTCCAAGCACTTTTTGTCTTATCTGGAAGCTCTGTTCAATTTGGGGGTGTTGACTGAGCTAGCAAAAAATCAGGGGATATATCTTAGCAGTTGTAGGTAGCAGTAAAAACTGGTAATGAAAAACGTCTCTTGAAACTGCAACATAAAATCAGGCAAACACCTTGAAGACTATGACATGTTCTTTCACTTTACGCTTGCCGTTTCAAGCACACAGCAGCAGTGTGGTCCCGTGTTACAGTATGCCATCAATGTTTACCTGGTCGTTCCAGCGAAAGTCAGGCGTGATGACGAGACGAACACGTAGGACGGTGCGCGTGATTGGCTGGATGCTGGCCTCCATTGTGATGGAGGGGATCTGGTGGACGCACTGTTTGACTGTTAACCCGATGTTGACATGGTGCAGCATGTGACCTGGGAAACAACACACCTGGCATTAACGTGTGTTTTATGTCCTAATTACTATTATTATTATTTACAAGGCTAAATTCCGAGCAACATACATTTCTACAGCATCAATACAACAACAGAGTCAGTTCATACTCACAACTCTGCTGCCCTGTCTCGTTTTTTTTTAGCAAATATATAGTTTCATTCACTAACTTGTCCCAATTGCTTCAACTTTGCTGTTCTTTTGGTCAGGGACTCTGCTACCGTCAATCAAAATCAACACTTCCTGCAGCTGTTTCACATTAACAGCCAACTAGGGCCAGAGAAGGATTATACCATCCGAGCCCCTGAAAGGCTTTTAATCTGAAACATCTGTTCAAGAAGTGCTGGATTAATTGACGGTAGCTTAACAGAAAAACAAAAAAAGGCAAAGTAGAACTGACTGGATTGAGAGCCTCACAGCAGCAGCGTAGTGACCAAGACATGAAATTTACATTATCCTGGAAACAGGTAAACATGGAGGAAGTGCTGAGTTTGCATTACCAACTAAATAAAATGGGAGCTTATCAGAAAACACAAAAATATGATAAAATATACTTAAAAACCCGGTTACTTTTCAAAAAAAGATCTGGTTCTTCCTGAAGTTGTGGTAAATAAAGGCCCCGGCCACTATTTGAGAATGCAGGGCATATTTACACCTGCCATTTGGGTGCTTTATGCCTGTATTGTAGTGTAGTTTAGAATTTTACCGATCTCATCCTTCCTCATTTCCTTCAGTTTGTCCACAGTGAGCTTCTTCTCCTCCAAGCGGTTCAGTACAACGTGGCTCAGGCTGGGGAACTGGCGGAGAGGGTGGGCAAAGCCCCACAACCGCTTGTCAATCACCTTGCAGAGGGTGAGCAGTCGGTAGGTCATGGCCGGCCACCGCTTCCTCAGAGCAATCTCAAACAAAGCCCTGATGATCCGAGCAGCATTCTGTGAGAAGTGACAACAGCAGAAGGAAGGAAAAGACTAGAGTTACCACCCCGCGGTTGTATGTCTCTGTCAAGTTGCAGTTTACATGTGTCCAGACTCATATAATGTAGTTAATACTTGGATAGTGGAAGTTAACAACCTCCCTGTCTGTTTCTGAGCTGTGGTGTAGAATAACGGCCAAAAAGTATGTAGCTGACCTTCATCCCTAGTGTAAGGCCCCATCCACACTACTCTGTTTTACTTTACAAACGGAGAATTTAAACTAATACGATATCTGTCCGCAGCAGCAGCATTTTAGCTGCGTATCAGAGTTGATCTCCGTTTACATGAAAACGACTGAAAACGCACATCTAGTGGCCGTTCAGGTACACTGGACATGCGCGTGCCGGTGTAGAGAAGAAGCAGATGATCTATTCTGTAGTTACTGAAGATTTGCGTAAAGAATAAATAAATACAGACGAAGTATCAGGCCAGGTTTGTATTTTTATTTTTTTTGCATGTACCAATAACGAGCTGGCACTGTTACTGAATGTAACACGGGAGTGTGGTGGTAGAAAACAGACTGGGAGTTGTCGCAAAGTAAACGGCGACATGCACAGTACAAGTGTTATTTGCACTGTACAGAATATGTTAATAAAATACCGTGCCAGAAACTCTGTCAGCAGCATCCTGTTTCTGCTTTGCATGACTTATAAGACCCAATCAAAGAGCCAAATGTGGGCGGCTGCGTCATCGTTTCTAAAGTCCTCCGTTTTTAAAACAACCTCCAGAGTTTCAAAATGCAAAACAGGGTCGGCAGCGTTTTCAAACTTCCCCAAAGTCTTCGTTTTTGCTGTCTTAGTCTGGACGTTTCCGTTTTAATTTGAAAACACAGTAGTGTGGATGGGGCCTAAGATGTTGTTGAAATTACCACATCAATTCTTGCATTTTGGCCAAAAACCTGTTTGTCAAGTTCATGTTAAGGTCACAGTGACCTTTGACCACCAATTTCTAATCAGTTCATTGTTGAGACCAAGTGGACGTTTAAAGGCTCATGTTCATGGGAACGAGGCAGCTATCTCTGGCAGGGAGACACAAAAAGCTGAATCAGCCCTGGAAGGACCCATATCACTGCTGCATTTGTAAACAGATTATTTCCCCCTTCCCAATACAGCAGCAGTTTTAACACTAAAGTTGAAATAAAACAGCTGAAACGCATTTGCACTGGAGCAGAAGTCACTTGCAGCAGCTGTACGCTACATCATGCTGGATCATGTGTGATCAGGAGGAGGTCTGGCTGGGTTCAGTAGCCCAGGTTGGTCATAGTTGTGCGCTGATGGATTGCTGATCAGGAGGAGCGGTACGGTGGCAGCACTGCTCACTGATGGTCAGGTGTTAATGTGATCTGATTGTCTGGGGAGGTCTGAATGCCCTCTGGAGAGGGATTATTGAAATCCGGCTGTACGCTCGGCTGGGTGAGGCCGAGAGGTCTGGTTTGAGGAGGAAAGACACTGAAAAGGGATCCTGTTAAACCTTCCCACTCTTCTGCGCCACACTTATTAAGTGCCTGACTGCTGGAATATTGATGAAATTGTGCAAAGCATTTCTGTTTAACAGCCAAATCTAAAGTATGTTTATGTTCATCAGTCCAAAACTAAAATAAAACTGTAATTAGATGGACTTACAACCGCAAAAACATCATCCTGTGTAGCATCAAAATGGACACATCTACTGATGACTTCATTTCAAACTGCTAACTGCTGTAACTTCATTCATTTGAAGGAATTTTAACCCTCAAATGTGTCATTTGATGGTTTGATTTTGTGATATTGTTTGTATGTTTGCTTATCTTGTAGTGTGTGTGTGTGGTTCCTTTTTCTTCACCTGTGCCACATACGACAGGTCTGAGATGAGGGAGAAGCTGTCCACCTCTCCACGGCTGATGTACGTCTGAAGCAGTATGTTGATCTTGCCGTAGCCGTTCTCCACGCCGCCCGCGGCCGGCAGCTCACAGTAGTTACACAGCAACTGCTCCAGCTCCTCCATCTCCTCATCACGAACCTGCCAACACACATCACCAACATGATACACTAAAATGTTCATCATAATTTAGCAGATAAGTACATTCCAACCACATACTGTCAGACCTGTAATGTAGACTAAATCCATGATATGTTTGCTCGGTGTGTGAGTGCAGGTTTATAGTTCTGAAACATAATTTGGACTATCCAGTCAGTGCCTGGCTGGACCTCCGACAGCTGTTGTTGAAGCTTATGCATGATGACCTCTCACCTTAAGCTGTTCAAACTCTTCCGCCTTGGACAAAATACCGAGGATGTCGGCTTCTGTTCGCTGAGAGTTGAAGTTTTCATTGAAAGTCTTCACAGAAGGAGGGAAAAGAAATAGAAGTGGTTAATGGAGCTTCTATGAGGACGAGTCGTTATGTCTTGTACTTTTGGTTGGCCCTTCCACTAAAAAAAATAAAAATAAATCAAGGTGCTTATTTTTTCTTTGAAAAAAACTAAATTAAAAATGTGAATTTCATCTGGTAACTGAAGGTAAAACAAGGTAGATTTATTTTGTCACAATATAACAGGTTCTGTTATGTAGCAGACAATATACATTAATACAGAATTATAATAAAACAGTAAACAGAAATAATCTATCATCAATGGAGCAGTGCTGAGGATGAATTAGAGTTTAAGAGTCTGATAGCCTGGGGGGAAAAGCTGGTGGGGTGTGGCAGCAGATACCTCTGTATCTTCCCAGAAGGCAGCAGGGTGAGCAGGCTGTGGCTGGGTGGGAACTGTCCTTTAGTATCTTTGGGCTCTGCGTAGACACCTCACCTCACTGATATCACTAGCCATGTTTCCATCTAATTGTCATGCAAATTTTAAGCGTACTTTTGAAATGTCACAAGAAATATGTGCGTTTCTATCAGCTGGTTTGGAGCGAATAAACCAGGCTGCGGCGAGCGTCGTTACGTCAGTAGTTGACGTTACACATGGCTGTAATAAACAAGATGCCTGGGTTCCAAACCAGAAACAAAACCAGCCGCATGAACCTGATGGCCACTGATCTTAGAAAAACAGAGAGAGGTCCTCAGAAATGTGTTTGAAGCGGGCAAACTGCTACCAGCCGTGTCTCCGCACGTTATGGGAATATCCGGTGTTCTGCAGAGTTTTGCATGCACCTCCAGATAATGCTTTTAAACGCTCTAATATCCTTTGTGAGGTTCATCAGCGGTGATAAATGATTCCAAGTATATATTTTATGAACATTTAGAGTCGTTAATATTTTATTACACTCAGCAGAAGCAGCATTCACTGAGATTCAGCAAAAATATGCGGTGATAACCCCGTTTGATCAGCGTGCAGAGCAAAGGATCTGAGGAGGACATTTAAGAGGTGAACGCATCATTCAGTAGAACAGCTGATGAAGGCTGCCTGCCCAGATCTGCATCCACCTCTTTTCTCAGCACAAATGAGCATCACCAGCCACGAGGGGCAGGAAATTCTGCAGGTGTGCAGAACTCTGCACAACCGGGCGAGACGCCGACAGCAGAAACAGCAGATCAGTCTTGAGTAACAAGTTCACTACGTCGGAAAATGTTTTTCTTTGGAAAAAGGATTTTTTCCACCTGAATTTTGCCGTTTCCATCAACCTTTTCTAATGCGATACTTCCAAAATGCGCATTAAAAAATGTTGAAACACGGCTACTGATGCTCGGGATGGGTACCAATGACCTTCTGAGCAGTTTTAATCACCCGCTGCAGAGCCCTCCGCTCCGCTAAGGCAGCATTAATTGTACCAACTTTATGAAACTCAGCAACAGGTGAGTATTATCCAAATGACGTGTAATTGCCCTTTTGCAATATTTCTTTCTTACCTACACATGTTTTACTGATGCAGCGGTAGATTGGGGCGCACGTGTAATGCTAAACAGCTTGCTGTATCTTGAACACTTTCAGGTTATTCTAAGATTATCTGGCTCAAACACAGAGTTTATGGTCGTGGGATTCCTCTGCTGCCATAGCAACTTGTGCCACTTGGTCTCTGACATCTCCATGCTGTTGATTTAATCTGTATTTATTCATAATGCCCACATGTTCGTGGTATCAAAACTTCATGAGAAAAGACAGAATAAACAATGATTTTATTTGTTATCTGATAACTGATGTACTGTACAAAGTATTTTTGCACAGTGCATCACATATACAGCATATCGTAATATAGAATATGGAATAAACTCAAATCTAAATTAAGTTTACTGTTCTGTTTACTACTATCTAGACAAATCTACTGGTTGCCAAATCTTTTCATACGCTAGGCAACATTTAAAATTAACCAGCAAATATATGCTTAAAAAAATGTATCTGATGTAGAAGTGAGTCTACAGACCTCTATGGTGTTGTATCTGATGTAGAAGTGAGTCTACAGACCTCTATGTAGAAGTGAGTCTACAGACCTCTATGGTGTTGTATCTGATGTAGAAGTGAGTCTACAGACCTCTATGGTGCTGTATCTGATGTAGAAGTGAGTCTACAGACCTCTATGGTGTTGTATCTGATGTAGAAGTGAGTCTACAGACCTCTATGGTGTTGTATCTGATGTAGAAGTGAGTCTACAGACCTCTATGGTGTTGTATCTGATGTAGAAGTGGCTGGCGGTCCTGCCCAGGTCAGTGGAGGCAAAGTAGCCGGTGCGCTCCTCAAAGCGGATCATCCTGGCCTTATCCAGCTTTCTGCCCGACTCCACCACCAGCTCCTTCCTGTACAGCTCCAAGGAGGGATCCATCTGAAACAAATGTAAAAGCTGCGTTTCTAATCGCCCGATCACGTTCAGGTATGTGGGACTGAAATAACTGTGTTGTGTGCATTCTCTAACATTCGTGTCAGGTCTTGTTTTTACTTGCTAAATAATAATTTTAGAAGCTCCATCACTTGCTAAATGTTCTGCTATGATCTTGGACAGACAGGCAGAATAAAAGCGATGACACTCTGACATCACCAACCTGATAGGCCTTGTGGTTGATGCCGTATGCCAGTGGGTTGGCCCTCATGCGAACATAGAGGTAAGTATAACTGAGCCACTTCACTGCCTCCTCCACATTGGTGACAGTCCCCAGAGCAACCTGAATCCAGGAGAGGAGAGAGAAACGCTCACACAGTCATCAGCATCGCTGGTCTCTGGCACTCTCTAGTGGACACTTGAGGGTACTACAGCCTCAACACAGCAGTCCAGTTCTGTTTCCATTGACTCTTTCCAACATCACTATCAAACTCGGCTCAAACAGACTCAAAAGGCAGACAGGGGTCACATGTTTTCTTTCCAACCCAGCTGGTGAAGCGGATCACTTACATGCAGGGTACATCAACGTGTTTGTAATCAGAATGGAAAAAGGATCATTTTTGGTGATTCCTCACTGGTGGACTGACGAATCTACTGACGCGCTTCATCACAAAGCCTTCATCAGAGTCTATGTGACATACTTGATATTTTTAAAAGACATATTATGCAATCAGCCGTTAGCAGGAAAAATACAGCACCATCTATTTCTTCTTATCTTTTTATTTAATGGTTTCTTACTTTTTCATTATTTTATTTCAAGTTATTATTAGTTTTCTTTCTTTTTTTCTGGGGTATATTGTTTTCCTGCTGATTGTTGATTCACATGATGTGCTCTCTAAAAAGAGAACTCACTGATGCCTTGCATGGTCTGATTAAGGCTTCACGCTGAAATGCATCAGCAGATTTCATTCCCCTGAATGACACCACAAAAAAATGAGCAAGATATGAAGTGACTCCTACTTCGTTATCGCCATCAGAGGGCCACTTTTTTTCAGAAAAACAAGCAAAAACAAACAAATTACAGTTTATGTGTTGTATGTGTATGTAACGATGAGGTGTTGAAAATGAGCACATACAGCAGGTGTTGAATACATACGCAGATCAGCCATTACATTCTGACCACTGACAGGTGAAGTGAATAACACTGATTATCTCGTTACCATGGCACCTGTCAGTGGGTGGGATATATTAGGCAGCAGGTGAACACTGTGTCCTCAAAGTTGATGTGTTAGAAGCAGGAAAAATTGGGCAAGCGTAAGGATTTGAACGACTTTGACAAAGGCAAAACTGTGATGGCAAGACGACTGGATCAGAGCATCTCTAAAACTGCAGCTCCGGTGGGGTGTTCTTTTGGAGTGGCCTTTTATTGTGGCCAGCCTAAGGCCTTTTATTGTGGCCAGCCTAAGGCCTTTTATTGTGGCCAGCCTAAGGAACACCTGTGCAATGCCCCTGCTGTCTGATCAGCATCTTGATATGCCACACCTGTGAGGTGGCTGGATTATCTCGGTAAAGGAGAAGTGCTCACTGACACAGATTTTGACAGATTTGTGAACAATATTTGAGAGAAATAGGCCTTTTGTGTACATAGAGAAAGTCTCAGATCTTTGAGTTCAGCTCATGATGAATGGGGGCAAAAACAAAAGTGACAAAAAACACACACACACACACACACACACACACACACACACACACACAGGTATATATTACACAGGAACCTCGTGTAATTAAGTCCCCACAACATCATAAATGATGACACCTGCTGAAGCTCTGGAAAATTGGTCAAGAATTTCTGTCCCTTGAAACTTGAACCAAAAACACACTCACAGCCTGAAGAAGAATAAAGAAAACATTAATAGCTCTATTCAAACTGGGCTAATGGACACTGACCTCAGCGTTGAGGTTGTCGGCCAGGTTATTCAGGAACTGACTCTCGATGGGGTTCTGCTGGGTGAGCAGAGTCAGGTAGTGGCTCAGTTTGTCATGGGTGGTGATGATGGTGCCTTCACCGTACTTGTCAAACTGGGGACGACCTGCGCGCCCGAAAATCTGCATGACGTCCAGGATGCCCAGATCCACCAGGGTACCGCGCTTGGCATCGTAGATCTGAGTACCCTGAAAACACGAGAGAGAAGCCGCTTCAGAGGACCAGACACAGACGCAAGAACACTTATTCAAACATCTTTGTGAATAATTTGTGAATATCTCATTACATAGGAGTAAAAAAAAAAAGCTAATTTAAAGCTGAAAATGTGCCAACAACATTCTACACATCGTGTTTCCCCTGCGGTGCAACATCTACAAGAGGAGAGCTTCATATGTAATAATCTCAGTCATTATATTATATATATATATTATAGAGAACGGGGATTTAAAATTTTATTTTTCTTCAATTAAATTTAAATTTTATCAAAATGTCACATGTAATAAAAAAAAACTTTAACTTGGAATCATGAGCACCGACTCTACATATAGCTTTCTAAATATTAGAAACTATACGGAAACTTTCTAACACAAACTGATGCTGCTGTAACTGTATGGACGTTAAATTAAATTTAATGGTTAGTTAAAGTATCATTTCCCCCACGGGCTTGATGACATTACAGTTTAGGCTGATTCAATTAACAGTTTTTTTTAACAATTACCTACAATTCAGTGTTTATCCTACTAACATGTATTGTGTGTGGATCCAAAGCCTGATTTATCTTGTACATCCTTTATAACCGCAAACACACACAGTCCTGCTGCTAGAAATACTATTTATCTCCTGTTACAGTTATTTTGTTAACCTAAATGAAACTATATATTTTATGTGCTCTTTTTGAAAATGAAGGAACCACTTGAAAACAGACGCCCCCCAACGGTGCGCTGGGCAAAATTACTGATTGAGTTTTAACTCCAAAACCGGCCGATGTTGTTGCTCCAAATCTAAGCGGGCACCATGTTGATTATTGCGCAATACCTGCAAGCTGCCTGCCTGCTCTTGACATTTCTGCAGAGAGGAAACGTGCCGCTTGAGAACACACGGTGTTTTTCGCCACCCGTTGGAGATACATAGACATGCAGGGTACCAAATGAAAGGTCTGCTCGAGCCGGATCGATTGATGCCCCCATCACTGTGGGATGTTCCGTTCTCAACCTACAAGCCTGTAAAGCGTGGGTGTGCTTTTGGTGACAAGAATGTTGATGAATACTCACTGTTTTAATCAATATTTCTTTGTTGTATGGACAGAAAAGGTTATTTAAAGATATCTACCAATAAAATCAACATTTTAACAATAAATATTGCCAAAATATAGACATTTTCCTGGTATATTGTATGTATGACTGTTGTATTTTAGTTTATTTTCATCAGATTTAGAGTTACAATTGCATTCTAGGTGTATTAGAACATATTTAGTTGCATTATAAGCTTCCTTATGATGGTTTTGATGGTTTATTGCATTAAAATAAAGCTTTTTTTTACCAGGCGAGGTATCAGATTTTATCTTTATTGCATCTCCATGTAGTCTGCAATTGTGAAATAAATATATTAATATACAATGCATTTCTATTCCTTAGCTTCTGACTTCTGAGACCAGAATTATGCATCTAGGCCAAATGTTGAGGAGTTATTCCTGATTCATTTTGGGTATGTTAGAAGAAATGCAAACCTTGATGATAACTGCATGAGCTGGCAGGTTCACTCCCCAGGCCAGGGTGGCAGTACAGACAAGCACCTTAAGGTGGCCTTTGGAGAACATGCTCTCCATCATGCTACGGTCAGACCTCAGCATGCCAGCATGGTGAATCCCAAAGCCTTCTGGGAACATCTCCTTCATCTGCTTGTTTCTGGAGCGCTGGATCTGAAAGAGGTGGTAAGAGAGGTTAGTTTAAAAAAAAGGAAAGAAAAGCGCCCGAGGGAGCGTGAAGGAAAGCGTGCTGGATTTTGAGTGTCTAAAATGAGAAATAAGCTCAGATTAAATATCATGTTAGACTGCAGAGAAAGGGAGGGCTCTGACAGAAACTGACGTGAGTCATAATTGTTATTGCTGTTATTTCTCCCAGAATAACAGCAACAATAACAGGAACAGCTTGGAATAAAATGCTCTCTACTACAAGAACATGACAATGTGTAAGTGGCTAAGAAAGTATAGCTGAATCAGCAGCTCTCTAAACACGGTCTGAACAAAAAACCGAACATGATCAGCTTCACAAAAGTATTACAGGCTGTTACAGTGAGTTGTGATAACATGCACAGGTGTTAGCTCGCTGTAGATTCAAAGAACACACACAGTCAGATTGAGATGTGTGCTGGTGACTGACAGCAGGGCTGTGACCTGGCCTCAACTCATCATAGGGCCTTATCTCTCTGTCTCTGAGGTCAGCGCCCAGCACTCCTCTGCACAGTAAAAAAAAATAAAGTCCATTACTGCCAGCAGCTGTCAGTTTTGCACGCATGCACGCACGCTGTACAGTTGGCAGTTTTTTTTTTATTGCAATTACTTACAGCTGAATAATCACTTTACTTTCTACATGAAAAATAATACAAAACACATTCCTGAAAAAACACACTGTATTTTACAGACCATTAATGTCCAAGTCAGGATGTAAAAGGATGCAATTACGGTAAAAAAACTGTAGGTTTTTTCTGTCTTTCTCCATCACCAGGATTACATTGTTTGTCAGTGCCTTCCAAAAGCGTTACCAATGACCGTGACAAAAATGATTTCCTGATCTGCTCCACCTCTGGGGTTTAGGTTTAGCACATAAACTGTTTGGTAGGGTTTGGGAATGATAACAGTTTGGGTGGCGATGCACTGAGCTCCTCTCTCCTCCTCTCCATCTGTATGCATTCTTGTCCCATTAATGCATTGTTACCAACTCGACTTCTTGTGCTTTCTCATCCCTCTCCTCTCTCCTCCTGTTGTTCCTGCCTCCGAAGCTGTGGAGTCTGGATCTGTGATTGCAAGCCACCTACTGCCCCCATGTTCCTGCTCCACACCCGCTGCTACGATTATTATTATTAGTCTTCTTCTTATAATTATCATTATTGTTACCATCATTATAATTACTGTTATTATTTGTATTAATATTAATACCACCACCATTGCTATCATTTTGCATCTCTATGAGGAATTGTGCTACTGTGTCTTCTCTTTCCTGCTGCTGTGAAATGTAAAAATAGTTTGCATGGAGGCATAAGACCAAAACAATGCTGTAATTTTTCTTGGAAGGAAAGTCTCTACATTCGTCATTTCACTATCAACAAAAAACTTTCCCTTCACCCGAGCATTCATTTCTTTTTAAACAATATACGCACATTTTTTCCCCCTCACTTCGGCCAGTCCCCCCTACATCACAGTCTGTGTTGCTACTAGTTCCCACTGTTGGCCGGAGGAGGGTGAATACCGAATCAGACCAACAAGTACGAGACACTAGAGCTGATTCAAGGACATGATCTGTCACTGGCTTCCTGCCAAAAACACACCGTTTTTGTTTGATGAGGCAAAGCTCTAAGCATGCTGATCGAACAAAGGTGGCTGCACCGTCCAGGCGCTCCAATCAAGGTGCGCCTAGCAGATTCCCTCATCACTAAACTATTGATCTGGCAGTGTATTTGTTATGCTAGTACCAGTTCTATGCTTTGTGTGCAGTGATTAGATGTGCAGATGACAATCCCGAAATGTACACAATGGAACAAAAAGCAATCCTGCTATTCCATCTACAGCTATCTACGTCTGGAAATCAGGAGACACTGTGGGCTGGTGGGAGTCCCCAGGGGCAGGCTGTGCTCCACCATGTGAGCCGGGCATACCAGGCAATTGAAATGCTATGGGTGAGGCTTTGCTTTGAGGTGTCAGGGTGTGTTACAGCCATGCCGCCCGCCTCTAATCTAAGGTGAGTTAGCGCTGATGTATGCTGTGCCATGGCTGTATTTGAGATGGCAGTGACCTAAGCTCCTGATCAAGTCCCATTAGGCTCTGCCGCTCACCGCTGCTCCTGCTGCAGAGCTCACTCTGTCCACAGACAGCTAGCTGCCAGCTCCACTCACTGTCTATCGTTGTTGGGACTATGTAAAGAACACCAGCACCAGAGCTGAAATAAACTATTCAAAAGGTTTTCAAACATCCGTTAAGGACAACTAAATTGCGGTAGATGTAACTAAATGGTTTTAGATTTCTGACGATCTAATTCAAGCACTCATAGACCCCTGATCTGTTCATAATCGTCTGCAGGAGAGAAGCAAAACCATTTTCAGAAATGCGGAAGCATCAGTATTTAGTAATCTGCAATAGCAGACATTTCAAAATGTAAAATCCCACCAAAAATCTGGCAAACTCTGTGGTGAAGAACAGCAGATAGATGGCTTCACCACCATCACCGACTCTCATGAGCACCACAACTATTCATTAACTTTGTTAAAGTGAGGCAGGATGGCTAATTGTTGATTTCATTTAATGGCCCTTGATAGTCATAATGTTTGGTGCTCAGAGAGGCTGGCTGTTAATGCTGGATAGGCAGGAGAGAGTGGGAGGACGAGTTTCCACTCACATCCACTCTACTCCACTTTTCTATCATGAACTGTCTCTAACTCTTAATAATCCGTTCTGTTTTAGCTCCATCTGAGGGGGATATTTACTAAAGCTACTGCAGATCATTGTCAGCAGTGTAAAATGAACTCACTCACAGTGTATTTGGTTTGCATTAAGTGCCACATTTTGCATCGCATCAAAAGCATGAAACACAAAAACACTGTTCTCTGCTGCTGTAATTGTGCATTCTAAATGTTGCCATCTATACATGAAGAAATATTAATTACTGTTAATTACTGTTAATTTCTAATGTGGTCAGCTCCACATAAAGATGAGCGGTTACATTTAAGGGAGGAGTCTGGAGTAATTAAAAATCAATGTGGGAGATTTGTAGTAGTTCTTTTAACATTCTTCAACTACACCGTTACTGTGAAGAGATTAAAATACAACAGACCTACTTAATATGTACATATTATACATATGTAATTAGCTTCAATCAGTTTTGCAGTGGACTGCACATGTGAGCCATTAAAAGTCAATTTTCCTCTATAACAATATAATAAATGTTCAACATATCGTCAATAAATCCATCCATTCATCGTCAACCGCTTATCCTGCGTACAGGGTCGTGGGGGGCCGGAGCCAATCCCAGCCGCCATCGGGCGAAAGGCGGGGTCCACCCTGGACAGGTCGCCAGTCCCTCGCAGGGCCACACAGAGACAAACAACCACTCACACCCAAGGACAATTTTGGAGACGCCAATTAACCTAGCCTGCATGTCTTTGGACGGTGGGAGGAAGCCGGAGCACCCGGAGAGAACCCACGCGGACACGGGGAGAACATGCAAACTCCACACAGAAAGGCCGGTTTGAATCTGCGACCTTCTTGCTGTGAGCGCCATCCACTGGACCACAGTGCCTCCTCATCAATAAATATTTGGTTAAATTCATTTTAATCACAGACAAATTAGCACTTACTTTTGACTGACTGAAAAAAGATTTACTAATCAAATTTTAATCATGAATTATCAGAATAGTTTTGAATGTTCCACCTCAGATTTGTGAAGTCATCCACTGTTTGGCATCAAGTGTTTGTCACGTTCTGACCGTAAAGAAAAGTTTAACCACATAATTAACCATCTGGTTTCTTCAATTTTCACTCAGGAGCAAATATCAGCCTTTAAACTAGAATTTATTTATTTTTTTGACATTTATCCTGATATTTATCGATATCGAATGATATTAAATGTCATTATCGTGATAACATTTTGGGCCATATCGCCCAGCCCTCAGCTTCCTAAATATCACATAAGCCGAAAATCGTGAGCCTCTCCCAAAAGCTGTAGAGGTTTTACTTGTACAAAACTTCTCATTTAACTGCTAGCACCTAAAAACGAGCCACAAATGTTCACAAGACCCTTCTGTCTTCTGGCTCTGTCACAGCTGCCAGAGCTTCATCTAATACAAACAAACTGTCTCACTCGCGGCTCTTCTATCCGCTCTGCTGTCTTAACGTGGCAGGTCCATTAAGCTTGCTCCTCTGAAGCATGACAACTGATCAAGGAAATGAAATTAACATTTAGCAATGCTTTTATTTTATTATTTTTTTTGTCTTGGACTTCACATATCTACCTCACGAATAGTTTATCTTGATGTCCACACCGACGCTGGGGCGCACCCTCCCAAACACACACAGACAGGGTCCGAAATGAACACCCCGCCAAGCACCAAATGCAGGTAGACATCCCATTTGGCAAGTAAAATCTTGTTACTGAAAGTGCAATGAACGTTTCGCAAGTGAAAGAAAAAGCCAATAAGAGTAATTTATCAAAACATAGGCTATAGGGAGGAAGAGTAAGGATGTGTGAGTAGGTGAGGATGGGCTGTGAATGTGCAATAAAATAGAAATAGTTATTAATAAATTCAACATACATGTAAAAAGTATAAGAGAAAGCATATATGCTATATAAGCATAAAATAGAATTATAGGCAATAATATGCAAATGTTTTTTTCTTCCATCTTCTGAAATGAGAGCTCTTCTGCTGTCTGTCTGTACCTGTGTAGTTTTCATTGCAAGGGCGTCACATTATGTTGAAAAGTGGTGTGGACACAGGCGCTCAGGTTAGGGGTGTGAAGAGACACTCGAGACATCACAATACGCGAAATTAGGTTCACGAGAACGAGACGAAAAGATCCATAACCGTGCTTTAAAGATATCCTCAATGCTGAGATAGCTTATATGAGGAAATTTAGAATATTAAACAATTCATTTACTGCATTCAAGTGAAAGTTTCTGCACTAATTTATGGTGGAAATGTTTTTATTTATGT